TCCCGACACTGTTGAGATCTTCCACATTTGCATATTGTAATACGAACTGTCTGACCAGGAAGCAACATGTGGCTTGGAGCGCGCCAGGTGGTTGCTGACATATTCCAGGCTCGCTCTCGTGTTTCGGAGTGCTTTCCTGTTCTCCTTGCTGCCACCTGGTCACAGCATCTTGGTTCGGACGTTTCGCAGGAGCATCGACAGATGATTGTCAAAGCAGAACACAGTGTCACTTAGTCTTCTACAGGACGTGTTGAAACTTCTTTGGTGCCTCGACCATGGGGCTTAAGGTTTACATTGAGAACCAGTACTTCGGGAGCCATTTGAGCAAAGATGCTTGGAACGCTTCAGTTGCTGTGCAGACTTGTTTCAGCCAGCATGCACATCAATGCCTAGGTTGCTAGCTGCTTCTCCTTTTTCATGTCCACTAACTTGAGGCTGCACGGTTTGTTTCGGCTCCGTCCAAAGCATCACTCCTCCTCCGAGCAATCTCCTTAGCGAGCGTTGCAATCTCAAGCGCATGTCCACGCGCGTTTACGGGCGATTCGTCGATCGCTGGGAAGTTGGAAGTTAGCGCACAGCGGCTTGGGGCAGAGGAAGCATGTTTTCCTCAAGTCCAAGATTCCACGAAGCTCAGCCCATCCAGACAAATTCACCCTCCCACCCTCACCTCCCTCGTCAGACTTGTCCCGCCCCCACCGCGAATCGACATGCTCCGGTCGCGAGGGCGTGGCGTGTCAAGATGGTAGGCCAGGAGTTTGATGTCGGCCTTTTGCTTGACCGAGCAGTTTTCTCCGTCCAGTTCCCGAATCATTTTGAACGTTTTTTTGTCCTCGGTCTGCTTGCATGCCACACTAACGGTTCTGCTAACATGGTCGAGCATGTGGAGCAGTACGGGATAAAGGTGACACTTGTTGTTTGACGATGTCGTCTACACTCGTGACAAATTTCTGTGGCGGAGGCAAAACGATCGATCTTCCACGGACACGGCATGCAGCGGAATTTCCTGAATAGCCGATGCAAGGACGTGATGTCTGAGCGATGTTCGGAGTTGAACAGCTTTGCCAAGAACGACCTCGCGGAGCTGCTCTTCCAGAAGATCACCACGAAGGAATCCGTTTATGTACTATAGTTACTATAGTACTATAGATCCCCATCCCTTTTATGATAACTTAAATCAAACTCCTTAGAAAGCACCCAGAGGTGGGAGTGCTTTCTCTGAGCTGATCTTCGAGCATTCGACAAGAAATCCTTGGCACCGCGAATCACAGACTCGCCTTCTTGCCATCTGCCAGCAGACTGCAGTATCAGTGCCAGGCGCGGAATGGCGAGAAGTTCTCAGCCGTCATCATCATTCCGCTAGCAACGGAAGAGTCCGAGTCACTCAACTGCACTTCCCAGCAATGATACTGTTACTGTTATTATTGATATGACTACTATATCGACTACTATAACTTAGACTGTGAATATAACCGTTACTGTGACTATTGCTAAAGCTAGTAGTCAAGCGGAGCCGCTCCCCAGATTTTCCCCTCGCTCTCTTTTGATGAAGGACCCAGTACCCCAACTTGCGGACTGCGCAATGCCTCGTCCAGGCGGGCTGAGCAGTCTGACTTCCGGTTCCCCTCGAGTAGTTTCTATGTGCAGATGTGTATACATGCACACGCATCTTTTGTGTGTCTATCCGTCTTTCTATCTATCTATCTATCTATCTGCCTACGTGACTGCCCAGCCTAGCTTGAGGTATATATAAATGGGCTGAGTGCTTCATTCCTTGAGCAATTTGACTTAAGTCTCTACCAGAGCTTAGAACAATCAATCCTCCAGATGTGCCAAGCCTCTGCAAGCTGGGCAGGCCCTGGAAGAGCTCCTCGGCAGCCATCCTAGCTCAGAGACTGAAGAGCGAAACCAGAGTATTCCTCCATCCTTGCCCGTTACAAAGCCCAAATGCCTAAACCCTATGCCCTAGGCCCTAGGCCCTATTCCAGGCCTCAGGAGGTAGATGCAGGACCGAACCAGTCCGCCTGTGAGGTTCTGGAAGACCAACAGCATCCGAGACTCGGATGCAGACTCTTGCTGTCTTGCTTGTGTTCTTGCAGATGCCTACCCCTTTGAGGCCCTAGTGAGTCCGTGTGTTATCACGCAAGGTAGGCCATTGTCGGAGTATTTCGGCATGTACGTCCTCGCGAATGCTAAGACTGTGCTACTTGGCAGCAGGGTTCAATGCCGGAAGTGCCAGCAAAGAACACATGGAAAACTGAGGGACCCATCACAATCGGCTTTCTACGGGATATTCGTGCATTCGAAGCTCATTGCCATCGACTACGATACTGAAGGCGACCTGAAGCCAACACTGGCGATTGGAAGCGTTGTGGGGAGATGTACAGGAGTGCACTTACGCACTTGTTCTTTGGTTTGGGGGTTTGCGAAGTCTCCTTCGACCCTCTCCTTAAACCCTATACCCTAAACCCTGAACCCGGACATGATTCAAGTGGCTTTCAGCGCTGCCCCCCCCTTTCTGAGGTGGCGAAGCGATTGTGGGGAGCGCCAACCTGAACGACCGCTCCCTGCTTGGGGATCGTGACGCAGAGGTGGCTCCCTGGTGCTTAGTAGGGAATTTCGGGAATGGGTGCCTTTGAGGATTTAGGGCCTCTTCGAGGAATCCTTTAAGGCGATCTATAGGGTTTAGGGTTTAGTGGTTAGGGAATGGCGGAATGGATCACTACAGTAGTCCCTATATATCCCCCAATAATAGTCCCCATAGTCCATTCCCCCATTCCCTACTAAGAACCAGACAGGTCAGCGTGGCCGTCAGGGGCCCCTTCGTCAAGGCTCGAAGCTTCAAAGATGCCTTTGGGGATTTTCTGTTTAATGTCTGGGCATGCATGACCGGTATTTTTGTGTTTTTTGCCATGGCATTTTAGTGTCATACATTGGCGCATTCATGTCTGCGTGTTGGTACTCTATGTTGTACTCTGACATCACTTTGCAGCTCAGCCTCTGCATCTGGAATCCCTGTGCTCGTTCTACCCTTCAGCGTTTCGTAAATTACATCTTAAGGCGCAATGCCACAGTAGCTGGTCTTGCTGTGCATGTGCCGAGAGCAAATAGTAATGTTCTGAGTCGCTGAGTCGCAGGCGATGGTCTCTAAGCTGCTGCGGCCCCAGTCGAGTTGATGATGTGTCCAGGTCTAGACACATACATGTGACTTAATTATTCTGTCAAATCATGACACTTCGCAGGATTGACGCTCACACAGATTCTTCGATCTCTTTGCCCAGCTCAGCCGATCTACAAACGAGTCTATCCGTCGTAGCCGAGACGCGGTGCAACGATAGCTTGGTATGGTTCTTGCTCAGGGTCGAAAAGTGTGCACGGAAGAATGTCGAAGAGCGTTGAGTGAGGAAGAGAACGCCGAGAGACTCCAGCAGATCGGCATCGACTGGAGCCAGGCGATTCCATTTAGTTAGGCGTGTCTTGACATGATGTTATCACAAGGTGCAAGCGACCCGCACTGCAATTTAAACAAAGCTGTCCCTTCCGGCATTGCACAGACAGGGCACGGTGCAAACACTCTTGCGCACCAACAAGATGCTGGATCAAAATGCGAACAAGCGCCGAACCAAGAACTTGCCAGCTTTGAGGCTCGAGTCCTGGGGCAGCTTTACTTGTACCTCTGCCCCCATCATCTTCCGCTGAGGAACGAGCCTGATCAGCTGCCGGAGCTTTCTGTCTCTGAGGCCTTCATGGTCGGCGCTGGATACTAGGTTTTCCCATAGACACAGAGCGTTCAGAACTGTCGAGTCCTTTGGTCCCCCTGTCGGTAGCTTCGGATCCTGCCGAGGAGTGCACTGGAAGATTCTGCCTGGACGACAGATGGAGAAGGGATTGAAGGGGCACCTGCTTCCCTGGAACACGGCCCTCTGGGGTGATGCAGATGTCTACAGGTTCCTTGGCCCTGAATGCCCTGTTATCTTCTTTTGTTGCTAAATGGTGCAATAAACCTAGACATCCCCCAAGCTCAAAGCATCACATTGGTCGCACAAGCGAGGTCCTGGAAGCATTATCATCCGACGGGCGCATGGTTGCAGGTGTCCTGATGGCGGATGTGACCAGTGGTGTCATTCACAAGATCGCGAGAAGTGACTGGACTCAAACACAGCATCAACACGCAGAGCGAAAGAACGTGAGTTGAGGATGAGGGTAAGCTTCGTCAGGCAAGGCGCGGATGCGTCGCGCAGACTGTGCTGGGCCGGTGGCTGTTCCTTCCGGTCGGACCGAGTTTCCCAAATTCGGCTCTTGAGCATCAATCATCGATCCAGCAGCAAAAGAGCTCGTGCCTGCAAGTGCTGTGCTTTCTTTTTCAGATGTCTTGCCGGTCGACTTCTTAGCTGCTTCGAGGCAGCAGAAGAAGCTCGAACAGCTTCTCAAAGACGGCAAAGAGTCCTGAGACACTTCTGTGGTGCTGTGAAGCCATGCTCTTGTGTCGTGGTTTGTAGAGGTAGGTAGATCCGAATTTTCCACATCATCGTTTCACCCTAATTAGTTATGCCATTCGGAAAATGCCGGTTTATTGGCAGTTCTGGAGGAGTGCCAGCACAGTATAGTCGTGCATCTGATGCAATCAGTTTTATCGTTTTGCCAGAACATTCGTGCTCTGCACCCCTGCAATCTTCCGGACATCGCTGGTGAGATGCTGTCGAGGGCGGCATCTTCTCACAGTCCAGGAGAATTGCACTTTTGATTTATGACTGTTTGTCCACCACGTCATGACCGTGGATGGGCATCAAGCAAAACAGCGGAATCTGGAATTGCGCTTGAACGCAGCAGTACACTCGCAGTTGTGTTGCACTCGCCAACGATCATACGTTGGGCTCCCGGCTCAAGTTCTGCTTCAAAGGCACGCTTTGCGTTGCTCAGCGTGCTGATGTCTCAGCTGTAGAGTGGGCATCTCGGAAGAGCCGTTCGTGAAAGTGCCTTGACATGATCTCAAGGCCGAGCCCATGGGAGAGTTCGCCCAGCGCCTTGTCGTAGTATGCCTCAGTAGGTAGTGATAGGGAGAGTTGGCCCCTGACGCGAGAATCCAAGGCTGGACAAGTTCCTGACACAGGAGAAGTCTAGCTCTTCATCGTCAAGCAGCATTCTGCCGACTCCTGTCTCGCCTGCCTGGTACGACCCAGAGGCCAAATCCTGGTATGGCCGCTGCCTTAAAATGCAGCTCGGAGCCAGTTCCCAGCCTGCAGAGGAGGCGCCCTCTCTTTGGACCCCAGGCCAGCAGGACATTGTGGGGCTCTCCCGGAAGGACAAGCAGAGCCTTCAACCTTGCACTCTGCTTTGCAATCTGGCAGCAGACAGTCCAAGCATCCACAAAAGCGACTGCAGGGTCATGCTCTCATGCTGTCACGTCCGAGGCCAGTATGCCCCCACGGGCCGTTCTCGGTGCCGTCGGTGTGGGGAGGACATCGAGAAGGGCGTCTTTGGTCCGCATCGAGGGCTCCGCAAGACTTTCAGAGCCGAGTCCTCATGGGCAGGAAGTAGCATGTTTGGCCCAGGCGCTGAGACTGGGCTACCCGTTCCGATGGCGGCAGCACGTCGGAATTTTGAATGCGGAGCTGCGCAGTGTTGGCAAAAGCCCACTCCACGAGTCTCGTCTCAAGGCAATCCGAAGATGCCTACACACTTTACCTTCACCCAGAGTGCTACGAGTCGTCGGTCTTTGGCATCAAGGACTCAGCTCTCTTCTTGTTTCGTGAGTATCAGCAGATGCCCACTGCATGCTGTCCCTTTCGTTTCAATGGAGCCTTGCCAGGAGAAGGAGTTGCGCAGTAAAATCTTCGGATATGAGGCGTTGAACAACACCGAGCGCCAGCGCCTATGGAAGGCCTCATCTTGACTGCTGGTCGGAGCTCTAAGGCACGGTAAAGTTGCAATGCGCGATTATACTTCTGATCAGGCTTTTACTGCATATTCATGCATACAATTATACTGACAGAAATACGTGCATGCTTACACAAGATGAACATGCACACATGCATGTATACACACATACTAATCTATTGATATTTAAGTGTATATATATATATATATATTAACCTCTCTCTCTCTAAATATATATATATATATATATGTATACTCATATCATGTCATATCATACCATATCATCTCATATCATTGCATACTTATGCACAGACATATCGAAAGCAGATACAAGTATATATAAGTATGGGTACATAAACACTCATACATATACACACATGTAGATATGTGTATATACACATATACACATGCATGCATGCATACATTCATTCGTACATTAATGTATATGCACATATATACACATGTGTATATATATATATATAATAAATGAATGAGTAAATAACCATAAAAATAAAGATGTAAATATGAATATAAGTGTATATATATATATAGACGCTGCGAAACTACACAAATACATACTGGAACCTATGAGGCATTCCCAGACAGAGGTCATCCCTGGTAGATCTGGGGCAGGCCATGCGCTCCGAAGGCCGCTCTGCCAAGGCCAGCCGCGAAGGCTGGGCAAGAACGGGTTGCTGCTAAGGGGGGAACGCGATAACACCCCAGAGTAGTAGTGGTAGTAGTAGTAGTAGTAGTAACAATGGCACGCTACTGGGTGCTTTTCGCGAGATGCCGGCGCGTGCAACACTCCACCTTCTAGGAGCCTGGCAGTTGAGAAAATGCAAATTTGTAAAGGCATGACAGAGGCTAGATGAACATGCTGGCTTGAACGATTGCAGGTGCAGAAGCCGCAGCAGAGTACTCGAGTGGCTCAGTGGGCATCGTGACAAAGAACTTGCCTGAAGTCGCTGTTCCAAAGGACGGGTGCTGCGTGCATGGAATAATTTCATCGCGGTGTGGTCACGGGTTTGTGTAACGCTCCTTCGCAGTCTCAATTAGTCGGTGTCCTCTGACGCATGCTAAAGCCATTTACACATATTTTTGCCTGCTACTACACATGCGTGGTTGAAGCACTGTCTGTTCCGGACCCCATGGACGGGAGCTTGCAGCTGGAATGGATGCAAGGACTTGGCCGTTCCTATGCTGCCTTTCCAGAAAGAAGGCCAGTGAAGGGCTCGCTGCTCCTGCGCCCGCGTAACACCTCCGTGAGAGTGCCTCCATTTTGCTAGCTAGGTGGCTTGCTGGCACAGGTCTGGCATGGATGTGCCACCAGGAGGACTCCGATGTGCGTGGTGGCATTCTGGCAGATGAAATGGGCATGGGCAAGACGATCCAGGCTTCCGGCCGCAATGGCTGAGTCGTGACTCGTTGAATCGTTCTGCTGTCTGGATTTCTGGAGTCCCTGAAAGGCTATCAGCTTGTTGCTGGCTCGCCCCTTGAAGGGGCCGTGTCTCGTGGTGTGCCCCATGGCTGCGGTGCAGCAGTGGGTGAAGGAAATTGCCGCTGGCTGGCATGAAGACTGGTCATGCTTGCGCGACACGACATGAAGCTTCTACTGCAAAAGCTCACTCAGGCCAAATTCACCAAGAAAGGCCGTGCCGAGTAGTACTGGGTGGTCATCAAACTCCTTGAGCACGCGAGTTGACATGTGAAGGGCTAATGCCCCGACTAGGAACACTGCGGACCCTGGTCTACCACGGATCGGAAAAGGGCAAGGTCGCCACGCAGTTCAAAAAGTGCCACTCTGCCTGGAAGTTTTACGAGTTTTGGATCATTGTAGTTGGCCTAATGAGTCTACTGTTTGCAGCTTCAGCCATTTCTGAGCAGTGGGGACAGCCAAGGTGATGTTGTGATCACTACGTATCAGACCCTCGAGTTCCCCCGGCTTCATTATGGAAGCGGAGTTTTGGAAACGGAGTTCCACACAGCACTGCGTGTTGACGTGAGTTGTGAGTACCTGATAATCTGCAGCAACCTGCCGTGTGCGATCCAAGATTCACCGCAAAAGAAAGCTTGTTGTAATGATTTCTTTGGTCCGGTGAAGGTCGGATTACCGCCGAGAAGCTCACAAGCATCGGGTGAAATGCAGCTCTGCTGTACCGATGTTCGCCACCTTGCCAAGACCGGTCGCGACTGAAGACTTGGACTGACTTGCACTATCTTGCGGCTCTCGAGGCAAGTACTGTGGCAAGCTCTTCATGCCCGAGTGGCTCGGCTGACATGCGACACCACACAAGTTCGGAGCCACAAAGTCTGTTGGATCGCAGGAAGCTGGCCGTGCATCAGCGGTACTTCTGTGGGCCCAATGCGGAGAAGACCAAGAAGCAGCAGATACCTGACAGCACTCAGCTTCTCAAATTCGTGTGAAGCGCATAGAGACTCCAGATTTGCGGACGATTTGTATGTGAACTGAGGAAGACTGCAGCCAAGAAAGCTATGCAGAGCATGGGCATTGGGAACTCTTCTTCTTCAAAGGATACCCCGCCGACCATCACGAACATCTATCGTTCGGTCCACAGCGGTCTTGTGGAACACTTGTTCGCTTGTGGCCATGCAGCGACAATGCGCTCCGAGGCGACTTCATGAAGCAGGCTGGGGTAGACGTGAAAGCCAAAGGCTACTGGAACGCCGCTGACCTGAGGTTGTCATCTGAGTAACACATCAGCCCCGAAATGTTGCAAACGTCCGAAGCAGCCGCTCCGAACCTCTCAAGAAAGCTGACGGCCCAGGTCATGAAAGAGACTCGAGACAGGTTGCAGGAGCCGGTGTTTGAATGCATTGAGTTTCCTCATCCTGGCCAAGCTGCTCTGCGCAAAAAGCACTTTAAGAGTGAATTCAAGGGAATGCCTGTGAGGAGAAATCATCATCTTCGTCCTCGTCCAAGGCATCGAAATTGCATCCTGGCGGTCTTTGCTGAGGTTGCTGCCTGAAGGCGTAGTGTAGAATCTTCTGTAGATAGGGTTCCGATGGTGGAGAGTTGAGAGCGAGCCTAGATGGAAATGCCTGCATGTGAAGCCCGGTAGGCCAAGACGAGCGAGGATAGCCTCAGCCGTGAACGACTGAACCTCCTCGACAAGAAGGATGGAGCATGTTGAATTGCACGATCCGCAAGTTGACCGGCTGCTCAAGTGGACATTTTCTGAATACCTCGAAGGAGTTGACTGACCTGTGCGTGAAGAAAGGCCCTCACAGTGCAAGATAGTTCGAGCTTTCCGGTCGGTGTTGAAGCGAGGCTTGGGAAGACGAACCCCGGCGATTTCAGACCCCTTCCCCAGCTGACAGAGCTTACGCCAACCGGGGGAAGTGGTACCAGGGCTTCTAGGTTCCCAGAATCGGCCACCGTGATCGGACCACAGGGTCTTCGAAGATGAGTCGCTTGCATCGGCCTGGTAGTGGTGACATGTGGTTACATTTGACAGGATCATTTCGCCCAATTCGAAGCGTTCTGTGCGGAGTCCAGGCCTGGATTCCGCGGGGCGCAAGCCGGAGCTCGTGGATCGTCTCATGGACTTCGCGGTCACCGGCATGGCGGAGGCTCCCGCCAAGAAGGCCATGCCCAGTACTTCAACTCTGATGTATCTTAAGATCTGAGGGATGCGTGGGTCTCTGTCTCTGTGATTTTGAGGCGACCCTGGCCATGAAGCTCATGGTGTCCGTGTCCCCCAAGGTTCGAAGAGAGCAGATATCCTTAGGTCCTAGGTCCTAGTCCTTGTGGCAACGCTGCCGGAAGCAGCCCGAAGGCCAAAGCCCAGGCTGCGAAGCCGGGGAGCCCGCCTGGAAAGAAGCGGCACCGCACCGAAACTCGCTTGGCTTTGCCTTGTGGGGTACTCGAAGCTGGGACGTCCTAAGGCCTCTGCTGCTCCGCACAAGCGCATGTGGATCCTCGAAGCCTGGACCCTGATCTCCTGGATCGGACGAGTTTCAACACTTGGCTGTTGAGTTCTAGGAGATATCCGTGATTGCTCAGGTACCAAGGCGTCACGAAAGTGAAGGCCAGTGGCAAGTGGCAGGCCATGTACAAGGCAGCTTGCACCGGTTACACATACCCGCCCGAAACTCCGCAGACAAGGACATGTGGGGCAAACTTTCCATGTAGTTGAGGCCACAGCTGTCATGCCATGTATCACAGACCCAACCACGACTGGCACTAGAAACGGGCAGAACCGTACCACCACACCAGTCACCAGCGTTGAGACTGCCAGGGCCAGCGCCTGGGCAGCTTCGCGTCGGAGCGGTTGCACGGCGGCATGAGGGAAGTGCGGTGCGGCTCAGCGAAGTGCGCCAGGAGCTGAAGGCTGCTCAAGCGGTCCGCGATGCGGCCGAAGAAGCGGATAGATCGGAGAGCAAGAAGGGAAAGGCCAAGGCTGCCAAGGTGTCAACGCCGAGCTTTGCCTCTGATTTCTGTGCGTATCCTTGCTTGTATACCAGGGGAGTGCCGAGCCTCCGCAAAGTCGAAGCGGACTGGCGCGGACTGTGGCGCAAGGCGGGGCCCTCCCCTTCGTTTCGTGGGGGCCGTGCCGCCGTGTTGATGCTGAAGTTCAGGTAAGGCAATCGCTAGTGGCAGCAAGCGCAAGCATGACGAGATGGAAGGGAACAACTATGATGCTCGCTCAAAACACTTAGCAGCATGCTGCAGCGGCGGTAGTTACTTTGCAAGGTCTGTATACTGGTAACACAAGTTGCCTGTGTCGTCCGGTCATGCATACGGTACATCTGAGGAAGGTTATGCAACTTGGCTGCAAAAATGTTGGCATTGTAGATCGGTCCCGTGAGGATTCAGCCCTACAGATCCTCTCAGCGTGGAGTCGTGAGCTTACCGAAGAACATCTTGTGAGGAAACCTACGAGGGTGCGCAGCTGGACCTGAGCGAGTCTCCTCTGCACTCGATTGAGTGGGCGCGAGTCGTGCTGGACGAGGCGAGGTACGTCGGCCTGATCTCACATGTCAGCGGCGTGAGTTTCAGTTGGACCAGCTGCATCGCAGGCTCATCGCATCAAGGGCCGCACAAACAGCACGGCGCTCGCTGCCTATGCACTGCAAGTGCAGAAGGGCTACAAGCACCTTGCTTCAAGAGTGGCGGGGAGTTTTGTAGCATGCAAAGCTGCACGAAGGAGGTATCTATTCTCAGCCAGACGAGATATTTCGGTAATCACAGCACCATATCCCCAGCGCAACCTCGCCAAAAGTATTCATTAATTGAGTAATGGTAGCGGAAGCAGGGAAGCCACAGTCACTTTGGCAATGCGGATATGATAATACTATCGGCTATCGGTGCAGCAGTAGGAGTGGAGGGGGTAGGAGGAGGACGAAGACGAGGAGGAAGAGCAGGAGCAGAAGGGTAGTGGTAGTAGTAGTAGTAGTAGTAGTAGTAGTAGTAGTAGTAGTAGTAGTAGTAGTAGTGGCAGCAGCAGTAGCAGTAGCAGTAGCAGTAGCAGTAGTAGTACTGTCGTACTGTAGTACTGTACTAGAAGTAGTAGTAGTAGTAGTAGTAGTAGTAGTAGTAGTAGTAGTAGTAGTAGTAGCAGCAACATCAGCAGCAGCAGTAGTGAGTAGTAGTAGTAGTAGTAGTAGTAGTAGTAGTAGTAGTAGTAGTAGCAGCAGGAGTAGTAGTAGTAGTAGTAGTAGCAGAAGGAGTAGTAGTAGTAGTAGTAGTAGTAGTAGTCGTAGTAGTAGTAGCAGTAGAACAGCAAGCAGTGGTAGCTGTAACCGTAGCGGCAGCGGTAGCGATAGCGGTAGCCTCAGCGGTAGCAGTAGCAGTTGCACTTGCACTAGCACCAGCTGGAGTGGCAGTAGCAGTAGCAGCACTAACGACATGATTATTAGCTCCAGCATTTCGGAAATACGAGAATTGGCAGCGCTAGTCGTAGTCATTCACTTACGCGTACAAGGGGTAGTCGTAGTCACAATTGCAGTCACGTTCTCGGTCGCAGTCGTAGCGCAGCAGCAGTAGCGATAGTGATAGTAGCAGGAGCAGGAGCAGTAGTTGTTGTCCTCGAGGAGCAGTTGGCAACTGACTGCTATTCGTACCGCTGCTGGTGATGCTAGTGGTGTTAAAGTGCTTATCAGCAGCGTCACGCTCTTTTACAAGGCTTTTTTAGGTTTACAACTAGTGTTGTGTTTCGTTAGTCTCTGGCAGGTGGTGCCTCACTGGAACCCCTTTGCAGAATCGGGTTGGGGAGCTCTACTCGCTCATCCGCACCTTGTCGCGAGCAGTGAAGCCGCAGATAGCAGTGGCGGTCGGCACTGGCAATAGTAGCTGGTAAAGGAGGTGATGGTATGGCGAAACAACACCAACAATTATGCTGACTCCGACGGCAATGCAGCAGAAGTAACAACACTAGTTGACACTAGTGAAACGATGGGATTCATTTTCTGCATCTCGCCTGCTCAGACACCTCGCGAAGACTCTGCAACAACCTCGATCCTTGCCAGCGCGGCTCAAGGCTTTCTTCGTGTCCGACCCTATGCCTTCTACTATTGCAAGAAGCAGGCATCTTCCTCGAGAGGAGTGCCGAGAAAAGCGAGGGAGATGCATGCTGGCGAGCTTAGGCACATTCAACTTTTCTTGCTCCGCCTGCAGGGCTGCAAATGCGAATGCGCCTGCTTCATGCGGGAGCGGTACTGCCCGAATTGCGGCCACGTGCGCTTTCTGTTGCTTGGTTACAGTGAACACCGCAGCAAACTCCGTGGCTTCTTGAAGAACAGTCGTCCTCTTGTCCGACTTTGTACTTTTCTGCCTGCTCCCCCTCTGAGGCACTACTCCAGCTTCAAGAGAGATGTGCCCAGCCCTCAGAGACTGAATCTGCTCCGCATCATCTGCTGGTGACCTCTGCAGAGCTTGGCGAAACCGGCATGCCTGGAACCATCGCGCCTGGAGGTCCAATCCCATCATCAAGTTCGGCTACATGGGCGCAGGGAAGACAGCCTTCGGGAAGCTCCGGCAGGATCTCTTGGTCAGCAGGCTTCGGGTCGGAAAGATGTTCGTGAAGCGGGTGATATGGGCAAATGCATCCACCTAAGACTTCCACAGGCAGGCTGCAGAAATGCTTTCAATGACAGAGACAGTTCTAGGTACCCTCGAGTTTTGGTGCAGGACATCCTGCAGCGCTGCATGCTCCGACGCACGAAGGAGGAAAGAAAGGCGATCAGAGCTAGTCTTGCTTGGGGTCCTCAAGAGCGTTGCCATGCTTTCGCTCTGCGCATACTCTCACATTGGCGAGATCTGAAGAACCCACGCAATGAACTCAAGATCGAGGGTGTGGAAGCTCGCCCCGCGAGGCAGATCTCAAGTTGCCACCGATCAAGGCCCGGAACAAGACACCTCCCTCGGTCACACTTTCAACACAGATTCCCTTGAGGTCATCATTCGGAAGGACAAGCTGTCAAAGCAGGCGCGGTCTCGTCAACTCCATCGATTGGGGTACCGGGTAAACTCGGTATGCAGCATGACCTGCCCTCGCAGGAAATGGATTTCTACTCCAGCATATACATGCAGTCACTCGGCCCTGAATGGTCAACGTTCTTTGAGCTGATTTGAGCTCGCTCGATGACTGGAAAGGTTGTCCTGTTGAATTCTTATTGCTTCGCATTCTTTCTTTTTCTACGTCTTGTCGTCTGTTTCCATCTCGGTCTTCCCAGAAAGGCCAACAAGTAAGCACCCTGCAAGATCCCGCAGGCAAGCAAGCAAGCAAGCACGAAAGCATGCACACACACACACAGAGAGCTTCTACATAGCTACACATTTCTCGTATAGTAAGTCAATGTAAGCGGCTTCAGTCCAATGCAGTATCGTGCTGCCGAGCACGTCAAGAATGCAATATGGTTTGAATTCGCGTTATGCTTTCATGATGCATGACACATCATAGTGTGAAGCTACCCAGTGGCATATGTATATGGCATCATAAACATAAGATACAAAGGGTGAACACACTGTAACAGATGCACAAGCAACGAGACCAAGGCACAATATGCTGGTAAAAATCTACTGGAGACTCTGACCGACATACCTGCAAGACGAGGCTTTTGTTGCACCCTGTATACCATGTGTAGTGGGGTTGCAAGGAGTAACTGTCAGAACTATTGCGGCTCATGTGTTTGGTGTAGGCTGGGCGTTCAAAACTACTTGAGGCCTAGCGGGGTCTATAAGATGCGGAAGAATTGTAAGCCAATGGGTTACTCGGCTTGAAGCCCTGCCACCTGATCCACCGGGTACAGCGTAAAGGATGTTTTTCTTTTTACTACCTCCCGGCTGCAGGGTGTTGAGCCCCAAAACGAAAGTTCTGACCAAGCTGGTCATGACGCTGTTCTGGCTGTCGTGTTTTTTTCCGGAAGGATGCATTTGACAAGCTTCAAAAGCAGCCCTCGGTTACCCTTGACCCGCAAACCCTGAGTCCTCAAAACTCGGCATGTGATGTTTGTCTGCATTGGCGGACAGGCCAGAGATCGTTCAGCCTTGGCATTTTACGGGGTTCTAGTTGCGAAGCTTAGACTGGTGATCAGACCTGTAGTGAGAGTAAAAGCAATAGTACTTGCCAGGCAGATGCAAAAGAACGACAGAGGAAAAAGAGCTGCGACACAAACAACCACGGCAACACACGGGAACAACCGTTGCCACAGATATGCAATGATTTCGATGCCATGTCCCGTAGTGATGCTAGTTTGTATGGGTTACTGGACAGACTGGCACACCATCGAAAAGGTCGGATGATTGATAGTCGTTTGTTGGCGCTTTCATGGTGGCCCTCACATAGCGTTGAGTTACAAGCATGTCGCTGTGACCAGGTCTTGTGCTGCTCGGTTGCATTGACCATGGCAGCACTGTTACGAACTTAGTACTTGGCGGTTTACCGATGAGGTCAAGTTTGACACCTTCGTGCACTCGGGCACCATTTTGCACCTTTCCTGCAGGGCTGCAATAGTCGAGCCGACGTCGTAGCCTCCCGACGCATGAGCTGTGCCCAAGACAGACCCGTGCTGTGGCCTGAGGCACAACTATGCCCACATCTTCGATTTGCTGACCTCCCTGCGACGAGCTGTGGATCACCCGTACCTCATTGTGTACGGGGGTGGGCAGGCCCACGAGTGGCCCATGTATGCGAGCACTTTCCCATGTCCATCGTGAAAAGTCGCTGTGTCTCTCAGCCACGGCAGGGGACGCACAAGTTGCCTGCGGGCAAGGCCTTACTGCCTGCGAATGCAGGAAAAGTTTGTGGCCTTTGCCAGGCAGGGGTGACTGGAACCTGCGATGCGAGACCAGACAACAGATACAATTATCGAGCCCCACGAAGAAAGCCGCGACAGTTTGATGCTTCAGGACGACATAGACGAGAACGAGGAGACCATGCGAGAGGCCGGCAGCTTTCATGTTCTCGCCAGACTCGAAAGCTGCAAAGCCCATACTTGTGAGGCAAAATGCGGGCATGTTCCTTGGCTGTTCGAAGCAGGCATGGACATCGACACATATGCAAGCGCAACAGAAGTAGAGAATAGATGGAGACCTCTCTCCCTCCCTCTCTCTTTTTCTCTTCTACATCTACCTTGTATCAACCGCACAAGCGAACTGACAAACAGGCAGGCAGGGAGCCAAACAACTAGACGGACAGACACTCTTAAAAACACAAGGCCGAAACAAGCACACAAACAAGCAGGCAAACAAACTCACTTACACGCCCACCAACCCACCGACCCACCGAGCTGCGAACCTACCTACTACCTGCCTGCCTACCTCCCTCCCTACCCTCCTACCTCCCCGCCTACCTGCGTACGTGCGTGCTTGCGCAAAGACAGATACGCATATTCACAAACACGCACAAACACAGATACAAACAGACATACACAAATAAAAAGAAAGTTTCTCACACACACACACACACAAACGAAAAAGAAGCGCGCTCGCACATTGCCCCAGCGCAAGAGCAGCAAGATGTGGTGCGTCACAAGCAAGCCTCGGTGTTTGGATTCGCAGTGAGAATGGGGGGGGGGGTGGATTCAGCTTTTTGCCTTTGCTTCCGAGGTTTTTCATGATGAGTGCATCCGGGCCTACATCGCCGACGCACCAGCTCTGAAGTCCGGAGGAGTGCTTTGACCGCAGACTGCCGTCGACATCGTGGTCGTCTTCACCTCCCCTTGACGATCGATGATCTCATCATCATCAGCAGCAGCAACCTCGTCATAATAATCATCATCATCGTCATCGTTACCATGAATATTCCTCCTCCTCCTCCTCCTCCTCCGTATGCACATTGTCGCTTCCTCATGAAAATCCTCCTTGTCTCAAGTGACAGTTATGCTTGCAGAAACGCTGCGACATTGTTGAACACGCAATGCTACTGAGCCTACTTTATGCAAGACTCTGGTACAACACATGGTGACACCTGCACCTGCCAGTAGTTGCCTACTCGTGGTGAATCGGGAGATTGCAGACCAATGCCGCCCAAGCTTGCAAAGCCGCTGTTGCATGCTACCGTGAGCATTTACCCCCTGTAGCACCGCCAGAATAACCCTTGACGTCCTCGTGGTTCTGCAGCCCTGAGGTTGGATGTCCAGTCTGCTTCACAAAGCTGACAGTCAACCTTGAGGCCTCATGCTTGCGGCTACATGCTGATTGCGATTCCTTCGGCATTCGAACTGACCTGGCTGATCGATCGCATCAGCATCGTTTGTCGCACGGCAGGATGCAGACGAAGAAGGTGACGGCACGGAGGCTAGTTTGAGCACAGCCGGGGGTTGAATGATTATGACACCGTGGTCGGCAGGCAAGAAACCCTTCTTCCAGACAAGTGTCGTAGGCAATGTAAGCACTTTTGCCAAGAAGCTAGCGTCTTGCGAATGAGGAGCCGGAAGGCAAACACAGTCATGCGATACAGCATGGCGTATGGAACAGAAGCATCCCGAGTAGTCATCGTGCAGGAGACGCCGAAGAAGAAGTCTCGAAAAGCTGTGTACTGCACGCCAGTGAAGACAGCCAAGTCCAAGCACTCAGCTTTTTTGGGGGAAAGTGCAACTCGCGAATCCAGCGACCGGAGCTTCAGGCCACGCAGCTCGAGCCCCGCGGGCCCCGCACCCAAGGCCAAGGTGGGACGTTACACAGGGCTGCATGGGCATTCTGGGCACCGGCATCCAGTCACCCTGCAATGTGCAGCTGGTGCTTTGCTGGACTGTGCCGCCGTGCTGCGCATCATGGGCTAACACGGGCAACTCGTTAGGCAAAGACGGCAAAGCTGGCGCTGCCGGCACCTCTCCTGCATTTTACAGCTTCTCCTGTGTTTTTGTCAAAGGTTTGGTTCGGTGGTCTGTCTTGCTTGATTCATTCGCGCAGTGGACTTGCACTGCAGGCGCCCGCTGAAGAGACCTCCAAGTCTGTCGCCAAGGGCGGTTTCGGGCCCGGGAGCATCATGAAGAAGGTGCGTGCTTCGGTGCTCCTTTTTGCGGCCTTCGCGCCTGCGCACTGATACTGATTTCGCAGGTGAAAGCCTCCGAGTTCCAAAGCAGTACCAAGATCGAGGCGGTCGTAGACGAGATCAACAAGATGATTCAGGGCGACAACGGCGCCAAGGAGCTGTGCAGAGTTCCACGAGTGCCAGAAGCATGACATGTATGTCGCTAATAGACATTCTTAGACTGTCCTTGCTTGGCCAGGGCATCGTGTTTTCGCAATTCGGCTCCATGCTTGAGCACCTCCGCAGCAGTTCGGTGCCGCCTCCAGAGTCAGCTAAGCGCCAAAAGGTGCAACTTAGATGGTCAGCTAGCCGCAGCTAGCCTTCGATTGTCGACATTCGTTGACTCGGGTGAATCGCCAGGCTGCTGGAATTTCGCCTGAAGCGAGCCGGCATTACTTGCGCGGCTTGGACAAACTTTGCAAGGTTGCTTTGCGCCAGCTTGTGCACTCTTGTAAGGTCATCTTCCGAGGTGGCATGTCTATGCAGGCTGGCCCTTCGTCCCTTCCATTCCAGAGTGCCTTGACGCAGTTTTTCCTTCTAGGCGCGGGAAGATGCTCTGGCAGCTTTCAATGAGGATCCCAACATGAAGGCCTGTCATTTGCGCAGCACTGGCGTGGAACAACCTTGAACATCGGGCAATCCTCAAACTGCAAACGACCCCGCCTCAATGGCAAACCCTAAACCGAAGAACAAATTAAGCTCTCTCCGCATGGTATTCCGACTGAGCAGCAGGAAAAGAGCCGACAACAAACACACCGTACTACTCACGGCCGCGAGAGGTTCACATATCTCCGAGGAAGCAAAACCCTGCAGGATCATCTCTGATGCCTGAAGTCGCAACAAATCCTCGAGACTCCTACCAAAATGAAAATTATTCGAGGCAGCTGCACTCGGCCCACGGTTTGGACCCTCTCTTGCCTTACCTTTGGTTAGTAGAGAATGGAAGAGTGGTAGTAATTGTACCCCATTCCTCCATTCCCTACTAAACAAAGGTAAGTCTCTTGCTGCGCTGTGCTTTGCGAGGTCATCCTTATCTCCTTGAAGGCAGGAGGCGAAGGCCTCAATCTTCAGGCGCCGTCTTCGGGCCATCCTCTGCATTCTGGAGCTTTAGCGAATAGGGGTTTAGGGTATAGGGTTTAAGGTACCCGAAACCCTAAACCCTAAACGGTGCAGGAGGGTTTAGGGTTTAGGGTTTCCTCTCCCATCGGGCAGGTGGCCAATCATGTCTTCCTCATGGATCCTTGGTGGAACCCTGCGAGTGAGATGCAGGCCGTGCACGGGCTTCATATCACAGGGCTGCTCCACAGCAAGACGTCGTAGCGTGGTTTTGCGTATCTTGACGCACATGGATTCGCTGCAAGACATCGCATGTGAGATCAAGTGAGCGCTTTGGAGGCCATCCAGCGAGCACACCGCATTGGACAGACCAAACCGGTGAAAGCTACTTCGTGCAACAGCCGTTGTTCAATTAAGATTCGTTTGCAGGAGACTTTGAGGCAGACAGTTCAAGGCTTTTTCCGGTCTCTGCTCGGCATCCTACGGCTGTGCACACCGCAACCTTTGGTTTTTGAAGGACTTATTCTGTTTGATGGTTTGGCTCGATTCGGGGCAGCCGTCAATCTCGACACTCGACTTTAAGTTTCGACAACCACTCCACACCCGGAGTTACTGCTCAATTGGTGGGGGGGAAACACCCGCACCCCGTCATCGAAACTCCCGTCGGATCCAAGTACCCGGCCTTGCGCCGCTGCTCCTGTCACTTCATCAGCCTTAGGGTTACATTCTAGCTCGTGCCGCGCGCCATGTGTCGTCAGTCTCATGTTGCGCCACTTTCAGCTAAGGCTGTCAGATTCATCACCACGGATACGATCGAGGAGAAAATCATCAAGCTCCAGGCGGCCTGCTAAAATTTGGGGTGCCACGTAGAGCCGTCTTACGCCGAAAAGGGTTCAGACGGGATCCAAAATCGAGGACACTGAGATTCGGACTCAAGGCTTGGCTTCTTGCTGCGCATCCTTTCGTCCGGGTTTACAAGACACGAGCGGACGCTCGCGGCTCAAGCAGCTTGAGATAAAGAGAGCGTGCCCCGCCTGAGGAGAAGAAGCAGCTGGTCTTCGATGCTTCCATCGATGGCTCCGCGACCTCCCTCGGAAAGCTCACAGAACAGGACATGGCAGAAGTCTCTTGAAACCTCTGAAGTACAGCACCTTGTGGTAGCACAGGACCTGCGCTTCTTGTTCCAGCACTAGGCCACTGCTTTTCGGATTTTCCTCACCCAGCGCTGTTGGCTGAGCCAACGACCAAATCAACTGAATTTTCTAGTATTCTAGTCATGGATTCACGCAAGGACCTTTGAGTAGTTATGTCTTGGTAATTCCTGCGGCAGCCTGGGTTTGAGGTGCATTTTCCTCTGTTCTGCGTGGTCTGCGTGCAGGCAGACCCAAGAGCCAGAATCCAGGCATCTTTGGACTCGGCCAGATCTCGGTCGTTTGACAATCGGCATAATTCTTTATATAGTGCATATATACATACACATATGTATGTATATGCCATTATATATATATATATATATACATGTATTTATATATATATATATATATATATACGCATACATATACGTATACATATACATATAAGTACATAGATACATTATGATATCAAACGAATTATCGGATGTGACATTGCCAAGAGGCATTCCTCTGCCTCGAGCTGCTGTTGACCTGTGGTACGGGTCCGCTGCTAGGTGACGCGTGCTGTCAGCTAGGAGCTGTGGTACGGCTCTACAGTCACAGCTCAAGCAGCCTCACACTCCCCCGCGGCATTTGCCATCAGTTTGCTGGCTGTTCCATTGAATGATGGATGGAAGCACGCAGGGAAACACGATTCAAAAGACCGAAAGAAGTTGACAACAGTCCGCCGGCAGCTCCGGTGCATCCTCAGGAACAGCCGGGCAAAACTGACAGCAGGGAGTGGACATGTGCCGTGTTGGGAGTGCACATGTGACCCTTGATTCCTGACATGCATCCTCGCGAGGTCCTGGTGCTTGAAGCTCTCTGTCTGTCTGTCAAGCCGGTTGAAGCCTAGTCAACATCAGATAGGTTGGAGCGGTTCAAGAAGCGGAGCCGCCTGATGTGGATGTGCTTGTCGAGAATCGCTCGATTTTCCTGCTTTCCCGCAGCAAGATTTCCCAGCCGCGCTGCTTTGCCAGCTCAGTTAATGCTTTCCAGTTCTCCCTGGCTTTCGACGGAGCCTCGGATGATAGTGACATGCAGCGCAGTTTCAAGCTTCAGGATAACAAGCTGATGTAGATTCGATACAGCTCCGGGACGAAGTCCGTGTGAACGAACCGGGCAAAGCCCGTGAACATTTGATAGCTGGCGCTGTCAGCACGGTAGTTATCCGCATCCTAGCTGCCATGCCCCACTGCAGCGATCTGCCTGTAGAGTGTAGACTTCCAAGAATCCTGCCAGAGATTTCTCCCTGGTACATACGAAAATTGGATATGGCGTGCGGCTACGGCTGTTGGGCGGCAGACCACACGATCACAGACTGTGCAAGACGGAATGTGGCGTGGTGCATGCCCGGCAAGTGGAGGATTTAAAGTGCTGCACTAGAGGACCGTCCCCAAAGGAAACTTCTCGTGTCAGCTCGGATGCGGGACTTGCCTGCGCAGAAAAAGCAGGTGCTGCTGTGACATAGTTAAGACTTCACCATGTTGTCGTCTCTTCGGCGACGTGAAGTCAGCATACCTCGAAAGAGAATCGCAAGCAACAGCTGCAGCTCATGTTTCATGTTCACACGGCCGGACGTAGCTTCACATGAAGATGCGGCGAACAGATCATTCATCTCGTGACACGTCTGGTATGCTTCATTTGCTAATCTGCCAGCCGGAAATCAAAATTGACATGGGGTTTCGCAACAGAAGCCCTATGCAGCTACACCTGTAGCGAGTGTATGCGAGAATCATGTGGCAGCCAGCTTGAGTCATGTCAGGGGTTCATGTTCCAGACCTGCCGGCATGATTTCGTTAGCGGTTCTTTCAGAGCCAAACCGTTGGTGATATCCAGTTATGATGTGCATACCAGGTCGGTCACCCACCTGTGGTCTTCTGCACGCCAGGAAACAGGAGAGGGCCGGTGGCTGTAGTTGTTATGCTGTCAACCGCCGCTTGATGCTGCGGCTGCTGGTGCTGCTGTCATTGCTTGCTGCTGCTCCTTCTGCTCCTCTTCCTGCCGAGTGGGGGCAAGTGCGGTGCCTCAGAGCGGCAAGTGGGGCAGCACTGTTAGCCCCCCCGCGCCAAGACTCTCGCCTACCTACTCCTATTGCTGCTGCTGCTGCTGCTGCTGCTGCTGCTGCTGCTGCTGCTGCTGCTATTGCTATTGCTGCTGCTACGTCTTGTCGGTGTTATGCACTGGCCAGCCCTTGCATTCATAGCATGTATCCACTGCTGCAAGTCACTGCCTCGGCAGGGATTTATGCGAGAAGACCGTTGCCCACTTGAGCTGGACCATAGGGAAGGCAGACGTTGTCGCAGGGACTGCGCCGTGATGTTGCAGAGACGTGGATGGTCAAGACACGTACAGACTTGTAGACCTGCGCATCTTTTGTTCTGAGGGCTGATGACACATGTGTATATACATACGTACACATATATATATATATATGTATATATGTATATAGATATGTATGTTTACACCCGCGAACTCACGCACAGGGGTGTCAAAACAGAAGTTGGCAATGTATGTATATCTATGCCAACCCCTCCCCCCCCCCGGAAGATGCCGCCGCAATACCGCTACCAATCCTCGAACATGTGGGCTGTTGGTGTATGGTCCAGGTTTACAGGTACGGTTTGAGGTAGCTGTGCTAGCCCTGATATCCTGGTCTGTGTTCAACTTGCAGCACCAGCTCTGTATTAACCCCAAAAGTGCTCCAATAATGGCCCGGCTATTACTCAGCATATTCATGCCAACCAGTATAGTCATGTATCGTGGCACCTGGTTGTCAACTCTCATTTCCAACGCGCACAAACAACAAACTGAGGTGGGAAGCAAACGCCTTTTCAAGCCAACAGCGGCTTATTCCCAGGAAGAAATGAAATTGGATTGAAAAAACACGTTTTCCCAGGAAGAAGATGGCAGTGGGCTGGAAAGCCGATTATTTCCGAGGAAAAGATGGTTTCGGGTGGAAAACCAAACCCTGTCCTGGAAATAAAACTCACAAAAATATTGTCATTTGTGGAACTTGAACAACCTCCAAAAACATGTTTTATCAGTTTTCCTTAGGAACAGTTTGCAGTAGGTTCTGGGCAGAAAAGCCATCAATCCCCTATGACAACCCTGAGGTTATGTTATGCGAAAAGAAACATCATCTGCGCCGAGGGCTTTGTAGGAGGGCTTGTTCTCGGTGTGGTCGAATTGAGTGAGTTGCATCACTCAATCTTTGTCTTCTGCCGGGGAGGCCCGCTTCCGCACTTTTGCGAATGGAGAGATCTCCGTGAAGCTGGAGCAATCTGTATCCAATTATGATGTGTTCGTGGCCCTTGGACCGCATGCGGAGAGCTTTTGCTAATCAGAACGATGCTTTTCCTTTCATAGACATCTAAGCCGCGATACAAGTGACTCTGATGGTGCGATCGCCCAGCCCCACTTCCTGTAATTGCAGCAGGTTTGTGCGCGAGATGACTTTGAGTGCGAGATCAACTTCATGCTCATGCAGGTCCGTCAAGCAAGATACTCCAGTAGATCGTCAGTTCATGTGCAAGGGCCTTCATCAGAATGGTTGATACCACGTGCCGGGGCAGTTGCTGATCATGCTGGACGCACTGAAGTCCGAGTCGCCGCACCGTATCACCGTGGTATTGCCCTGCGTTGAGTATGCCCGGCAGGAGCTGCAAGTCACATGGCAAAAGCATTAGACAGCCTTGATGGCTCAACACCCGAGGATAGAAAGTTCGAGGCTGGAGAAGCCATCGCCCCGAAGCTCCTGCTGCAGGCTTACGTTTGACAAACTCCTCTTGTGCTCGGCATTTGTGTCTTCCGACCAAGGCTGCACCTGATGGCAACTGCAGGGGCAGACCGTTTCGTCACGATTGACTTGCACAACCAGGCAGGGCGGCAGGGCAGAGAGGTAGAAAAACTGCTCACAGCTCTGTGCCAGGCCGAAGCTGGCTTCAGCCCAGCACAGGCTGCGCTTGATGAGCTGACCTGCGAGCCAGAGCCCCAAGAAAGGGAACTGACAGGCACATGGGGAAGGGACTCACGGTGGCTCTCAGGAAATACCTCGGAGCATTTATTCGGGAAGCGATCCCAAGCTTCAAACCAGAGGAGCCCTGGAAGACACGTTCTTGGCTCTGACTCATGGAGTCCCATCTGCCGCAGGAGACATTGGTGTGTGCCACCGATGCGGGCGGCGCCAAGCGGACCAGGAAAATGGCCGATGAGCTGCAGGCGTGAAGCCGAAGTTGATGCTCCTGCGCCAGCTGGAGAAAACGCGCATTCTAGAGCACATCTAGGGGGGAGATGGACTCCGTCAAGGAGCTGAGAAGTGTAGGCCATGGCTTGCAGGTCGGGTTTATGATGGCCGACAAGTTCAGGCCCAAAGCAGGCGAAGTCGGCCAGGCCAGGACAGGAAGCAAAGACTTTAGCTCTCACGTGCATCTTAAGCACCACTGTGTGCAGTGGAATCATGTTAGGAAACTCAGCTGTGTGGTGATCGCTGCTCACGATCTCAAGCGGGGCCCGCTATTGAGCTAGCCGCTAGCCCCGGCCGATTGTGCCGCAATTAGCCTTGACGATGATCGTCTCGGAGGCCGCTCTTCAAGAGGCCCTCGCACGGGTCGAGAACATATTGCGGGACCTCGTCACTCGGAAGGATGTTTCCCAAGCTTCTTGGTGCCGATTGCGACTTCAGATGCCAGTTGCAGTTTGAAGGAATCGGTGGACCGCACTACAAAACCGTTGTAGTCACCGTTGCAGTCCGCGTTGCCTCATGTTGCCTCCAATGCCTCTCATGCCTCTCACAGTCGTGGCTTGACGAAGCTCCCTCCGAAAGGGCACGGCCATCATTTGTGGGAGACCTCCTCCTGAATGTTGTACAGGCCGAACCGTAGCGTCTTTCATGGAAGCTTCAATCTGCGACGGTGCATACTTGTAGCAGTTGTTGCACTAGACAGACGCGAGCGTAGGGTTTAGGCTTCTGGCCGAATGCTTTGCCCTTGAAAAGTGCTGCTTCCTCGGGCATGCTGACGCTGCAGAGGTTGCCTCGGCCTCGATCTCCTCGCACACTCCGCGCGTCACCTTCAGTCTCAGTGACGATGGTGCACATCTCGTCGATGGCCAGGAGTCGGAGTGTGGACTGGACTTGGAGCCGCCGAGGAATCCGACACTGGCATCGAGTGCTTCCGATTCCTCAAACGAGATCGCTCAACCTCCCCGGAGCCGAAGCGAGGGGATTCCCCTACCTGGCTCCATTCCACAGCTATTGAGCGAGCCACAGAAACAGTCCACGGTCGAGAGCAAGCTAGGCAGGCAGACATCGGTGGACAGCAAGGTGTTAAGTGTCCTTTCATCTGGGCAACAGAGGCAGGCATCGGTGGACAGCATCGCGTCTCAACAGAATAAGTGGACCAGACAAGTGTCATGGATGGCTGAAACGTCCAGGAACATTACTACGCAGGCAGCCTTGGTCTTGGACGATGACGAGGCTGACGTCCCAAAGTTCCAGGCTCATCAGATTTGGCAGGAGAAGGAGGACATCGTTTCCTTCCGCAGTCCCCCCAGACGAAGCGTCTGCACAATGAACCTGCTTGTCCATTCCAGGCGCAGGAGTCGCATCAGCCCGCTCGTACTGGAAGGTTGGTCGGCCGTAGCGATTCTGATGATCTTCATGGAGGGATTCAGGCCAGGTGTGCGTGTTTGTGTGTGTGTGTGTTTGTGCATTTGTGTGTTTGTGTGGTTGTTTTTTGTTTCTTTGCTTGTGTGTGTGTGTGTTTCGGGTCTGGACTGGCCTGGTGTGGCCTGGGTTGCCTTCCCGCTCCGGTCTTGTCTGTGCTGCGTGAGCAATAAGCGCTTGTAGCTGCCGTTGCCTCCAGGATTCCTTTGCTGGCCTTTCCTGGGAATGCTCTGGCTCTGCTGGATTTGCTGGTTCTCATCTTCTGGATCACCAGTGTTCTGGGCACTTTTCTGAAGCGATGGGCAGAGCCACGAAGTACGCAGTGGCTGGCATGGCTTTCCCTCGAGACCCTCCTTGCCGCTTCCACTGCATACATTCTCGTTGCCAGCACGGTGCCCTTTGCAGTGGTGCTGAGAGGCCAGCAAGCTTGCCCCGTTCGAAGTTCCAGGTACTTGCTTAAACCCCAACCCCAAGCAAAACGGGTACAGGTCTGTCTTTGATGCGCATTCTGTACATCCAGACGTTGTGGGAGTGCTTGTCTGCTCGGCAACTCTGCACAACCTGGCACCAGTGGGCTGAAGGAGTTTTAGGTAGACGTCCGAAGCATTTGGGGACTCCGATTGACGCCTGAGGAATCTCCGACCCTGGATCCAGAGACGCAGCCTGGAAGCACGCTTTATTGGCAATTTACTGCCGCTGAGCCTGCACATACGAACACAACCACCCATTTAAACATGCCTTATCCTAGGCATGCGACAGGCTGCAAATGGATCTGAAGTGTCGTAGCAGCTGTCGTCGTTTGCACCTCCCACTGTTTCAAACGGCAGAGTCATATCATGAAGTAGAGCTAGCCGCCATCAGCTGCAAAATTTTTAGTCTCACGAGTCATCCCACGTCTTTCTGGCTTGCCCGTAGTTTTGCACAACTTCACAAGAACAACCTTGCCACTAGTTACCAGCGGTTGCCTTCACGCCATCCGTCTGCCAGTCCCGACCGTAACACTGTGAGGCTTGCCGTGATGGCTGGTGCATTCTTGCTCCACATTGTGACATGCACTTGGTATGCAGTCGGAGATCGTCCTGGCGGATGGGTACGAGATCAGGGCCTCGAGAGCTTTCCGCAACCGGTCCAATATCGCATTGCTGCAGAGTGGGCACTTTCCCGACTTCCGCCTTCACGAATGCCTGACAACATGTTGCTGAATACGCAGGAGGAGCGAGGAGTGGCTGTGCTGATAACGACCTTGGCCATGGTCTTTGCCTCCATTTTCACCTCCATCGTCACAAATGACATGTCCGACATCCGCCGTGCCCACAAAGCGCAAAGGAAGTCGCATGTTCAGCTGTCCAACTACCTCGCGACATATCCGGTGCCCTGGGACTTGGAGAAGGAGCTGCAGGCACGCGCAGAAGAGTTTTGAGCCCCGGTGTTTGATGTAGCTGTCCGCCAAAAGTTGGAGTCTACTGAGGTGTGAATAGACGGTTCGGCATACCACAACGCTTTCGTGAAGTGTGATTCATGAACACTCGAAGCCATGGAGCAGGGCAAGAGAAAGCAAGACCCCGCCCAACTCCAGACATTTGTCCATTTTCCGCATGAGGCAAGACATTGAAAGTAAATGGTGTATAATGTTCATCTGCTGCAGCCTTTCGGTTGTGGGCTATAAGCTAGAAGTTGTCCACTGCAGTTGTTGTCTTTTACAAGCCGCGTCGTGATGACCCTCATGCTCAACGAAAATGCGGTCGACAAACACGTGTGATACTGGCAATAACACTATAAGCTCGCCTTTCATAGACAGTTCGACATGAGTAGCAAGTTAGTAAGCAAACTGAGCTACTACATACATATATGCATATATGCAAATATACAAGCATACAAGTATCCACATATACATCTGTAGTATACAAATATACATACATATATATGCCCCCCCCCCCCCCCCCCAGGACCTACCTCGAAACTGTTATATACGGCGTAGTCTTCCCTGTCTACGACGACATTACACCGTTCGAACCAGGACAATACCACGAAGTATTGTCTACTGTCCTCTGTATGCTACGCTATTTCTGATGTTCCTTTTTTGAACCGTGATCTATAGGGTATACTAAAGGTTATTCTAAATAGTATCTTAAAAGGTATTCTAGAGGATATTCTACGAGGTATATTTGAGGATATTTGAGGTATTCTGAGGATATACTCCATAGGCGGTCTTCCGTAAGGATGGTATTCTACAGGTCATTCTATACGGTGTGAGGGTGCTCCATAAGGTATTGTACAAAAGGCATTCTGCGGCCTATAGGTAGGAAGGTATTCTATAGTGTATTTTATTTGAAAATCATTCAGGTGCATAGAGAGGGTATTTTATAAGGTAGTTGTAAGGATGGTCTTCTTGGTTCCTGATTTCTTCATAGGAATCCCTTGCCCAAAAGCTGCAATTCAACTGGAAATTCTCAGATCTTGGGCTCCGGCTGGCTTTCCATATTTAAAGTCCGTATCTATAAGGTACCTTTTAAGGTTTTCTATAAAGGATTCTAAAGGGTATCCTAAATGGTACCGTATATGTACTCTATATGGCATAGATAAGGTACACAGGATGTATCAAATAGAAGTGTTCTTCTTCAAAGTATCCTACAGTGCATTACAGATGGTATTCTATAATGTGTATGTAGGGCAAATCGGTGGAATTGTATGAAAACATACTATAAGGCAGTTTAAAAGTTGCATTCTATAGGATATGTGCAGCATGTGCTTCAGAAGAGCTTTGTTCTCTGTCTGTATCCTAGATCCTCTATTCCGCAATTCCTTGATATGAATCCGTTGCCAAATAAACCACATTCAACTGGGGAACTCTCAGATCTTGGGTGTACAAGGTGTATAGGGAATATAGAATATGTTATAAGGTATTATCGTATTCTACATGAGTTTATTTACTGTTTGTAGAAAGGGTATTCTGTAAGGTATTCTACAGGCTGTTCTTATTCCTCATTTCTTTCATAAATATCCCTTGCTCAATAAGCTGCATAAAGCTTGGGCTCCTTCTGATTTACCCTAAGTAAATCCTGATCTATACGGTTTCTGTCGGATATCCCAAAGGGGATTCTCAAGAGCATATACAAGGTATAAGGGGAGTATCATTCATAGGGTTTTTATAAGACAATCTGTAAAGTTTTCCAGATGGTGTTCTAAAAGGCTTGTATAAGGTTTTGGGGTATCCCAAGCTGTAACGTATAAAAGGTATTCTATATAGGGTGTATATATATAGGACAGATTTCTATGCGGTGTTTTATGAGCTACAGGGTAGTCCATAAGGTATATACAAAGCATATACTTCATAAACTGTATATGGTACGACCTGAGCATTTTCTATGAAACTCTGGACGGGATAAGACACTAATCCATACTGAACTTTAAAAAATATTCTTTTACAAGTAGGTTCCTGGTTTCCATCATGGGAAGCCGTTACTCAATAAGCTACAACTCAGCTGAACATTCGCAAATCTTCGGCTCCGACTGTTGTTCCATATTTGACATCTATCTGTAAAGTATTCTATAGGGTATTCTAATACGGGAGTCTACGAAGTATCCTATATAAGATTTTCTATGAGGTGCATATTGACAGGCTGTATAATACCTGGTGCCCTAAATTTTTACAAGGGAGCGGCGCGCCGACATGATCACAAGCATAGGGGGAAGTTAGGAGTACAGATGCGATCAAACTGTCAAGCACAGCAATCCGTTCGCTAATCTTCACTGCAGGAGTGGCCATGTGGCACATAAAATGGCAAACCGATATGTTTCGGGAATATTTACATGGTTCCCAGCCACCTGGCTGCATTAAAACCAGCATTAAAAAATTTAATGCAGCCCGGCCCGTGGAACCAAGAACCAAGAACCAAGATTCCCAGGAGTCTTGAATCCTGAGTCTTGGTTCCACGGGCACCGGCCGGGTTGCATTAAAATTTGCATTAAAAAATTACATTTTAATGCAGCCCGGCCCGTGGAACCAAGAACCAAGAACCAAGATGCCCAGGAGTCTTGAATCCTGAATCTTGGTTCCACGGGCACCGGCCTGGCTGCATTAAAATATATTAAAATCTGCATTAAAAATTAAATATTAATGCAGATTTTAATGCAGCCCGGCCGGTGCCCGCGGAACCAAGACCCAAGATTCAAGACCCCCGGCGATTACCAGCAGACATAGATCTCACATGCATCTCAAAGCATGCACATGCTCCTACCAAGGAGCTAGCATGCACTGCAATTAAGACTGCTGCACAAATCCAAAGCGCCGACCAAGCCGGAGAACAATTTTCGAGGCGACACCTGGTCCCAGGTGCTTTGCTGGCACAATGGTGCCTTATACCCAAACATGGATTGCGCACCCACCGACAGTCCCTACCAGCAAGGGCTCAAACCAGAATTTGGATTGGAGGCAGAAGCCGAAAGCGACCATAAGCCACCTAAGCCTCTTCAGATGTGGTTTGCGATTGTCTTCGCACGCTTTATGCAAGCTTGCATCTACATTCCGTATCTTTCTCTGTTGCTTGTGTTTCAAGCTATACGTGGGTTACAAACAGCCCCCCCAAGTCTCCAGCCCCGACCTGCTTCAAACCCCGCAATTTCATCGAAAAAATCACCGCGGAAGCGCCATGTGGAAGCATGTGGAAGCGATGTAAAAGTTGATGCCCGCGCAGGAAGGGTCCGGCGGAAGGGTTTCCCTTTTGCTCTTCACACAAAAAAGATTAACGCTCAGCATCGCACAGCTCATATCATCTTCCACGATTTCTTCACATGTAATGGATAGGATAAAGCAGTTGAGGCAGCCAGAACTGTAACTTGGCTGCTGAACAACGTGCAGCGGATGTAACATCGCTTGCCGAGGTTGGGAGTAGCAAACCTGTGTGTATGCTTTTTTACAATATAAAAAATAGATAAATAAATAAATATAAATATATATATATATATACACATACACATAAAGTACACATATTTGTTCATGTGTGTGTGTGTGTACATGTAAATGGTTTGGCTTGCTTGATGTTCGCACTTGGTTACTTCAACCGAGTCTCCACATTGGACGGACGCAAGGCTGTAGATTCTATAGCGTGTGCATACTACATCAGGAAGGCAGCGCGCATAAAGTTTTTCCCACATCGCTGACAAAGAGCAAAGGGCATGTACGTGAGAAAAAGAATGAAAACAGGTGGAGGCTAGCCACGATTAGCCCCGTCAACCATGTTTTTCCTTTCATGTCGTTTGATTACGTCAGATGAGGTAGTCTGTACGAAATTATTAGCCTTCGTGAGACTGACTACTTGCTGCCTGTTGACTTCACTCTGCGATAAGTTCACCAGATGCAACCAGGCTGTAGAGACGCCGCTGTCAAACTATCTCGCTCGATGATCAATCTTCAGCCGGGACAGAATTCACACCATCAGATCAGGACTTCTCACTGCTAGCCTGTTCGAGTACCCCAGTCGTATTTGTGGGCGGTGATAGTCGAAGTGTGCATTTGGTATTTTTCATGCATGACTTGTGTAAGAAACGTTCAAGACTTGCATTTGATCATATTTTGTGAATCTATGTCTTGCCAGCTTTGTTAAAGGTTAAAACCACTTACAATGCATTTCAGGTGTCAAGCATGATACTGCATGGTGTCTTGCTATGATCCCGAAAATAAGCAGCATCTCTTCGTTGTAGAGTCGCATAGCCGTATCGAACTATGGAACTAGTCAAACTTTACTGTTACGAAAGCAAGTGCAAACCTAGCTATCCCGCCACTGCTTCGCAGGGGAAGCAGCACGACCTGGCAATGCCATACAATTGTGTGTCCTCGCAGATCTGTCCTGGGGAACAGTGAACAGTGCGGAGAATTTGGACCTAATTTCAAGACAGGGTTGCACCTCGTTTGAATTCCCCCCGCACATCGCAGAGACCAGCCCCAAAACAACAAGCCAACAGACCAAAATCAAACTACAAAAAGTCCAACAAAGTAGAAACCTGACAAAAGGCAACAGGACGAACAAGACCTACATCACCTACATATACAGAAGCAATGTTCTGGAAGTCTTCCGGAAATGCTCTAGTTCACGGCTTTTGACCAAGACTTTCTGTTGTGCTCTATCAGGTCTTTAGTATTTGTCTGTGTTTTGGCGGTCGTGATACTGTTGTTGGCATGTCTCAAAAGGGCATTGGGTTCTTATTCGTCTTGGGTCCTTGTGATGGACAGGTCTTGGTTTCGTGAGAATAGCAAAAGTGCTGCAGACGGGTTGTACACCCAAGCCAGTTTTTCCTGTCGTTGCTGTCACAGGCATACCTTCACCGAAACCAGTCGATGGTTCAGCCGCCGCAGAAGCAAGAAATGGCATCCTTGCTTCCAGCTTTTCTGTACCGTGAACTGTGCCGTGAAGCACTTTCGCCGGTCATTGCGAAACACGACTTCTTTTCCGGCCTCCAGTCCCGCTATGCTTCCTTCCACATGAACCTTTGCGTGGAATGCCTTATCGAATGGCACTTAGCGTCGGAAGAGATTTTGTTTTCCAATGGCCCAAGATGTCAGAGCATGATGTTCGTCGCCAGTGGAGAGGTGGCCTACCGCAAGCTCCCCCCGGAGTTTGCAACTTCACCGTTGAGTGCTCGGAATGAATTGAGCTTTGTGCTGCCGACAGCAGCATCTGTGACGATCGTCGAGGAGAAGCTCGGTTTTGGGGACTGGATGTGCGAGCAGTGCTGCTTGCCTCCATTGATTTCCGGTCCTGATCACGGCTTTGGTGGAAGTGTGTGCAATTGGCCAACCCAGGTCTGTGGACGGAGTGGCATTTTCTTGGCAGGGCCGTGTCGACACAGGGAGCGCAGGGTACTGCAATGCAAGGGGTGCCGATATTCAATGCCTTCTCTGGTCTTCCTTGTTTGCTCATTCGATATACAACTCTCTCTCTATATATATATATATATATGTATACTCAGACGTGGGAGGGCGCAGTATACCGGACGCCGGCACCTGCATTTTCTAGTGTCACCGGAAGCGTTTTGCGCACGGGGCGATGACAGTACCGACTTGAGTTGTTTGGGAAGAAGGAATAAAATTGGTTGGATGGGAAGGCAGTATAATTACGGTTCAAAGCAGGATCACTTTTTGCAGCCTGTGTTGAGAAAGCACTTGGGCACGAAAGGGGTCGATGAGATTGAATAAAACTATTCGCCTATCATGCCCCGAAGAAAGCTTGACTTAGTAGTCCTCCCTAACAATAGAGTGTCTCTTGGAGCTTGCGATTCACGAGTGTGTCCCAAGTGACAGGAGCCACGGTTCTATGCCTTGCTGACGAGACACTGATGCGGTACGCTGGTCTGCACAAAGAGGTGATGGCCGAACTTCTCATTTATTGCAGGCCGTGAGAAATGCTGGCATGTTGCGGTTTGGAGGTTTATGACAGGTACTGGGCTCTAATGTTTGTGTGGCATGCAGCATAGCCTGTCTAATTTTACCAGATGTCAGCGTAGCTCGTAGATCTCCTGACTAGAAGCTGTTTCCCCTGTCAGAGTTTCATGTCGTTGTGGGAGTGTCGGCTTTGACAGGATATTCGTCGAAGTCTTGAATGGCGTGGAAGATGATGACTTGACAGATCTCCCCATTTCAATGGAGGATGTTCGGAAGCGCCCGTTGTGACTCTCCGGCCTACGCTGGCCGGACCGGGACCGGAGACCCCGCCCTTTGAAACGGACCTCAGCTCGGAGGAGCATTCGGGTCCGGGGGATGCCACCACGTTTCGGGGAGGAATGCTGCTTTCTTTCTTACATCTCTGCTTCGTTGCCGCAGCAGCCACCACGACAAGGCTGGTGCTGCATGCAACAGCAGAACTGCTTGTCGTAACGACTTGTAGCCATGTCAAGCTATGTGGGGAAAACTACCCACGTTTTTCCATGATGTGTCAGTCGTTTGACGCCAGACGCCAGACATGTGATGCTCCGTCACGGTGTGGTAGACTCAGGCCGCCCGTAAGCGGGCACTCTCTGCAAACTCATTTCTCCGAACTTCCGGTTAGCCACTGCGAGACAGTAGAGGCACGGTGCGAGGTTCTACAGTCTACACAGCTTCTAAGGCGGCTAATTAGAATGCAGATGATTTTGTTGATATTGGTCGGCTCTAGACTCTATTAAAATGCTCGGATTGACTAGCTGTGTACCCAGGACCAAGAGTGTTCATGGGTTGCACGAGTTTGCGCTCGCTTTCAAAGGTCAAGAGCCAGAACTTTTTGTCGCATGCGCTCGCATGCAACGCCGTCGACGGCATCTCTGCCGGAGACTGATTCCTTTTTCAATATTCTTGTGCCAGAGTCGAAGATCATCTCTGAGCCAGCTTCCTTGCTGCTCGGGTGTGGGGAAGCGCAGCCCATCCCTGACAGGGGAAGAAACATGGAGAGTTCGCCTCCAAAAGGAGTCAAACCTTTCAGGAAGTGCAACGGCTTGGTTGGTGCAGTGGGGGTTTTTCTGAACTTGAACTAGGTTTCCAAACCTCTTCTAGCGCGAGACTGTTCTAATGTGGACTCAGATTTTCGACGTAGAAACAACTCTCAACTGGCCGAGCCTATGACTTGTATTTGATACGTGTTTGAAATAATCAAGACTCATGAGCAGCAGACCGCAAAATGCACCAGGCATGCGTCAGGCCAGACAGGATGCAGTGCAGCAGAGCCGCAAGAGCTACTCTATGAGCTGCATGCAGGTGAAGATCATTTCTGATGCATCCCTGAACCCGTCGAACGTCATAATTGTGGATGACATGTGCCAGCCTTGGGCATGTTAACACTCCATTCTCCTCCTGTCCAGATGCGAAGCACGCGCCAGCGCTGCCCTGAAAGGTGCGGTAGATGCGTGGAAGCTAAGTCTCCATGCGGACGCCCAGCGCGAAAAGCAGGAAACGCCACTTAAAGTTTGGGTCCCTGTAGTAGGTCTTACGTCACCTTTGGGCCAAGAGTATCTGGCGTTGAATCATCCGTAGGTGGTGATTGCTTGGAATTGGAACCAGGCGACGGCGGCTTGAAAGTGCTGAGTGGTTCGTATTCATCCAGTCTGCCGCGACCCACCGGCTCTCCATACTCGGGCGATCAAACCATCCTGGTATAGGCAGACGGCGCTGCGTTCGGGTAGCTGGATGAAGCGGGCCACATCAGTAGAGATGCCATCTTGACACCAGGACCAGGACAGGGAGACAGTGTAAGTTCGATGTGCAACAACCGACTTGAAAACTGACAGTGGAATGCCGTCACAGAGCGTGCTGAAGGGAAGGCCCTTCACCCCCTTCTCCTGATGCCTCCGTGAAGTGCTCCTAGCTCCAAGAAGGAGCACAAGTGCCACGATTAGGCTCTACAGGTCTTGCACACTGTGGGTTCTCCTCCACCTCAGAGCTAAGCGCCCAACTCGAAGGTTTGACACTTGCGGCAGTTTGGTCAAAGTCGTTGAAGCGGTCCGGCACTTTGCGCCGGAGGCCGGAATGCAGTCGGGATGATGCTCGTTTGGCTGCAGAGTTGTTGCCCCTTCTACTAGCAGGTCGAGACATGCATGCATGCGAGGAGCACTTTCAGGGTTGTTCTATTCTAAAGCTGGCTGTGCATTCGTTGATGTCGAGGGCGCATGGCTTGCTGAACATGATAATGTGCTCAGAAGGTTTTAATTTCAGCGCGAGCGCATGGGTCCTCTAGAACAACCCTGACATGTGGTGCGATTCAGGCTGAGAAGCGGTGCACAGTGCCAGACTCGGACAGGCTCGGATCTATGCTGTGGGCACGCATGGCTACTTCTCCAAGGTCCAGCTGTTGCATCAGGGTAGGAGGTGAGTGGAGGGGAGTCTTGAGGTCGGGACTCAGTGTGCATCCGGGTCAGTTGGATATTAGGAACTGTTGTGACGAGAGTGCCGTTGCAAGGGTGAGTTGCGACTGGAGAAGCGGATCTGAAGCTTGATAGTTGATATCATCTCCAGGCTGCAGTAGTTGTAACTACCCGGGAATTGCACAGGATGCCAGCGAGCGAGTCGCGAAAATGATCACCGACCTCGGTCTGGAGGCCGCGGCGAAGCCACACCCAATCTTCAGCTACGGGTCTACTAGTTCTATTCGTGGAGAGCTTTGCCTAGCTGTGCGGCTTAGCCATGCCGAGACGACATGCTGAGCAATGAAAGCGTACGAATTCACTCTGTCAGTGGATCGCAGTCACCAACTGCATCTCCCAGAGAATGCCCGCGGCTGAGCGCACGAGTGCATGCGCTTCCATTGTGCTGTGGTCTACGCCCGGGGCCCAGGGTCTACTCAACTCGAGGCCACTGCAGAAGTTCCAGAAGCTCGGCATTGGAGACAGGCAGGAAAATGGTCCCTGAGAGCACAGTTTTTCCTACACTGGCCGTGAGGCTAAAGGTTGTGGATGTCTCCAGGTTGGCCCTGTGCTTAGATCGAAACTTGCGCGTAGCCACACTTGCACCCAAATAATCGTCTTGCACGAGCATCGTGAGCTCATCTCAACCTTACACCGGTGGGAATCGACCATCGCTGTAAGTTTGTGCTCAGGGCTTTGCCTGAAGGTTGCTGGAGCCATCATTCGCATTCACCTGGGAGCCAGCGTGAACCTGCCCAAGTTTCGACAACTTGGGTCCCTGCCTCAGAATTCTTCGAGCTTCAGGCAGACCACAGTCTATTCTTTGGGATGTGGGCTTTTCGGCGGCTTTGCATCCAGTCTTCTGCGGTTTGCTGATATTGGCGCTGATCCTCGCTCCAGACTTGTCTGCGTCCTATGAGATTGCAAAGCTTGCAAGGCCAATGAATCCAGATCCACTGCTTGCAGAAGCTGCTTTTGCACAGCCCCCAGCTACCCGCACTGTTCAAGGTAGTCATCGAGTGATACCGGCGACCGTTTCGTTGATCAGGTGCCAACGACACAATACACGCTCCGAGCCACAAGCTTAAGATACTTCGTTTGACTTCTCACTTTTTGTGCGGCTGCAGAGCTGCAGCATTTGCGCGCGAGTGCTCAGGGCGCCTCCGCACCGGTACCGAGTGCAGAGACGTGATGTGCCAGAGTAGCGCTCTGCGGAGTGGCAGCTTCACGAAGAGTTTTCCTTGTCTGCATCGTAATATAGGAACAAAAACGATGGGGTTCCATCGGGGTTCTATGCTAGACAATGCGATGCTGGGTGTGATGCTTGGTTCTGTTTCTCATGGCCTGCTTGTACCAAGTTACATCCCTAGCCGGAGTAGAGCTGAGTAGAGGCGTCTACATGCGTACAGTGGCCTTTATATAAGATATTATAAAGGACATCCATGTATGAATGCTGCTGCCGCTTGATGTAGAGCTAAGTGTGGTCTCTCGTCGGGTTTGACAGCCTGGGCATGGGTGGGAGGATGTTGGAGGTAACCACAGCATCTGGAGGATTCTGGAGGTGTTGTTCTCACACGCTTGCAGGCTCAGTCAAACCTTGAGGCAAAGATCGCTTGCCAGCCAGAAAAGATTCAGACATCAAGAGTCTAGCCTGAGCAAAGTGTGGGCGCAAGACACGTTGTGACGAAAGCTGGGAACATGATCAGTTAGAGAGGCTAGAGAGACCGCTCCGTTTTTGTGTGTACATTTCCTCTTTTGTGTACCCCATCACGGGTATGATCGCAGAAACGTAACGTGGAATCAGGCAAGTAGCCGAGGGTCGTACTGAAAACGATGACGTGAGTCCCCGCGACCAAGAACACGGCGAGCACGCGCACAGGTTTGCCTATCGTTGCACAAGCGATTGCTACAGGAGGGTGGCCTCTGACACGGGCTCAAGCTTCCTGGGGCATCAGCCCGGGCTGGCAAACTGACGAAGCCATGGCAGACACCGAGAAAAAGAAGAAAAAGAAGGCGGAACGCGGAGCTTCGTCAGAGGGGCTACGGTCGCCACAAAGGGACACATGGCAGGCGGGGGAAGAGCTGTACATAAAGCCGGAAGAGACTCAGAAGCCGATTGACACGTCCAAGCCAGCGACCCAGTGACAGACTTGCAAGACAGACAAGGAGCTTCAGTGCCTCTGTGGACCCATTTGAGATGAAGTCGGTTTCGGTCGCCAAGCGCCAAGTTCTTGGCTCTCGAGGTGGCCGCTGCTGCTCAAGAACTACTCGAAGCTGCTGGTCAGGTTGGCCCGGTTCAGCTCCCGACCGAGTTGCAGCCTTCACAGTGGCAGCTTCGAGAGCAGAGCTCAAACTTGTTGTGTTCTGAAAACCTGTCCCGAGCCCGCTTCGTCCTATGAAGAAACACTGCTGTGTCGCCATCGCGCGCTGAATTTGGCTTCTTGTCAGGACGGGTCACTACACTCCTTTGCCCTTCGGATGCTCACCGATGACACGGCCGCTAGACGTTCCAACCTTGGACTTCTTGGCTCGAGCTCTGAGCTCGCGTCCATGCCTTGCCCTTCGCAGGCTTACCTGCTCTACGGCATTCTCAACTTGGACAAGCCTGTGAACCCTTCTAGCCATGAGGCTCATGAAGCAAACTTTCTTTGCTAAGAACCATGGGGGTCCCTTCATGTCAGGTGGTCTCCTGGATTAAGCGGATTATGAACTGCGAGAAGACCGGACACTCGGGCACTTTGGATCCCAAGGCCCGGGTCCAAGGGCCTTGAGCAGAAGCTGCCTCAATTGATTGCAACTCTCCTCATACTTCGGTTTGAGTCCAGGGTGCCTTTGCCTTGCTTCCAGGTTTCCGGATGCCTTCTCGTGTGCTTAAACCGAGCAACGCGACTCGTGAAAGCCCAGCAGTCAGCGGGCAAAGAGTGCGGCGCCTACGTGCAGCAGCACTTCTGGTGGTTGAGTCTGAGTGTGCTGAATGCCGAAACTCAAGCGATGCCGCGAGCTTTGCAGCACAATACGAGGTACATTGCCGTGGTTCGATTCCATTCTGACATTGGCAGCGCGTCGAAGGTCCAGAAGGCACTGGGACTGGGATGTGAGTGCTTCCCATAAGTATAACTGACCACGGTCACTGGTTGATGCATGAAGGCCTTGGACGAACTGACCGGAGCATGTTTTCAGAGGCGTCGAAGGGAGAGCCAGAAGAGCGGTTGTAAGGTTCAATCTGGTGCCTCCAGAATCCACAGCGCACAGTGCTGCTCAGGCCTCCCGTGATTTCGGCGGTGAAAAGGCAGCTGCGCGTTCGCTGCGGGCTCGGCTTCACATGCTTAGTTCTTGTTGGAGTTTGGCTCTTGATACTTGCGCCCAAGGTACCATCTACGAGGTGTGAGAGCCGCTGAGAGTCAGAGTGCATGAAGATTCCGGTTGATAGCAAGCTGCAACCTGTGGCGAGTGCCATCGAGTGCCTGCGTTGAGACCAGAAGAGTGGTCTTCCTGCCGCTTTGCGAGTCATGAAACGCAGGCGAAGCTGCTTGAGTACAATGCGAAAAGTGCCCTGGCTAGCTCTTCCTTATTTGCTACGTCTGATGGATCTCTAGAATGAAAGCAGTTGGCTGGAATTCTTGAAGCACGCTTCGCTGTCCTTCAGCAACGTGTTCGGTAGCCAGATGAGGCGCTCGAGGCCAATGTGATTTGATACACAGACTGGCCCTGTGCAGAATTTGTATGTCAATGTTATGGCTGCGGATGCATGCAGAAGTCTGACGTAGGGCGCAGTCGCATGGCCTGCGAAGGAGATGTTCAGCTTTCCGACGCTTGCTGCAGCTGAGGACAGATGGCAGTTGTTTGGGCCTCCTGCGAGGCTGCATTGCAGAGGGGAAGCTGCCAGCAACGCCTAACGTGCTACTCGTATGCTGCTATGCCATTTGATCAGGTCTGTGGTAGGCGGTAGGCGCACAACCTCTCGCCAGTGCAGGCCGGAACCTACATCAGAACTCTTTGCGTTCATCTCGGCTTCATGCTGGGTGTTGGCGCACACATGCAGGCAGTGGGACCAACGTCGCGGGCACTATGTTATGAAGTAGTTGAAATGTTGAAGTGTTCCTATCATTCCTATCGGAATGCCGACACGAGAAGAGCATGGTAGTGTTCACCTCAAAGCACCAGTTGCCAGGAGCTTCGGCGAAATAGGTCTGGCGTCCTGGACGAACATAAATACATGTCCACGAAGCGAGGCTGCATCGAGTCCTGCTCTTCCGGTGTGTCTGTGACATCGTTCGCACGAAGAGGAGCATGTTAAGTGCAGCCAAGGATGCACGACGTCCTAGACGCGCAGTACATGTGACCCTCGCATGTCTTCCGATTTCTCACACCCCATTAAGTTGAGCTTGGAGCACTTGCCTTGACATGCGGGGATATGCGGGGATTCGGCTTCAGACCGCCTATTTGCAGACTTGTTCATACCAACTTCGAACGATGGACTTCATGGTTGTCACCCAGACTCCCGCAACCTGTTGCCGGGGGCTTTGGAAGAACCATCATTGCTCGGACCTGTGCCTTTTGATCCACGTTCGGGGGGTGCGTGTGGGTTGGAGGCTTGTTGGAGACAGAGCGAAGGTCTCACACCAGTTCCTTTGTATTTCTGGCAAGGGGTGGCAAGATGAAAGCAAAGACCATAGGTGGCCACGTCGTCACAGCATGGGGTCGTTCGGTTCTTCTTGCAGAAGTCTTGGGAACTTGAAGACCCATGGGTGTATTTGGGCGCCAACCTGGCCAGGTATAACAACATGAGAGACGAAAAGTACTTGCGTCGGATCGTGATGCCCTTGGAGCTCATTCTCACAAACTACCCGCGGATTGTCGTCAAGGCATCCGGCCATGCAGTGAAAAACTGCTGTAAGCTTCTTGAGGTTCCCAGAGTAAGCTGCTGTCCAAGTCACTGTCCTCCAAAATTTCACCCTTCGCCAACAGTTTGCCGTGGGTTGAAGAGCACCAGCTGTCGCAGGACAGTGCCGTCAACGCCATTTGTTACGGGGCGCAGCTCATGATCCCAGGGGTGCTGCGGTTCGAGCAAGAGATTGAGGCAGTTCTGTTTGAGAGAGTGCAGATGGCATTGGCGGTGTCTGCATGCACAAACATTTCCACGAAGTGTGTCTCCAAATCCCCACGGTTTACCTTCTGAGAGTTTTGAGTCTGACTCAACCTTCCGTGCTTGCCCCAGGCTTTAGGATCGTACGTTGCTGGCACGCAGGTCGGCTCGGAAATAGTCATGATGACAACGAAGGGAGAGGCAATGGGATGTCAAAGAGAAGTTGAATTTTGCTTCGGGCTTCTGGGGAGCGCACCCGCTGTTCATGAACCTGAGCTTCTTGTGACCCAGAAAACAAGCATCGAGGAATGCTGACAGGTAGCCAAGTTCTGTAGTTCAGTGAGGAGATTGCCGGACACTGTCCGCACGTCGGCTTAATGGCAAAGCTTGCATCAGGCCATCGCGACTGGGATTGCCCAGATGACTACGGCAGTCATCGCTTCCGTGGATCATGGTGTTGTAGCGGCGACTTGCTCGAAGCAAGAGCCCAGCTAAGCCACGACAGTATCCAGCATCGGTTCAGACGTTCGGAGCAACCTAAGTGTCCCAGGTGATAAAGCGCGTCATTATGGAGCGGGACACATACAACATGCTTGAGACCTGGCAGCTTCTTCCAGAAATCATCTGTTTGTGTCACATGCTCCCGAAGGCGATGGGGCTATGGTCCTCGTTCAAGTGATAAGAAGAAGCTCATCCTTGCCGGAAAGCTGACAGAAAAGGCCGTGTTGTGATTCTCTGTGTACAGCACTGGCACTCTTCAGCCTTGTTCTGACATGGAACCCTGCACGGCCAGGGCAAGCCTAACGAGAACACACCGAAGGCATGGCTCTTGGGCCAAGGAAGGCCCGGAACCGGATGTGAGAGTCTGTTTCAATGTGGTAAAGACATGGTTGTTAGTTGTACGTGAGCTCAGGTGGAGCTACCTTCCGAAGCTCACAAGCGAAGAAGCTCAGGCGGAGATGGACGAAGCGCTCAAAGCCGCAGCCACCTCAGCACTTTGAGCCTGAGACATGGCAGGTCTGCTCGCAAGCATGTATGTTGGGAAATTGACTTGATTGTGCCCTCGGCCTTGAGGCAGCCAAAGCTGGCAAGAAAAAGCGCGCAGCAGAGGCTGGTGACGTGCGGAGCATTGCGGAGCCCCATTCAAAGGTCGCCTGACTACGTGTGCTTTTGCAGCAGAGGTATTCCACTGTCAGGCAGGGGTCTTTCAGGGTCAGGGACTCGCAAGCCATTCAGGTTCGAGAGCAGTGAAGTTTTCATAATGCAGCGCGAAGAATGTCTGGACATGGATGGCGGTACTGCTGCAGCGGATGCAGCGGCTGCGAAGCTTCATAATAGTGCAACTGACACGGCTGCGCGGAGAGATGACCATCTGCGCTCGTTTATCCAGGAAGAGTTTGGCAAGCAGGCTGATTTGCTTCAGGAATTGTCTTCTCAAATCAGGTCTGCAGTGGAAGGAGGCGTGGCTCAGCGTGGACATGTGCGGGAGTTTTCCTTTGCGCACCGCCCATCTCCTTCGGCTAAGAAAGCCCCCAAAGCTGCTGGCGACGATCCGCGTCTTGATGATTCTGACACACATGCCAAGACTAGCGCTGAAGGCAAGAGGGAGCACCACAAGGATCACAACAAGTTCTACGAGCCAGGTGGGATCTCCAAAGAACTCCCAGAATAGACCCCAGCCTCATCCGATGCTCGGGCATGCTGGGTTTCGCATGCTTTGTGCTTCCACCAGAACTATCCTCCCGTACCTGGCTCCCAAATTACAATCGCGCAAGGAAGTAGAAGCTGTTGTTTTACACACCGTTAACACGCATGTTCGTGCCGTGAAGAAGATAGTTGCCCCGTGGCCGCGAAGGTTACGGTTGGCGTTTATTGCACTCCGTCTTGTCCTGCCCTGAACCCTGGAGTTGGAATAATGCACTTGCCTGTGGCCGTATCCGACGTCTTCTGTTGCAACTAGAGATACCAGCTGCACCGCATGCCACCCAACGCCTAGATGAGTCTCGGCTACCGACTGCGAAAACTCAAACTTCAAACACTCCAAAGACCCAGAGACGGAAGGGGCCGGGAGATTTGCGTGGTGCTGGTCGAACATGGGTCTCGCAGTTGCCATAGGTGCTGCAGTAGGTTGTACGGACTGAATGGTTCGGTCACGCATTGAGATTGAGATGATGCATCCTCTCCTGCTGGTTCGAGTTAGACCTGTCGCTCCTAAACTGGAGATAAGTAGGTAGCTGGTAGCACAGTGCATCTGTTTGTTGCCAACGTGCTCGCAGAGGGAGCCTGTAGCTGTCGATGTCGCCCTAAACCCGCTCTGCCAGTAATCTTCAAGTCCTCAGGCTTACGTCCGAGACCTCCAACCTTAAATCTGGAATCCCCTACACCTGAAATATGAAGCCCAGAGCCCTGGCCCCTGAGCCAGACGCCTGGCATGTTACACTCAACCCGATAAGCAAGCACCTGGGGAGACTCTTGATGCATTACATGCGGCAGTCCAACGCATCCGCATCACAGGCGACCCATTCTGGGACGACGAGTTGCAGACGAGACTGAATGAGCATCAGAAAAAGGCCTTCGCGAAAGCCAGGTCTGCGACGATGAACTCCTCGGGCCACCACGAACCTCAACCACAACCAGGATTCTTGAGTGGTATTGCGCACATGGTTGTTTCCTCTAATATCTTCCAGGCGGGCATCATGCTTCTCATCCTGATCAACCTTGTACTTCTGGGAGTTGAGGTCGATGTAGCTTCCACGTTGCCACCCGGTGAAGAGCCCCCGTGGTTTCAAACGGTGAATGTGATTATCGTTCTCATTTTCGTCACTGAGATTGTCTTGAAGTTCGTCGCGCACGGATGCAGAGACTTCTTCTGCGGTCCGGACAGGTGGTGGAACAATTTCGATTTGGCAATTATAGCTGCGTCCGTCTTCGAGACTGCTATGGAGCTCATTGCATCTGCAATATCTGTGGGCAGCATGGATTCAAGCCATTTGCGAATAATGCGTTTCGTGCGGCTGGGTCGAGCTCTTCGTGGAGTCCGTGTCATGCGACTGCTTCGCTTCATTTCTGCTCTTCGGTCGATCGTTTTTGCGATTCTGAGCACGTTGTGGTCGCTGGTTTGGACCCTGGTTCTGCTGATTCTGCTCTTCTACTGCTTTGGTGCCTAAAATGCATCAACTGTCAGTCCGTTCCCTTAGTAGAGGTAGCCTTGCCCGCTGCAGCGGAACTCGAGAGCTGCAGCCGGTCGGCCTGCACCGCTGCTTCGCTTTGCTTGTGCCCTGTTTCGGCCAAGGTGTCATCCTTGCCCAGCTCGTGTCTGACCACTGTCGATTCTCAGCACTTAGCTGGAATTCTTGCGGTCCCCTGCAGCAGGGAAACTTGCGGCGTTTGCAACATTGACAGGTATATCGGACATGCCACACTACATGCACGAATCAAACAGCGCGCATGTACATATGCATGCATGCATGCATGCATGCATGCATGTATGTATGTATGTATGTATGTATACACACGAAAAACACATACATGCAAACACATTACACACGCGCGCATCTTACAGGTATATCTCGTATGTAGATCCATATTCATGCGTGACTACCTGCATGAATCTATTGGTAAACACCAAAAATTACGTATGAATACACAAATGTATTATGTGTGTGTATATATATATATATATTTATTTACACAGGTGTATATATATATATATATACATATGTGTGTGTATATTGTTGTCTCTCTCTCTCTCTCTCTCTGTCTCTCTCGCGATGCTCCGAGAGCACTCCAGGGTCGCAAGAACACGATCGGAGGACGAAAAGCCCATGGCACTATGACACCAGTCAGGTCAGGTGCGCTGCGACATCCAGAGCTCCAGCTTGGGAGCTGAAGCCTCTATAATAACTAGAATAGGGTTCCTTGAAAGGGGTCTATAAGGGCTACTAGAAGGTATCTATAATGATCTATGCCGTAATTGTCTAAACTCCGGGCTTATTCCAAGCTTTCCCAATTCGAGTCGAGTGCAGTGGCTGAGGTCGATACCAGGATCCATCGGAGGAGTGTTCACCAGTTCTCCGAAGGTTCTGGTCCAGCGTCCCGGAGAGCATGCTCCTTGGTGAAGTTGACTATTGAGAACAAATTCCCTACCGAATAGGCAGAGCTCAACAAAGGAACTCTAGGCACTCTTTTCAAGCACTTGCGATAGAAGACCTTAGTTTTGTGCCAGCATCAAGAACAACCTAAACAAGCATGGATTTGAAATGTCTTCGTCACGGTCATGTCACGTCAATGCCCAGTCGTGCGGATGGGGATAGTTTATTCCAATCTCCCGACTGACTGCCGCCGCTTGTGCCAACTAGAGATGAAGTTTCTCCGTAGTAAAGACGGTCTGTGCTGCTATGGCTTGTTTCTCAGCAAAGGCTCACCTTATTCATGTCCATAACTGGTGGCCTGAGCTGGGTTGAAGCGTTGGAGCCGCTGCGAGATGCCACTCCGATTGCAGCGGCCTTCATGCTCCTATATATATTTATAACCATCTTTGCTATTCTGAATGTGGTGACTGGAGCAGCTGCCTCAGCTTGTGCCGTCGCTTTGCTTTGGCGCAGGATGCTCTTCTTTTTGAGTCGGATCACTTTTGGCCCGAAGGTTTTCTGCAACAATGCCATCGAGAGCGCAAAGGCTGATAAGGACCTTCTGCTGACCGAGTGTGCACGGTGTGGTACGCGTCAAGAGGGGCACGCCATGGCAGGAGATCGCTATCATGAAGCAAATGCACTGGCATCAAAGCCAGCTGCGCACCTTGAAAGGCACCTTGCCTCGGTTGAACAGGGCGATGCATGCCAATATCGCATTTCGCTCAATAGACCCAGGTGTGTTCCGAGAGATCGACGCAGACACGTCGAACATGATCACCTTCCTCGAGCTCGAGGACGAATGACAGTCTTAGTATCGTAGGGTTTTGACGGAGCCACAGAGCCTTGCAGAGTTGCCGTGATTCCGCAAGAATTTGCAACTCACGAGAAGTTAAGGGTTGCCGCTCTCCAAGGCACAGTGTTGTCGCCCCTAGAACCGTTTGGTTGTTGTTGTATTCCCGCGCGAGTCCCCGGAGGCCTAAATTGCCACCCTGCCGTTGTACTGGTCGTGTGTAATCATGTGTCTATCTACCCAGCTACCTAGCCAGTTAGCTAACTATAGGGGATCTGTCACATGTACGCACATGTAATACATGAATGTATGTGTGTATGTCATGTACCTACATGCGCTGCACGTTCGTAGGTAGGTATGTAGTTGTGTATGTGTATCTGTATCTGTATAATATGTATATGTATTTGTATTTGCACCAGTATATGTATTTGTATATGTATGTGTATGTGTGGATGTATGGATGCACGCACGCATGCACGCATTAATGTTTTCATGTATGTAAAGTATAGCTATGTATGCATGCATGCATGCAAGCACCTGTGTTGGGTGGTCTTGCCTGGCCTGATTCCATATCCGAAATCTGTGCTCGCTGTGTGACTAATGATGAGTGAACTCGGCGCAGCAAATAATGTGCACTACACTCTGATGGGCATGTGGGGTAAACTTTCGCAGGAGGCGCTGTCGCAAAAAAAGCTCTCGAGCTTTATGGAATCGATGGACATCTCCACACAGGATATCTGGACTCTGTTCATGCCGCCTGGAGCCGCAGCAAGAGTGTGTCAGTGTCTGATACAGGGCTCCCGTGCTTCCTTCCCCCGCTGTCTGTGGCTGTGCTCCTTGTGCTCTTGTGGATGCCCGCTGCGGGACGACTTGTCATCTGCCATGCAGTTTGCACACTAAGGGTGTTGGATGCGGATGAAAGCGGCGAAATTTCGCTTGAGGAGTTTGTGGAAGGCTGCATGCAGCTTCAAGGTCCAGCGCAAAGCGTGCAGCTTGCGAGAATGAGATACGAAACGAAGATCACTCGACAAGAGATCAAAAGAGTGTTCGACGAAGTCCAAGAGTTGGGCGCCATGCTGCATGGTCCTTGCTGAAAGCAGACCACTGCAGTGTGGATCCTTTCCTCCCGAAGCGGAGCTCGCATGTGTCACCGCGAAAAAAAAGAAACCCTGGCCTGCAGCACAGATAACTATGTTCTGTTCTCTCTTAAACTGACTCGGAAGGGCCACTTCGATCGCCTTGACTGCTGGCCCTGCAGGCAGAAGAGCCTGCTGAAGAGGCGCGGCAAAGCCAGAACCGTGCCATGATGCAAGAAATTGCACGAGCACGTGAAGTTCAGATGTTTGTCCTGCAGTGAAAGCTTCCTTGGTGCCGCGTTGCCACACATGTGGCTCATCGAACTTGGCTCTCGTTCCCTTCTGCGATTCTGGGCTGGTGGGGCAGCATGAACTAAGAAGAAGCTGACAAAGTGACCCTCCGGCGCTTCTCGACGTGATTTTGCACGTCGGGACGGCCGTTGCAAGTCATTTCAGAGCCCCAAGACCCGAATGCCGCCGCGACACGCCGCGGCAATCTTGCAGCCTGCCAGGCACCTGTGAAAAAGAAGAAGAAAAAGGACAGACGATCGATGATGTTGTCATTCATCATTGGTGGCTTTCTCGATCCAGCTTTCCGTGTCATTCATCGTCTTTGTGATTCCTTAGGTTCATAGGAGACGCCGCGCAACGTGATAATTGACTTGAGACCGTTCTCATTTTTTCATGTTGCAGGAAGCCTAGTGCAGGGAGCAAGTCCAAGGCTCAGCGCAGGCGGCACGGCCGACGAGTCCGTTTGCTCCGTTCTGTGTTCGTTCAGCCAGAGTCTTGCAGCCGAGGCCTTTGCATCTCTGCGGTGTCACTTTGAGGCCTCCATACGGAGGTACTGGTGTGTGGAGGCCCTCGCAGCGCGCCACAACTGAGCTGGTTCCGAAGATCCAATGGCCTTGACCTCTGAGAATCACTCAGTGATGCTATGAAGCTTTGATCCGTCGACTTTCTTGGCATCTTTTGAACCTCTTCGGATCCAGTTCTTGCACGGAAACCCGTGAATTCCTTCCCACAAAGAGAGTATCGAGAACTTGATACGATAGTTGAAGTAAAAACTGAGCACAGGAATTGCTCCTTGTTCAACAATAGCAATAGTGCGCTTGTTGTTGGAGCATCATGTGTGCGACGGGATTCCGGGACATTTTAGCTCCTGAGCCCAAGCAGAACGCGTGCGGAGGATATACGAGGGCATCATCTTGGTCAGGTCTTGAGCAGATGTACGTAAGCATCAAAGATTAGGCAACAATCAATCCATCAATCAACAAGTGAAGCAGTGGGTGCTGCAGCTCACACCGCCAAATCATCTTACACAAGTATTCAGATTGTCGTATTCTTTCCCAGCCGCTCTGTAAAACTACCTATCTTCTTGCCTGCCTACATAATTACATATGTACATAGTTACGAAATGCCTGGCTTGGGAGCAGAGCGCCAGCACGGGATGGTCAAGTCCCCGCGTCCATGCCTGTAGGTTCGATAGAAGGTGGCCTTCCGCGCGCAAAAAAACATGGATTGTCAAAGTTGTCACCGAAGAGCTCCAAGATCCTCGAGCTGTGAGCAGAACCATGCAACCTAAGTTGCTTAGTTGCTTCCTGATTCATAATGCTTCAAAATTACTGTCAGAATCTCTAAACAGGATCACAGTAATGTTGGGCTCAAGTACGACATCCTACAATTGTCCTCGCACAGTGTGGACACTGGCTCTACGCCGATCGTGGCAAAGGCTGGCCGAGATACGCTACACACTTACTTGCACACTGGTCATCAACCTGACACCTTACGAGCACCTGGACACCTTCGGCTCGGGCTTCACCATGTCCCGCCCATTCTTCTCATCGTGAAGCCGAAGTGCAGAAAGCAGCGCCTCCAGCAATGACTGTATGGTATGCACTCGTCGAGTGGGCCACCTCATTTACTGAATTTCGCCAAGGGGCAACATTACATCGGTCTTGCACAGGGTGCAGCCAACGCGTCCATGCCACAAAGCGGCAGGATCAGACTGTGTTGCAAGTCCGATTGACTTTTCCCTGGTCGTTCGAGATATACGCAACAGGCTGACACCCCGACTCACTTTTCATGCAAATTTGGCCTTATTCATTTGTATTTGGCTTTTTTGTTTTTGTGGTATACAGACAGAGAGGATCTAAACCCCGAGGAAGTAAACCTAAGACTCAGCTCAATGATATGACGCCTACTGCTACTACTACTACTACTACTCCTACTACTGCTACTACTGCTACTACTACTACGACTACTACGGCTACGCTACCACTACCGATACTGCTACTGCTACTGCTATTACTGCTACTACTGCTACTACTGCTACTACTGCTGCTACTGCTACTACTACTGCTACTACTACTACCACTACTACCACTACTACTGCTACCACTACTACCACTACTACTGCTACTACTACTACTACGACTACTACTGCTACACTACCGATACTAATACTACTACTACTACTACTACTACTACTACTACTACTACTACTACTACTACTACTACTACTACTAGCCCCACAATACCTGTCCTGCGCCACCGAAGCTTGCCGTGCAACTCCTCTGCAGTCTTGTGCTTGTCGCATGGCTCTGAGCAGGAACGTATTTAGTGTGCATAGCACACGTAGTTCTAGCATCTTCATGTCGCCTTTGTTTGTCATTCCGCGATTGGAGCCTTGCTAGTATGGGCTACCAAGTCGCTGTAGCGCCCTCGATTGGATCCTCTCCCACATCTTGCAAAGAATTGGCAAACTGGTCCGGGGCTATTGTGTAGCAGTTACAGCAGACTTCATCATGCTTTGCGCCAAAGATCTTGCGCTGGCGTGATATGCTCCGAGCAGATGCCTTGGGACTGGCCAGTGGCCAAGTTGGAAGTCGCCACAAACGACACCCCAAGGAGGAGCGGTCGCGACTTTGGCCTCCATCCGAGAGCCCAGCGAAGGGCGAGGTGGCCAACTGGGGCCTGAGGGGCATTAAGGGCCATTTGGGCTTTAAGATCACGGAGTTGTGCCGTCGCAGGCCACAAGCTCCCTCCAGCGGCCTCAAAGCAAGGAGGTCGGGACAGCTCGCTTGTGTCGTTCATAGGCGCAGGGTAAGGAACAACAGACTTCGCGAGTAGTAGCATCACCCGCGGGCAACAAGACAAATAGTAAGCAGCGCCTATAGGGCGAAAAGTAAGCATGCAGGTGATCTCCCGCGAGTTCAACCTGCGGTTGGGTGGCTGGTTTCCAGCTCTGAAATGGCTGATCAAGGTTGGGAGCTTTGGGAATGCAGAGTTCTGGAGTTTGCCCTGTCGGCTCGCCGGAAGTAGGTGGGGGGTCGATTCCTATTTGATCATCTGCATGTGCTGGCTCTGGGTACTCCTCACGTTAGCAGAAGGAGGCATGTCGGGAATCAAAAACAAGATTATGAGATGGTATGCCGAATGGTCGAGTCCAATCGCCTTCTTTGATGCTTGAGCTTGCGACAGAGTCTTACGCACCAGCAAAGTGATACAAACCTGGCTTTTTTCGTGGCACAGTGCGCTCTCCGATTGGCAGGAGTTCCGGCTGCGCATTGGCTACGAGACACCCGATGAGGAGGCCATCCGACCCGAGACTGCTTCGGAACTGCAGCATCGCCTCTCCATGACAGGCTGGCATCCGCTTTTGGATCCGACAATTTTCCCCTGGCCCGGACCCTACTGGTTCGCAACTTCCATTGCTTTGCAGCAAGGCCAGGCTGCAGCCCCACACACTGAAATAGACTTTTGAAAAGTTGCCAGCTGTAAGAATCCATGAGGTCGGTTTGAACCTTATCGTGTCTTGATCTCGACCACCCTTCGAAAAGGCCCTCAGTTCGCTTGCAAGCAACTCCAACCCCACTCGTAAACAGCATCAGCGCGAGCAAGAATTGCAACTGCTACACCATCCTCATCACATCCAGATCCTGGCGCACGCCCCAGGCCCACATACATTCGAAGGCTTGGATCTTTGGACCATAGTTAGCACGATTGCGCTATGGCTATGTTTCTGCTGACCCAAGTTTCGAACTCGTCTATGGTTTCTTCATTCCTCTACCGTCGGATGATGTGCAGCACCTTGAGGCGAGCGCCATGCTGCCGAAGCACCTTCAGAGCCCGCATCCTGGCTGTGGCCGTCTTCCTGGCACGTCTTTCTTCACAGCATGACGGTGGTACGACATAGTCAAATGCCTGTGCCAGGACTGCAGACGAACCAGTGCTTCCAGCGACAAAGCAGGAGGCCGACCTCGCGTTTCTCTCCGGCCAGCGGAGTTTCCGAATCCCAGAGCACCGTCCCCACCAGAGGTGCGTCAAGCTCGCACCTGGACGCTCGAGCAGGTCGAACGCGGCGACCCAAGCAAAGCTCCTAAGCATCTCAGCATCACGCGGCCCAGCCGCACACCTCGCAGATTCCGTAGTCTCTTCAGGCCATGTACTGCAGTGCCTTCTTCAGCATCGAAGGCCAGATGACCAACTTCTTTGAGCTCAAGCGGCAACTATGTCCCAGCATGCGGGCGCCTGAAATCCCGGGACCGGGACCTGTTGATAAAGAACCTGCTGTTCCCTGCCAGGCCAATCCTTGTCCCGTTGAAGGAGCTTCGACTGCACTACGTGAAGGTGGAGCGACCTTGGATCTCAGAGTGTTGCTAAGAGAAATTGTCAATCCGCCTGCTTATTCAGCTGACACCTTGCGATGCACCATGCTCCGCAGACTGGCAGAGCAACTTCGCCTGAGCAAATGCGCTTGCACCGCAAAGAGGACAGGCATGTACCACACGTGACAGCAGAGAGATGAAGGTGAATCTCAACATCAGCAGTTAGTGGTGTAGGAGAAAGGATAAGTTTTCTGCCCATCTCAGTCTCTCCAAGACTATCACAGAATCCTTCCGAGCGAGGACTTGTCTACTGGCAAGGCTCGGCCTGCAGCGCGGAGACTGTATCATATTATCATATTACTAGTATTAATCTATATTTACTATACCATCATTACAGTATACTGTATCACATTACTTCTAGGAGTTGGATGCTGTTTCTGCCCTGGAAACGGAAGCAACAGCTCGGTAAGTGCCAACGACAGCTTCCGATTCCGAAGGCTACGGCTACTTTTCGATCCTTGTCGTCTTCCAGGACATTGCCAGTGAACTCCTGGAAGTAATGTAGTGTAGAGAATAATCTGTGCGCTCTTTTTTCCCATCGCAGGGCCTGGATCCCGGCAGGCAGACCAGCCGAGGCGCAGCTCCGGAGAGCATCTCTTTACGCTGTCGAGACAAGTGCAGATTCCCTGTACACCTGCAAGCCTGTATGTAAGTGCTGCAGATTGCGCAGTGGGCCTTTTTGCCAGATGCTCTTCTTGGGAAGGAGCATGGGATAATTAATGCGGTTCCTCGTAGGGCATCTGGCAGGGGCTTCAAAGTGGCAAGAGAGCATCGGATGTGGTTTTCGATTGGCAATGGAGCATGGGATACTTCTGCTCGCTCTCTCATTGCAATGCTCGGAGTCGTGGCAGGCAGTGAGGAGCAGGCGCAGCTGCTCAGCTCGAAACGACGAGACAGGGATCGTCCGTAGCAGACTTAACGCCACCAGCAATGAAAACTCCCTGCTGCCAGATCGCAAGCCCGCGCAGTCCGAGCGAAGGCAGCCTCCCTTGGCCACGTTTCCTGCAATTTCGGCACTAGGGTTTGTGACGGTTTATGTTCGCGTGGTGAGGGTATCGCCAACATTTTCTAGTTTGCGGATAAACCGTCAATAAACGAGCCACCTCAAGATATACCGATCTTAGAGCAGTTGATGAATGCATGCTGCAGCACTTGTATGAAGACAAACACATGTACTTTTAGACATCCCCCGTTGTGTGGCCTGCACTTTTGCGAGCTGTTTCGATGCATGCATCCAACATGTACATCTCTCTTTCTGTCTCTCTCTTTCTCTCTACCTACCTACCTACCTAGTTATCTGTCTGTCAATCTATTGCTTGCTGTAGCGGCGACAAGAGCCATGGTGTTGATGTGCAAGCAAGTACAGTATGCAGGCGTAAGTCCGTCGCACAGTTGGTACAGTTATCGCATGGACGGGGACGTTTCTGCGTATGTGCTTGTGTTTTTGGAGCTGCGACTGTAGCACCCGCCCTCTGCCAAGGACTCGGCCGACTTGTCTGAACTTGCTCCGCAGCTGCTATGGATCAAGATAGAGGGTCATGGTCCGAAGCCCTCATACCCTCAAGATTGAGATGGTTCACTGTGTCTCCCCAGCTGTAAGTTAACTGAAGCGGACCTCGGCTTTGGCGGCTGTCGGGCTATGCAGAACCTCTCAATCCTCCATGTGGACCAGAACGGCTTCAGGCCGGACCGAGGACCGAGGAGGCCTGAGGCCTTGAGACTCTCAGAGTCTAAGCAGGCCAGCCTCGGCAGCCTTGGGCCCGGAGTCCGCAGCGCTGGCGCAGCTGAAGGCCGCTGAGTCCGCCCGAAAGCAGCCTTGGGCCAGGGTGCTTCTCTTCGCAGGCCTTGCATGAGCTCGATCAGAAGTCCATCTTGAGTTCCATGGAGGTGCTACGCTTGGCTTCTTGGCTTTGGTGAGCGCCTTCGACCCCTTGTGTGCTTGTTCAGGCCAATGCTGTGAGGCGCAAAGAGCAGGCTCTGAGTGTCGTTCTCCGATGGCTCCTTAGTACATGTTACACATTATTACATACATATAACATGCATACATAGTATGTTTGTACATATTTTGTATAAGCTCAAAGCATGTGTATATGCATATCACAACATTGATAATATTACATTATTGAGTTATGTTATATTGTATTATTGTATTATCTTATATGATTTTCTCATGTTGCATATATATATATATATATGTGTGTTTGTGGACCTTTGTGAAGAGATGTGCTATGCGCTGACAGGGGAACTTGGCAATGGAGAAGAGCGAGTACCGTCACGCGGTCAAGGAGTACAGCCATGCCGCAGCCTCAGCCTTGACCCCGCCCAGCTGGTTATTGTTATTGTTGGATCCATGACCAAGACCTGTACAAAAAAGTAAAAAGCAATTGTACCATATGCATATTATATAATATATAGATAGAGAATATGGTATAGTTGTATGGGTAATGTTATATACCCTCCTGATTTTTTCGCTGCCCTGCAAAACCCCCGAACCGGTTCAGCATTTCACCGTTCATTGCCCCTGGTTGGGACCCTCACCAATTCACCATTTCACCAATTAGTTTGGCCCTATGTCAAAACCCGTACACCATTTCACCAATTAGTTTGGCCTTATGTCTAAACCCATATACCATTTCACTTCTCTCGCTTGCTCCATACGGTCAGGTGATTTCACGATTCCACCAGTCATTTTCCCTTATCATATGGTCAGGCTCCTCAATGTCATACAGCTAATCGGTGAAATTGTGAATTGGTTCGATATGGTTAGTCCTCCTCACCTCGTAAGACCCAGGTAATTTAATTGGTGAAATGGTGCAACGGAGCATTGGTGAAACGTTTTATGAGTGAAAAGTGGGGTTTGGGTACCAAGCCACCGAAGGATCAAATTGACTGCTGAAACGATGAAGGTGTTTGTCGGTTTAATGGTTGTGTTTAGGTAACTGGGTTTTTGAAGGTTCGAAAATCCAGGGTTCGAGCAAAAAGGTTTTCTGACCACAAGCAAAATCTATTTCGTCAGCACTTCATCAACACCTACATCCAAACTTTCGAGAGTTGCAGTGCTGAAAACCGGGACCATCACGTAGAGCCGACTGGGAACCAAAGGCCTCATCCAGCTGGTCCGAATTGTGAGAGCATAAGCAGCCCATACTGCACCGGGCCGATAGTTCGACCCACTAGCTTAAACATGCTGGAACCCCAGTTCCCCACCCTCCCCATAGACTCTCAAAACAAGTGAGCCCTGGGGCCTCCTCCGGAACTAAAAAGTACTTCATTTTTAAAACGGTGTAGAAACTAGACCACTAGCCTGCGTAGGGTAAACGACACTCTGAGGCACTCCGCTACTCCGTAAGAGCATGCATGTTAGACAATGCACGTGTCATGTTCAGTCGACTTTGCTAGTCCCGTGCCCTGCAGCATTTATGTTTGTATCCTTGTGAGCATCTACTGGAGCCCTGTTAGAACCCATCGTCCCAGTCCAGAAAATGATTCCTCGTGATGTATGTAGAAACACCACGGTCATCCATAGAGATTTAGAGACGGTGTGTTTTATGTTGGCATCGACTTGGACGCAACGACATATGATTTCACGGTTGCTGATATGCTTTTGCCAGATTCAAGGATATCAAGGGTTTATAAACGCTGCCTGAGTTTGTAGACTTTCTTATGGGTACAAAAGAACAGTTGCTGGTTCCACAATAGTACCGCAGCACCAAAATGCAGGGGGATGATGCTACGAAGCCCAAGTACAGAGCATAGAACATGGAATACATTGTTTCAAAGGTATGACATATTATCACATGATATGATATGATATGATGTGATATGGTTCAAACCATATCAGTCAGCACATAATTATATATAGAAAATAAATGTAAGGAAAAAAGTGTGTATATATATATATATGTAGTATATACACAGTAGGCTTGTAAGCTCTCAAAGTTTTTTGCGACGAGGCCCTGAGCCATGCCCAGGACATGATGGACTTCCTGGAGGCCACAGAATTCTTTACCCTTCAACGGCCGTCCTTTTGAAGCAGCCCAGGTCGAGAAGTCTCAGCCTATGAATGGATACCAATTGAGAGCCCTGGCGAAGGGAGTGCCTAGCTGCCGCGTTTGCTCAGCTTTCACAGCTCGCTGGGGGATCAGGGTTGAAACCTGTTGAAACCCTCCGAACAGCACTGCGAAATTCCAGCAAGTGGCCAGGCCACTTCCTGGCCGCGGGCCGGCAGCCTTGCAGCCATTTCGTGCAGTGGTGTTGGCCAGCCGGGCATGCATCCCAGCTATTCCGAGCTCACAGCCGCATGAAGCGTCCTGCAGTCATGCTATGCATGCTGTGCGGTATCCACCCTGGCTTCAAACACGTGCTCGTGACGTGAGGCCTTGGCCTTCCTTCGCCTCGATGCCTACGACCGCGCAGCACAGGACGCGGTGCTCTTAAGGCGTCGCGGGAGGCCGTCGTGTCACATCGCGACCCAGAGGATGCTGAGCTGGCCTGCCAGATCGAGCCCCGATACTTGAAGGCGCACTTAGCATCACCTGTGGAGCAATGCAGCCTACGAGTAGCATCTAGTAGCGTACTGCAGCCTTGGCAGAGGCGTGGATACGCCGAGCGGCCGCCCTCGCTGCTGCGAACCTTCGCTCGGAAGCCCTGGAAGTTTTGGACGAGGCACGTAGAGTGTTCGACTCATTTCGAAGGTTGGAGCATCATGGCACAGGCTCTGTGCAGAGCCTGCCCAACAGACCTTTTGCGTGAGCAGGCCAAGACTGGTGCGGGCTTCTGCTTTGCTTGACAGTTCTGATAGATGCGCCGACGGTGTTCCTAAGCAGGTGTGCAAGCTGATTGTGAACCTGCGAAACCTGGTGAATGTCGAGGTCAAGGAGCCAGAGAAGGCGCTCGACCTGTGCAAGTTGCGCAGCACAAGCCATGCAGAGAAGTCCTGCCAGGACCTGCCAGTGATTTTCGCCGAGGCTGAGAAAGCGCAGAGAAACCATCAACAGGTGGGATAAGCGATCAGGTGAATCTAGTGCTTACGTAGACATGGACGTTCTGTTTAGAAGGCTAGAAATGCCAGGAGCACATATTATGAAGCGAAGCGCCATACGGTGATGCAGGGAAGGCCGCCAACTCGTAAAGTGAAAGTGACGAGACGAAGGAAGACAGGAACGGAGGACTTGAGCTTGCATGATGGAGTTTACTTCGGACACCAGGACCTTTTCGTGTGCGATGGGACGGAGACCGGACCTGCATGAGTATATCAAGCGCACAGCAACGGAAAACACAAACGAGAGAAGCGCAAGGCGAGGGGATCGTTTCAACAGGTGGAGGCAGCTCCAGCTCCTCAACAGCTTTGTAACTTGTTGCTTTCAGAGATTTGCAAAGTCCCAACAAGATGACTCAACAACAAGGTGGACAGAGACCTGCGACACCTAGCAGGGCACCAGACAGATAGGCAAACAGACGTGTGAGGCCCAGCAGGGCAATGTAATGGCACAGCGATGAGGGCAACCCCAAGGTGAGCGAGCGGGGGGGAATGTGAAGGTGCCAGTCAATCTGACCTTGTCCTTACCTTCCGAGCTGGTGGTGTGGTGCCCTCGTTTAGGATGCCATGGTTTCACAAAGTGAAGTGGAAGTTCAATCAAACGCAAGCAAAGCACACAAGGTGCCATCTGCACGGATACACAAGCTTGGCGAGTCAGCTGGAGCACCTGCCAAGTGATTGCGTCGGCAATCTGCCTATCAGCTTCCACCAGAATTCAGGTGCACAAAAGCAGGCACGGCAGACACCTTTGACTGTCACGCGTGTGACCCTCGTGAAGTTTCTTCGCTTTTATAGATCTAGCATTGTGTGACTTTCTGCGCACAGCTGTACCTCGTGCGCTCGTATCATCATAATGTTATAAATTGTATATTTTCAGTGCCGGTTTGCCGGCCTCTTATGCGCTTCGCCGACGGACGGGGAGAGAGCTAGGGAGCAGCACAATCCATCAGCTTACCACAAGAGGATCTCGGATAATGGAGAAAATTCATGTCAATGTTGCTCGCGCCAGGAATCTGAAGATGCATCAAGGCTCGGGCAAAGTGGAATTCTCATGTGAAGGAAGTTTTTGGTTGAGCCGAGCGACTGTGCCTGAACTGACTGTTCGGAGTTGCGTTAGCACGGAAGGCCATCGGCAAGTCCTGGTAACGCTTGAGTCATTGGATCTCGAATCCGGGGTGCCTTGGCATGCAAGCTGTTCCCTGCACGTTCAGATGCACATGTTGCGCTATTTCCTAGACACAAGAAAGCGTCATTTGCTGCATCCCGTCGTACTGCACTGGACAGTCGCACATGTCTGCATCCCTGCATAACAATGGGCAAAGTTGAGTAGGTCCTCGCCACACAGTGAAGTCGACGTCACTGGCTAGATAATCAGTGTGTTTAGCGAGGAGATTCTTCGACGTTGTTTCAAGCTTTCTGAGGCTGAACTCAGCAAGATGCCAACCGGCTTCATCGACACGAAGACCCTGCCACATTGAGTTCAGAGCTCCCGCTGGCGAAGCCGGCCCCGGATCTTGTGCCGAGTGGTGTCGAAAATCCACCACTCCTCAGGCGGTGAAGGAAACAACGAAGCTCTGAGCCTGGCGTCGGGTTTCGTAGGCCGTAGCGGTAGCGACGAGCCTGGCTTCACGACGTGATGTCGCGCCTCGGCGGCGGTGGCACGGAGATCGAATGCCTTTTGGCTCCAGGCATCCCGAGTCACTGCATGTCTTAGATGGGAAGGCAAAAAGTGGCTGTAGCAGACCCCGACCATATGGCACGAGGAAATCCTAGACCGGCAAAGCTTAGGATCCCTGCCAGGCACTGTCCCAAGAGACTCGAGCTCGCTTGTACCCCAAGCCCGGCACTCAGATGCGCCGCTACACCGCTACGCTTCAGCCCTGCAAACTTCCTGCGAGCCGAGGACTCCACCGACAAGTCGGCATGTTTCAGCCGGCAGCGTGGACCAAGCACGTTTGGCAGCACCCTGCAGTGAGCTGAAGCTGAAGCAAGTGTTCCTCCTCCTCCTCCTCCTCTTCCTTCTCGTTCTCGTGCTTTCCTATTTACATCTTTCTCACTTGCTGCGACTGCTGCTGCTGCTAGCAGTCGTGGTTATTGCTCTCGCTCCTGTTTGCTGCTCCCTCTCCCCATGGCTCGTGGCAGGATACCTTCGTCTCTCTGCTCGTGAACTTGGCGATTGACTTCAAGGGCGATGCAGCGACAGCATCGAGAGAAGGGCTCGGGGCCAAGGCTCTCAGATTCAAAGCCTGGTTTCGTCCTGGCGGCTTTCGGTCACCGAGGCCAAGATACCTGCGAAGAGGCCAAGTCCGTGAGGAGGTTGACTTCGAGGTCCGGACTGCTCTGGGGTGAGCTCGTTTTCACAGCAGCGATTATGCCTGTGCCTTCGAAGCTGCTATCAAAGCACACGGGTTTGTCGTGCTTGCATCGGTACTGAGCAAGGTGCATGGTCTGGGCCCGAGCTTCACGGAGGGAAGCCTTCCACGTGCTGCGTTCTGCTCCTGTGTGGCTGCGATCCGGTTTTAGGATCTCCTGGCCATTGGCAGGAGGGCGTCAGCCCTGTGCAGGCGCTCAAGTCAAGGGATCCTTGGTCCGAGAATCGTGGGTCCGGTCTGGCCAGGACCTAGACTTGCTGCAGTTCTGGCTGGCTTTGCCGGACAAGGCCCAAGAGGAAGAGGGAGCTTGTAACCGGGATTCGGGATTGGAGTGATCGGGTGGTAGTGATGAGCCGAAAGGCGCGGCTCGGCGTCTTGATGAAGCCAGAGCAGGCACAAAAGGTGATCCAGGCCGGACCTTTGGGGTGCCCAAGTGGTCGATCCTTCGATCCGGAACAAGACAACAGTGCCGAAGGAGTATGTTGCTGGGAAAGGAGCGGCGGAAAGAGTTTCGAGCCCGGCTTCGACGTGGTCTGTTGCCAGACGGGACAGCGTTGTTCCTGCCCCCACATCAAGGTCTCCCGGGCATTCACTGCGAAGTTCGGCTACGAGACCCGAGATGTGACTGTTCTGTTGGGGTCTCGGCATCTTGGAGTTCATCCACGGGCTGTGCCTGATTTGCCCAAAGGTTCAGATTTTGGCAGTCCATGCCCAACAAAGTCCGGGCGGGTCTGCAGGTGCAAATTTGTGGTGAGATGCCGTGGCGAACGATGTCCAAACGTCTCATGAACCTGCACCGCAGTGACATTCGAGATGGCATGGCATGATAACCCTGACAGGTCCGCGGCTACTCCGATCACGAGGCACGCCGCTTCTCAGCACCACGGTGCATGAAGCTTTGGGTGCCGACGTCGTAGGCCTGGATGCATCTTCAAGCTTACGCGCAAGAACGGGTCGAAGAGAAAGCGGCGCTGAACTGAGGAAATTTGAAAAAATCCTTGCTATGGCCGCCCGAACAGGTTTCATGAGCATCTCACCCTGAGGTTCCTCCGAAGTCACCTAGGGATGGAAAGAGGCCGCTGGACGCGAAGCTGCACTGAAGCCGGATAAGCTGGTAACCTGAACAGACGCAGACCAAGAAGCCAGTGCACCGTACCTCGAACACCCCGTTCTTGTCTAAATGTTTGTAGGAGTCCCTGGCGACCAGCTGGAGAACTTCCGGAGGCCTGAGCAGTATCAGGTGATGTTCCTTCAGTTGGCAACTCGAGGCGAATCCGGAACTTGCGACGCAGACAGAAATCAAGCTTCGCCGGCCACAGGCTTTTGAGCCTCAAGCAGCACGTAGTCGCAGTGGGCGTAGTGAGCACCTGCTGTTCAGCTTTGTTGTTTTTTCTACCATGACGAGCAGCAAGTTGGATCCGTGGGTAGCTTCATCATGCTAGGCAACCTTACAAAGAAGCACCGTCTCACCCTCACCCTGTTGCGCCTGTTTGCCTTCCTGGTGAGTTGCATCCACATTTCGTCAAGTTACCATTGTAGACGGCAGTTGTCTTTATCGGCTTATGAATTGGACGACTGCTGTGAATAAAACTCGTCATCAGATGTCTTGATCATCCTGGCAAGTTTCTTTTTTCCGCCATGGTGATCTCCCGCATTTCGTTGCGCACTGAAGTGGAGCAATCCGTCAAGTCGACTATCTCATGCAGAGCTGGCTGCAGAGGTCATTGCTTCGTGCCAAGAATGGTCTTGGGCCACTCGGCAGAAGATGCGACTCGCAGTTTTGCATTGAGGTTCCAAGCACATGCCCGACTGCAGAGTCTGTCAGTGTTCTGTTGACTGCTCAGACGGCTCTGGCAGCAGAGTGGCGAAAATCATACACAGGAAAAGGAGCAAATGAACCTGTCGACACAAAAAACGATGCTTTTTCATGAGCTACAGGGCACAAGCAGATTGGAATGCGCACATCTTTTTCAGCAGTTTCACAACCTTGACATGGGATCAAAGTTCAGCCCAAAAGAAAAAATGATCTCCGGAAGCTGATGTTCCCACGTTCCCACGCCGTGGCCGACGTCACCGCATGTCGCCACGTATCCTGTCCCGTGAACCCCTTCGGAGTGCCGGGGCAAGCTACGCCGCCAGCCATGTAACACTCGCCGCGGAATCGGCAGTGAAAGCTTGAAAACTCTGCTCCGCACCGTAGCACTTGGTTGGCCTCAGAAGTGCCCGATTCCGGAAAGTTTTTGTAGTGGTGGCACATGGGGTGCAGCCCGTGACGTGTTGAAGGTGAATTTTAAGAGTGATGGCAGCAGACTCCAAAGTCTTGAGGTATCTCATGATCATCTCGATACAGTTTGGTCTCCCTTGCCTTCTTTAGATTGATTTTCGTCAGCAGCTGCAATTACTTGGCAACGTGACTCAGCAGCCGTGGGTGTTATTGCTGCTGCCACATCTTGAAGCAAGCCAGGCATACAGCCATTGCTTGCGAAGCAGTTCATCCATCGTGAGTGCGTGCAAGAAGCTCAGACTTCATGTCAATGTTGTCACGTCGACGACGCCGTACGTGGAGCTGCCAACTGGGTTAATTCGACACGTTGCCGACTATAGCTTCGAGCCTTTGGTCCTCCCGCTGAGGACAAGCTCGTTGGTCTTTTGTGCCGAGATGGCCAAAGTCGCCAGGAGCTTGCGGTCCGTACTCCACAGTGCCATCCAACATCCCGTCGCATCCGCAATGATAGACGGCGCTCCGAGGTTGGTTGCCTTGCGATTATGCATGGTGCCCCAGCGCCTCACGTATTTCAGAGTTCTGAGACCTTTGCCTCAGCTTTGCGAGGTCTCTAGACGACACGGGCAAGAGGTGCTTCAGCAACTGGAAACTCCAGGATTGCCTGCTGGCAGCAGGTCGGGATCTGACCAGAGTTCTCGAAGGTTTCTCCTAATCGGATGCCAGGCATCCCCTCCGTCACCTACGTTGTGCAGAACTTTTGCGTACAGGCCGGACCAACGGTAGCTGACCGACGGTCACTTTGGCGAGCTCCAGTGAGCGCAGCACCCTTGTGATGACGGCTATGCCGACGCATCGCCGTTGCAGCCTGCAGTGAAGCAGGTCGCGTACCAGAACCTGGATGCGGTGGTTTTTAATGCTTGGAGCTTAAGGTCGAGCGCATGGCTTCCTGCTGTAGGGTGTATGGCTTATTCGGCTCGACCTCTAGAAGATACAGTTGTGCCTTTCGGCAGGGAGGAAGGATTTCCTGGATCAAGCTTGCGTCAGAGTCCCTCAGAGCTGCAGGGCTGATCTGAATCCCTGGGCCTAGACGCAGCAAAGCTGCCCGAAACAGAACGCGAAAGACCTCTTTTTCCTTCTGGTGATGGTGTGTCTCAGGTGCTGAATCAGTCCAAAGTGTTGTTCACAGCTCTGTTCTCCTTCCTCATCAGTGGAAGGAGCTCTTGCAATATAATGTGTTTGTGAAACCTCTCTCCGGACGCTTGAGAAGCTGATCCTGTCAGGAGGCAATCACTGCAACAGTGCGTCGCTCTGGTGCTCGTCACCGCCGGCGGAATCCTGGCACAAGCCTCAGCTGCAATCGAGTCGCTCCACAGCAGTGTGGAAGGCGGCAAGTAGGGAAGTGTTGTGCGAGGGAGCTTGTGCACACTGGCAGAGCACCCCATCCCATATGTTGACCCATGTTGACCCCAATGGTTGCATCACGCAAGTCACATCAGTGAGGCTGCCCCGAGCTTGTGCACTTGCTCTCACTGCCTCGTAGTTACTAGTTGCCAAGTGAGCTGATTTCATGCCACGCAGACTCGGACTCGGACCTCTGCGGCACATGCGACTCGCACCAAAACGCACCTGCCGTGTCTCGGCATTACCAGGTGAGCATCCCCGACAGTCCGCCAGCGCAGGCGGACGAGAACACAGAGAAGCAGGTTCGGCGCACAGGGCGGAATACCAGAACACTCCAGTAGCAGTGGTCGCCTTCGCATCGTCCGAGTCCGAGTGCGTTTGGGGCCCGGGGCAGGAGGAACGGCGCTTTCTCGGCCTCGTTTGTGCCGTGGTGGGCGCCGCGCTCAGCGGCCTCGGCAGCGGCATTGCGGCCAAGCTGGCAACGCTTACGAGAGCCGAGCCGAGCCCTCTTAAAGCCTTAGATCCTCTCATGTGAGCATACGACTACGTATCGTGCCAGGAATGGGCACTGCAGAGGCGAGGGCGAAACAGCTTCCTCCTTTCCTTGGAATTGGCCTCGATGGGCTGCTCGCAGCCCAGAAAATTCTGTGCGGTTCAAGCTCACAAAACACTGCCTCCGTCTGCGGACAAGGCACGATTATTGGCACAACTTCTTTGCTGGGTCTTTCGCCCGACAGTGTCAGGACAAAGCCGAAGCACGCTGTGATGATTTACACTACTCGTACCTCGGACCCTGCAGATTGATGCTGTGTGAGTGCAGGATGCGAGAACGCGGCCCTTTTGCTGGCTGGACTTTGTGGACTTGGATTCCTGTGCCCGCTGGCTTGTCAAGAGCTTTCATTTGCTTTGTTATGCCGACGTGCTGAAGCACAGACGTTGCTCTCATGGCACTTCGGCGTATCATAATCTATGATTGTGGCGCCATGCGATTGCTGCTTTCAGTAACTCGGCCTCTGCACCAGCACTTTGAGCATGCTAGATGGTATCACGAAGAGAGTTGAAATTGCATCAGCTCACCACCTACGTCAGCACAGCTGAAGGTTCCATGTTGCTCGCACAAGCGCTCGAGAAAGGATTATTCATCCGAACAGCGAGCGTCCGGCTTTGTTCAGCTGACGATCCTAGATAGATGAAGCGAGCATGGCACTTCAGCACATCGCCCGCCGATGTGAGACCGTTTAGACGGTGCATCGTGGTTCGAAACGCAGAGCGCTGTGGAAGAAGAAGAACACGAATGAGCCACTGCATGTGCCAGGTACTTTGCCAAGGCCTGAGCGGTATCATCGTCGGAATCATAACACAACTGGCTGGGCACTGAGGGGAGCGGGACGGGCAGATCTGTTTCAACACGTGCTGCGCATGCCAAACTGATGAGACATGATAGGCTACCTAGACACAGGCACAGCTTCACGATATATCTGCGAGTCCAAGTCCAGGCTGGTGGTGTCCGGAAGGTCATGGCCACCATTTGCGGTCTTATCTTGACTTGCGTGCCGAGAGCCGAGTGAGCCGAGCAGACGGCGTTTGTGACGTTCCGACTTACCTTTGGTTAGGAGGGAATGGAAGAACGGTAGTAGAACTAGTAGTTGTAATTGTACCCCATTCCTGAAATCCCTACTAACCAAAGGTAAGACAAGTTGCAAAGCGCTGCGGCGTCCCAGTCTTGGATGCACAACGCTGAGGCTGCAGCAGGCTTTACTTGGCATGCACCTGACGTGGACCCGTCCCGCTTCGGCTGGCGCATCCAAAGACGACGTCGAGTGAAGAGGGTAGTTTTTCTATGACCACATTTGCATCAACAACTAGACAGAATGCAGAAGCATTGTCAGGCGTCCCATTATGAGTGTTGCCAGGTGGCTGGTTCTTGCCGCTGTGCCTCTCGTTGCGAGCGGTATCTATCTTCATGCCCCTTGGCTCAGCCTGGATAGGGCATTGCCAGTACTTGCACCCGTGTACTTGTCCGGAATCGTCATTGCAAGTGCCGCTGTGCCGAGGCAAGTTTTCCACCGCCTTCGCAACATTTGTCCTGATGCAGTTTGAAAAAAGTGCACGTGCTTCGGTTGCTCGTGCACTTGATGCCTGAATGCAGGATGAGTGCCTCTAGCTAAAAGTCGACCTAAGTGTACAGTTTGCAACAGAGGAAAGCGCAAGGATGCAGAGTCGACGAGAAGTGATACGCAATTGGTGCTCACAAAAGGAGAAGCAGAGAGACTGCAAGAGGAGCCGTCGATCACAGGCCACACAAACACTGACTTTGACATCTCCAGCGACGACTCCACGCGGCCAAGGTGCATTCTGCTGTCTGCAAACTTCCGCAGTGGGACGCCTGTCGTGGTAGCGTATGCCATATGCATTCCTGCAGCAGAGCGAAAACAGTTCCTGTTCCAGTCGAGGCAAGAGGCGAGACCTCAGTGCTCTCGCCCGCTCAAGACCCCGCGTGGACGCACTGGACTTCGTCCGAGTTGCCTGGCATCAAATATGCACGAGCGATTTTGGTCAGTTTTTATGGCCTGAGGGGCAGCAGCACGTTGAGATTTCGTAGCCGTATCTGCTAGGGCAGCTCAACCATCGTCCACGTTGGCACATGTTGGCAAGAAGCCAATTCCGAAGAATTATTGCGCGTTCGTTTGTCCCAGGCAATTGCAAAGCGCTTTCCGGAGGATAAGACCTTGAAGCACATGCTGAAGCAGTGCCTGGAAGGCAAAGGAAACACGGCTTCAGCAGGCTGCAGGAAGAAAGGACAGCATGCAGCGAGTGCAGGAGCCTTTGTTCGCCTGATTGTGCGACGGCAGGTGATCCCACTGCTGCAGCTACAGACACAGACGCCTACAACTTGCTGGTGGACACGACTGCCCGATGACTCAGTGGTCGCCAACAGATCCGCTCAAGCTTTGGACCGGAGCTGCCTGAAACTACAGCATCTGTTGAAAGGAAGCGATTGGATTTCGTAGCATGCTTGGAATCGGTCGAAGTCTGCTGGAGGTTCTGAAGCAGGCAAGCCGTGACAAGTGGTCCCCCCAGCTTTGCACGTTGTAGTCTTTGTGGACACTTGGGCGCACAGCCCTGGATGAACCCAGATCTCTCCGCTCTCCCTCCGCCTCCTTCCCTGCTTCGCGGGCTCTGTTTGTATCTCTTTGTCCCTTGCTCTTCATCTCTGCTCAGCTCTTCTTTTCAATTTGGTTCACGATCGGTCGTTCTGTCAGTCAAGCATCGAGACTGGCTGCCGTCGACGCATGGTAGCTGCTAGCTCTCCTCGAGGACACCGAAGCCAGCTGCCGGACATTTGGATGCTCGATTGAAATTGCCGTCGGCCTAGTCATTTGCCAAGCTTCGCACTGCCTGCACTAGCTTCTGCTCCTCTTGAACGACGGTTGCAGGAAGGTGCCTCAAGAGGAGGCCCGGGAGTCAGCGTTCCTTTGGGAATCTCCGCCAGAGCTGGTGGGCCGTCGTCTGGCCTTGCCAGGGTTCTTTCCAGACCTGGTTGAGCCAAGACGCAGACAGGGCCGGGAGGCTGGGCATGATACTGGGACACCGTTTCACAGAAGGCACGCTTCTCGAGTGGGCAGGTTTCTCAACTTGCTGCAAGACGCCAGCAAAGTCTCCAGAAAGATCCGAAGCTACATGCGCCACCGTGCCAAGCAGCACCTTCCTTGTCTTCACAGCGCTACAAGTTGTTTATGGGAGGCATCAAGCAGGCACAGCATGGGTGAGTGGTGTGAGGTGCTTGGAACGTGGCGCACGGCTTGGTCCAACCGGACCTGTGGTTCCAGCCAGGCTCCTCGCGCAAAACCAGGCTATGACGGGCTCGGCCTGCCTACCTGCCAGGAACAGGACAGAGGCAGACCTTCCCGCCTTGTACGTCATTGAGGCCGGCCTGCTGTTTGGGAGCATCGGTTCGAGTATGCTCGAGTGTACCCATCTGGAAGCTTGTAGACGAGATCTGAACGCAACTGAGATGCACTTGCCCATCTGATCATCTGCACAGGACACCTTCGCTCATCTTTGTCGCAGATTTGGGGCCAACGAGGTCAGGACCGTACAAAGATTGACACTGGGTTCGGGCATTTTCGAGCGCTTGGTGCAAACCCTAAACTCTTCGTATGCTCGGGCTGCCTCGGATAATGGTCCATCCATAAACGGCTGGTGCTCGCATCAGGCTTGGATTTTCAGGTAGCAGCTGAATATAGCAAGATCCAAAGGCACGAGCATCATGAGCATTAGCATCAACATGAGCATCAACGGCTTTGCCAATATCAGCTTCAGCAAAAGCATCAGCCGCTTCGCCAATGCTGTAAGTTGCATCAGCTGCCATTCGGCAGATCCTCGGATGCGGGACGATTCGTGATGTGGCCGAGCATGATCGGTGGCCGTTTGTGGATCTGGTAGCATGTCGCATGAATGGAGCAGAGCCCTCCGCCTCCCCGGCCGGGACTTTTCCACTCCCGGACCGGGCACCTACCGCCCAAAGGCCAGCCTCGGGCTTCCTCCGAGCGAGCCCGAGGCTGCATTTGGGCCGCGATCAAGACTTCGGAGAGGGGACACGGCCATGCTGCCAGTTGTCGCTGTTGCACATCTGCAACTTGCCGAGGAACTGGGCCGTGGTGGACCTGGCACGGTCCTCTCTGGAATTCTTCTGCGCAAGCCTATTGCTGTAAAATACAGCAATAGGCTTGCCCAGAAGAATTCCAGCATTTGTTGTCAAGTCCCGAAGGAGGATAGGTACAGAGTACTGAGGCAATGCTGCTGAAAAGGGTCAAGCATCCGAACGCGGTCAAGGTATTTTGCGTCGTCGCTGACCATGGAAAAACCACCGATTTTGGCATGGAGCAACTCGGGGAGAGCCTTGAAAAGGCTTGTAGCACAATGCAGCTGAGTGGCCGTGGCCTTGCCAAGGCCTTTAGGCCGCCCTGCGAGGCCGTGGCGCATATCCACAGCATGAGAATTCCTGTGGATATGTGCTCGCAGGTCGGCCCACGTCGAAATCAAGCCGGCAAATCTCTGTTTCGCTCGTCCCTTGAGCTGCAACGTCAAGCACATTGACATCGATGCTGCAAAGGAGCTGAAGCAGGTTGGCGAGCTCTTGGAACGATTTCCCGGCAACTTGGCCGCACGAAGCCCGGAAAGAGCGCATCAGCGCCCCTGCCGCTCGCTTGCCGAAGACGCCTACATGACGGGGTACGCGTTCTTCACTTTGCTCAAAGAAACACCAGCTGACCGCACGGTAGAGCAGCTGCGAGCTCGCCTGATGCTTTCATCACACAAGGACTTTCTATGCAGCAGATCCTACGAAGAGAACTGGAGCAATCCGCTCGAAGCTGGACCTTCCCAGCGCACCGGCCAGTGGCGGCGTCCTCGCAAAGCTTTTTGCAAGAAAGCGCCCGCTCGGCAAGAGGCAAGGGAGCCCTCGAGCTCTCTCTTACAGAACTGAGCGGTGGCGCATCACTTCTACACCTTCGACTCACCAGTCCTGCCTCGGAAACGGTATCCAAGATGCCAACAGGCCCTTGACGGGAGTGCACCGCCCCGTGTCTCCTGGTACCGCCCCGAAGGCGGCATGCATGTAAGCCGCGTCCGTTCCATTGACCTGGGACGGGGGTATACATCAATGGCATGGACGAGCGATGTGTCATGTCAGCTGCAACCTGCGCAAGAGGCGCTGCACTGCTCCCTCGAACAGGATGGGCCCTGTCATCTGACCGGCTACTACTATGGCTACCATTGCGTGCCTTGCTGATTGCAGCAGCCGACTGTTGGAGCTTCAGAGACAGGGAGGACTAGTGGAGCTACGACGATCCGTGGACCACGGCTTCGCAGCATGGGCGGCCATTTGGGCATCTCTTGTGCGCGACGGTGGTCGACCTCACGACACACGGTGAGACTGCTGTTCCAAACTTGGCAGCAAAGACGATGCCTCGTTACCCGGCATGTGAGAATGGGAGCGTACGGTCGCCGCCAGCCATGTGACACTCGAAGCGGGAACCGTCAGGCTTCAAAACAAAGCTCCTCTCGCGCTGACATGCGATGGTCACGCTTGGCCCTGCTTTCACATGACAGGTCTACATTCGTTTTGGCCCATATTATCTGCAGTGGGCTAAGAATTTGCATGCACATGTCTCTTTTGCAGAGAAGCAATGACTGTTTGCAGAGGTGCCGCACGGTCAGCGACTCCAAGGAAACCAAGCCCCTCATTGAGGAGTTCACCACTCAGCATGTGGACCGCATGTTGACCTGAAACGGCCTTGGATGTTTCCAACACTTTCCAAGGATACCTGATTCAACAACGGGCCTGGTACTGAGACCTAGCCAGGCAAGATGAGCCCGATCAGTGAATCTCGCTTCAGGTGGTGCCGTCGTTGACTGTCCAACTCACGGCGTCTCCTGTGGCCAGCTCAGACCAATTCTCAATTCGCGACCCCTGGCAGTGTGGGCGAGGCGGGCCCCGCATTTCCGCCACGGAGCCCGACCAGAAGACTGGGTCTGCTCTCGCAGCTTCCGCTTTTGCAAGCACAGTCGTGCCGCGGGCCTCTTCGGGGGGGTGGGGGTTGGCTCCATGGCAGGTGGCATCCAAACATCGCCAGCCCCGAATTCAGCTCCGGAGGGTCCTGGTGGTTCGAGCCTCGTCGCCGTTTGCTGCGAGACATGTATGTTCTGCGATGCGGCGACCGGATCCGGGAGGCAGATGGACCTCGGGCGACTCCACAGCTGCACAGGAGTACGCCCGGCCCCCAGGGCCAAAGGGCCGAAGGGGGATCCGGGATGCATGGCGACTTTGGCCCCTTCACTCCGCGATGCTATGATACGAGGATTGGAATGGTGCGTGCCTACCATCAAGAAGGCTCGCCAATCCGCGTAACAGCACGGATAATGCCAAGATTATAGGTTTTACGCTGTTGAACGGAAGCAGAGCCGTATTATGCGTTGTTCGTATTGGCGAGAAAGCTAGCTCTGGAAGAGCTTGGTGATTTCTCGTGGACAATGTTGCTGTGTCCGAGTGCAAGGTTTGGGCTTCGTGGTGGGGTTTGTGGGGCTACCAACGGCTAGCAGCGGCCAGCTGATGAAACCGCACTGATCCTTTTGTATGGCATCTTGCTCTGTTGAGTGTTGGTGACGGGTACCCTCAAGTCTAAGAATTGCAGGTCACCTATGCCACCCATGCTGAATTCCAGTCGGACCTGTTTCTGGCAACTGGTTTTCGCCTTGGATGTTCGTTGGAGGTCCGTTGAGCCGTCGCCAGAGTTACAAAATGTCAGTTCAGCCTGAGGCGATGGCCACCAAATTGTCGTAACTCAGGTACGGAGCTCAGAGACCACCCGGTGGAACATCAACATGTCTCAAATCCGTGTGTTGTAGGTCTGAACAAGGATTCATCTCTGTTGTGTTTCAAGCGGAATGCGTCTGCTCAAGCAAAGGTACAAACACAAGCATATCGAGCGCAGCACTTCCTTCAAGTGTTTGGTTCGAAATTGAACCGAAGAATGAAGTCCGAAGCGTTTCAGAAAGGGCTCGCATCTTGATTTCACTCACGGGAAAAGCAGCAGAGAGTGCACTGATTGACACTGATTGCTGATTGATACGGATTGGACGGCAATCTGGTCATTTCTTTGTAACATGCAAGCCCGCATCGCTCATCCCTAAACCATACTGTGTTCGAAAACATCGGAAAGAGCGCCCGATGGCTCGCGAGCCGCGAAGAACAATCCTGCCAGAGCAGCAGGAAACCAATTGAATGGATCGAAGCCGGGGTCAACAGAAGAAAATCACTGCAGGTCCAGTGTGCCCAAGGGACATGTACAAAGTTTGATCGGAACATGCGCGACGGCTCCACCGATAAATGATGCTTCTACATTACGCTAAGCCGCTAAGCAGGACCTGCATTCGAACAGATGCGGTTTGAGTTCGTGCTCCACATTGGGGAAGGCACAGATGGCAAGACTCCGAAGACTTTGACACGAGACGAGGTGCGCGATGGAGGCAGAGCCTTCCTGTCCGGCGTGAAACCTGGGGACGTCAGGAGCCTGTCGAGCAGCATGTTCACACTGGCAGCCGCAGCTGCGGATTCAGGTCCTGCAGCTGAATGCTGGCGGAAGTACGGATGCTGCCTTCGTTGGGTGCGTGTCACAGTCCATGCAGTGGAAATGTAGATACTTCCGACGAAGGCTGGACGAGTGCCCTGCTGTTCCAGCCTGAGAGCCTGAGGCTTTCACCAGCAGACGCCATGGCAAAGATCGTGAAGGACTTCACGCCGCCACTGACATTAGTCTTCAAGGCCTGCCCAAATTGAAGTCGGGCTGAGCCCCACAAATTGCAGCCTCTGCTGAGCCGCTGAGCACCAGCTATCGTGGCAGGGTACGCATCACAAAATACCACGGCAACTGCAAGACTTCTTGCACTGAACCACTTTGGACTTGTGTTGTGTTTCGGGGCTACTTGCAGGAGCCAGTGCTTGCTTGCACAAGACCTCTGTGTCATCTGACCGTTGAACCGACGTGAGCGTGGCGGTGCAGGGCACAAAGCTCAGCGGCGAGAACCGAAGGTTGCAGAGCCTGCTGCAGCAGCCACTGAAGGCACATCACGAGCAAGCTTCTCTTGCATGCACGTGTCGTCACGACTTGCTTTGCACCAGCTGCTCCCTAAGACATGTGACAAGGATCCCCCATAGCCCCAGTGACATCGAGCATGCAAGTGTTGTCGGCCCCGGCGCAGGTCAGAGTTCTTGTGAGCAAGAAGCACGTCGCACCCTCCACAGACGCTCCAGAGGAATGGGAGCAAGTTCAAGAGCAGGACTGCGCACCATCAGGCAATCATAGACTTATTTTACATCCTTCTGAAGCCTTCTGAATGTCCTGTGACCGTGCCGAAGGAAGTTACCGCGACGACGCAGCATCCTTGTATCGTTTGTGCCTCAGGTTGCATCGGTGTCAATGTCGACTGACTGAGACGGAACGTTTTGCAAGTCCAGACGTGTGTAGTCGGAGGTGCCCAGCATCTTTGTCGCGCGTTGGGCCGCTTCCTCGGCGCTTTTGAAGCGATGCAGTTTTGATGCTGGAGGCATCGGTGGCTCAAGAGGAGAAGCAACAGCCAGTGATGAGCTCCGCAGTCCCAGGTGCAGCTTCGTTTCGACAGCGCATGGCCCAAACTTGACAACGAGGCAAGTTCCTCGTGCAATTGCAGAATTTGCACGTCGACTGTCCGGCTAGCTGGATTAGCTAGGTCTGTAAGCACATCTTTGGAACCCGTTCCCCTGCGACCGCCTGACGTCCGGCAAGAGCAGCAGGCCCTGGCCGTATCCGTGAAAGTGATGAAGGCAGGGTGGCTCTTTGGTTGCGGCATGTTCAAGGGAAGGGGATAGATGAGCTTCTGAGTGAGCTGGCTGTCTTCGTCAACAACAGCAACAACAACATTAACGGCAGTTCAAAGTGTGCACAACATTGGGAAGGCAGTAACGCCTAAAACCCCTAGCCCGAAAGTTGCGCTGGCCTTACACCCAAAAGCATGACCATCAGAGTTGCCAGTTTTGGGCCTTGTGCATATTCAGCTGCACAGTGTTGCTCAAAGGAAAGTGATGGTGTCAGCCTCTCACCAGTAGCAAACCAAGCGCCTTGAGACGATGCCATGCCACGGTGGCCGACGCCGGCGCCGCGAGTGGGAGCGGTGGAGGCCGGCAGACTCCGGCAGGCTCGATGTGAAGTATGCCCAGGATTTTGTTCACAGCTACTACATCCTGGAGGAGGCGTTCTACAACACTGGATTTGCAGCGCGGGCTCCGATGACGAATGGAATGGCCCCCAACTCTAACCAGATGATGTTCATGGATGGAATCGCGTGGGGGAGGCTTCATGAATCCGCCAAAGGCAGCTGCTCCTCCTCCTTTTCCTCCGCCACTCCCGCCCATGAGCAACGACGTGCAGCTGGTCATGGAAAACATGTTTCGTCTGCGGTGCGTGAGCCCTGAGCAGGCTGAATGCATGTAGCGGCACACAGTTGCCATGCAGGATCCTTATCGAGCTCTTGTGACGTGGAAGCCCTTAGAGGCATCATTGGTTTTTGTCTAGTACTTCAACGAAGCGGTTTGAACATCAAACTGATTCAAAAAACCTCCCGCCCGACCGGGCCTTGCACGATTTTTTCGAACGGAACTGTGTGCGAGCCTGCGAGAAGCTGGGGGCGGGGTTTGGTCGGCTTGATGGTTGGTTGGTTGTCTTGGTTGGTGAACCTCCCAGTGCGGCCTGCCCTGCAAATAGCATGTGCTTCTTGTTGATGTGAGGTCTGGAGGCTAGCGCCGCCACTCTTCCGGCAGCAGTTTCTGGAAAACCTTCGGCAGGTGGAGAGGCGCCAGGGGGCATCCCAAGCTCTCTAGAGCCCGTCGTTGCAAGAACAATCTATCACACGATCAATTTTGGCTCACTGAAGGCATCTTCAACAAGTCTTGAGTTTCAACTTGTGTGCTTTCACAAGCTTGAGGCAGGTTGCCAAAGGCCATGCTCTTGTTCGCCAACCTGACGGAAGGCAGGGACCAACACATACTGGCTGACTCGACCTGAGTCTTGCGCCGCCTTGAGGAAATGGTTCTGGGCATCTTCAGTCAAACGACAAAGCTTCAATATGATGATCAACATGGACATCGTGACTGCCTCATTCTGGCATACAGCAGCATAGATGGCTTGTCTTCTCATTCGGAGGTCCGACGAGTCAAGCGCAGCCACGACAGCGAAGGTGACGAAATGCTGGTCGGCGGCCTAGGCAATATAAGAGATCCATAGAGCAGCATGGAGAAGGTGTTTGCATGTGCTTGCGCATATCAGTCTGCATAAATCTCCGGCTTGGCTACCTGTAGTGCCGCAACAGGTTTTGACAGGTGACAAACAGTTTGGACGCCTCCAACATGACGAAGGTGAGGTTTCGAAACAAGGAGACCAACTTTGAACATCATCACAAGGGCTTGACGAGCTTATCCCATGTGCTGCAGCGTACGGTGCTTTCCAGCCTGTACGCCTTGCAGCCTGGATTGCCGACAATTCGGAAATATCTGCAAAAGATCATGAACCTATACTCTGAAACGTGCCAACGTTTGAAGTGAATCTTGGATTCGTGAATGTTCCGAGTGGCAGCTCACGGTGGTACAGTATACAAGATATACAAGTTTCCGAGGCATTGCAGATGATGTGCATGCGCGACAGGAAGGCAAGGGCCCGAGCTTTGCAGCTGTGCCACTGCCCGGTCGGACCGCCCGGGCCCACACACGCGAAGGAATTCCACATCCTGCGGTCAGACGAAATGCTCGCCCTCAGACAGCGCATCTTTACTAAGGCCAGCCCCGCACACCCCCGCACACCCTTGCATCCCGTAGTTGGCGCCAGCCTGCGACTGCTTGTATTGTAGCACCGGCCAGAAGTGTTTTGATTGCCAGGAGGAAGACGTTCTCGAATGCACCTTCCATCCGAGAACTGCCTTTCCCTTGGGAGATCTGTATCGGCTGCACTTTGTGGGCAGAAGGCTCGCCACATTTCTCGACATCTTGAGCCTCGCTGAGGCCGCCAATGTGCCGGGCCACGTGTACAAATTCCGGGAGCGCATCTCCGAAAGGATGGATGCATCAAAGGCGCCAGACTCTGGAGAGCTGTTTAATGTGTTTTATCTTCCCATACGCTTCCCCCCCGCCCCCACCGACCTTTGTTGATGCTTGCGATGATGACGCTTATGATCACCATCGTTGATACCATTGATCATCCTCAGCTATCGCCATCCACACACATGATCGCCTGCCTGCATGCGCTTGCTGGCACGTCAGTTTTCCACACATTCACATGGCATCACATCTTCCGGCTAGGTGACTGGCGTTAAGGATTTTGTCAAGGCGCGCTTGCAGATCCGATGCTTCACCGCGCAGGGACAAGATACGTCCGGCAAACAGGAACTGGGAGAAGAGTACAAGGCTCACAAGTACCCCAACTACTGGAAGGTGCTCTAGTCTCAGACCCGTCCTGCATGAAGATAGCATTGGCACGTGCGGCAGGGGTGATCCCTTTGGTTCAACTCCCGAATATTGAGGCATCGGCGGGCAATGCTGCAGAAGGCAAAGCGTGACTTCGTACGAGGCAAACAGATTCTTACAGACCCCACTGTTCCAGAGCAGTTGCCTTGCCGGCATTCGCAGAGGCAATCTCAAGGGTGCGATGGAGAAGCTTCAACGCCACCCGGCAGCATCTGTTTGTGTGGCCTGTCTGTGAACGTGACTGAAAGCGAGGCCACTTCGGAGCGCTGGGCTCGGAGATTCTGTGCCCTAAGCCCTACTGAATGTGGCTTGCAGACTGGAGGTGCAGCAGATGCTGGATCGGTTTCGATGCTATCACAAGAATTGTGGGCGCAAGTTGGATCATCATGCTGAGATGTGGCAAGCTTAGTGAGGAAATGGGAGGGAGCCTTCTGTCTACCCACGTTTTCCCTGAGCTATGCAAGATACGGCACGCGTGGGGCTGGGCGTTCGGGGAACATGTGTCTCAGAGGAAGCTCGTGGCGAGACTCCAGGGAGTAAGTGCTTGGGCCAGCCCTCCCAACAAGAGCACAGTCCGTGCCTGAATGTGTCTCTCCGTGTGTGTGTGTGTGTGTGTCTGTCTGTCTGTGTTTCTGTCTCTGCCTGTCTCTCTGTTTGTCTGTCTGTCCGTCGGTCTGTCTGTCTGGCTGTCTGTGTCTGTCTCTGTGTCTGCGTCGTGTTTGTGTTAGAGTGAGTGTCAGCATTTGTTCGTGTGTCTGTGTGTGTGTGTGTGTCTTCTTCTATCTTTGAGGTACCGTTGCCCCCAAGGGTCACTTGCTTGGACGTCACTTTCAGCGTCCTGCGTCTAGCCTGACCACTCAAGCTCGAGCAGAAAGATGTGTGTGTGTGTGTGTTGACACGAATCGAGTGGAAGCCCCTGTTGCTCTACGGATCGATGCTTGACCTTGTGAAGCTGACATGCCATCCTCTTGCTGAGATGCAAGTGCGCCGGTTTCTACTGTCACATCCACAAGCCTCCTCAGGCCAGGTGTCTTGTCGCATAGCTCATCCCTGACTCGCTGGCCAGAAGTGTCCCGGCAGGTCCACAACTGTAAGGAGATGAAGAAGATCCTGGAAACGAAGGCTTCCGAAAAGGTTTGGCACCGTTTTCCACGCTCCCGGCCTTCAGGCGAAAGAAGCCAAGGATCTGGAGATCAAGTTGAGAGAGGAGGGGGGAGACCCACCACCAGAGGCCCGCATTCTGGCAGCAAAGCTGTTGCACAGCTTCCCACCACTTGCTTGTGTGAATTCCAGCTTGCATACCTTCGTTTCGTATTGAGTGCTCGGTGTTTTTGTTTGGCGAGTCCAAGCAGAGCCCTAGAGTCTCCTTTGAGTATCCTCTACCGCCGACAAGAGGAGAAGTTCGACAACAAAGTGGAAATCGGACTCCTCCTGGAGGCTTGAGCCGGGCTCAACCTCGGGGTCCCTTTCGTTGCTTCACAGCTCCGTGGGGACAACCAACAAAAACCCATGCTTGAATGGTTCTGTGCTTTGTTTTGCCGATGGACAACCAATCGTCCGCCCGCCGAGTGCTGTAGAGTTGGCCGGCACAGGCGCATGAGCTGGCGGAGAGCATCCAGGCTGCACTGAAAGAGAAGGACCGAGCCTCCTTGCCGAGCCTGAGGTGTAAGCTCTTGCCTGACATTCCCGATCCCACACCGATGCTTGCGCCGCGAGACATCAGATGATACTTCAAGCAGTCCCTTGCAGCAACACTGGTGCCGACGGTCATGTAGGCTGCATGAACCTGCGCACGTAAGACGTGCTGATCATGAGGCTGAGAGATCTAGGCCCGAAAAGCTTGATACTTGTGACTTGTAAGCCCTGTGGAGAGTCAAACTCCTTGTAGGACCGGCAAAAGCACTCCTTGGAGCGCTTGGGACAGTCGCTGGCATCCTTCGGCGCCGTGCGCTTGATGGAAAGGCCAGGCTGGGGCATGTCGGGCTCGAATACGGCCATCGCCATCATGGGGATTGAAAATGTGGTGGGCTGAGGGCAGACTGCGCCCTTCAAAGCATCTAACATCCTTTGTGATTCTGCATGCAAGTAGCAGCCAGACGATGATGCAGTCACGGATCTACGCCCCATCACACAACAGCGCCAGGTTTCGAAGACCTTTGGTTTTTCCGCTGTACAGTGGTTGCACTGCACGCTGCCTACACAACTGCTCACATGTGAGGCCGTTCAAGCGGCGCATGTGCCCGGAAGCCCTTGAGAAGCGCAGAGCTCGCTCCGCTGAGGCAGCTTCAAAAATCGCTTCTAGGTATAAGAAATGCATCCTTGCTGCGAAAGTCCCCATGTCTGTTAGCTGGTGTGGTTTGTCGTTAATGCACGCTGTCGGCTGTGAGGTCGGATTCGTGCAGGCCCACGGACAGTAGCAACGGCCATGATAACAGTTCAGCCCATGAGACATTCCTATTGCGACCCCACTACATAGCACAAGGGGTGGGGCGGGCGGGCAGGCCTTGAGGCCTGAGGGTCAAGCACCGTGACCCCTGTGCCCAACAATCCCAGTATGACATGTGTCGCAAAAGCTGAGGGGGAAGCTGCAGTCTTGTGGGAGAGAGAGGAAGAGCCTTCCGCAGGCTGAGTGCAAGCAAGGAAGGAAGAGAGAGTTGGAGTTAGATAGAGAGCGAAAGAGCGAGACATCCTGATCGCATGCAAGCACGAGCAGAAGTCTAATCAAGAGTTGGTGCTGCAAAGCTGAGCCCATCCATCGGAAACGGTGGATGGGTCCCGCACTCGGCTCCGGCTGGGACTGGCAGCTGCTTTGGCACGGGACCTCACAGCTCGGAAGAGGCTTGAGATACGGACTCGCGAGGTGTGTAGGTGTGTGTGTGTGTGTGTGTGCCCGAAGCAGTTGCCCTGGGACAACTCGGGCCCCCCGGCCGGGGACAGCTTGTCGCCTACTGCTCGAGCCTGGTGCCTCCGTATGGGGGGTCGGATCCTTTGCAGGCGAACGACGGGTTGGGTGAAAAGTTGCAGCGGGGATCCTGGGAAAGAAAAAGATCGAGGAAGAGACATGGCTGGCGTCAGAAAGCTGACATCTTCGGCTCGCCAGATTGCACAGGCGCTTGACGTCCTCCCACGCTGGCTGGCAGGATCGCAATTCAGCACTGAGGCATGGAGCCTATAGACAGTTCTCTCGCATCTGAGCTAGTTTGCTGAGACCACGGCAGGCTGGGGCCCGGGAATCTCCGCGAGGCAAAGCCTGCAAGGAATGCAAGGGGAACTGCAAGTGCCGCAGCCTTAAGTGAAATGTCCCAGCCCGACGTAACCCACACCTTCGGGCTCCTTCGGCTCCGAAGGTCCCAATGCACACAGTCCCGCAGAACTTCGCTTCCCAGCGGCCCGGCTCCCGGACAAACGCGCGGTTTGCATTGCGAACTCAGCTTTTCTTCTCGGCTTTGGTGCCGAACGGATCTGGCTGCGCGCCGGTGTTGCTACATGGTGTGCAGTGTACAAGGTCTCAGGCCTCAGGATCAGATTCTGAACGGACATGCGGCTGCACGCTCCACCAGCTCACATTAACCGCTGCTGAGCGCCGCGGGCAGGGCGAATCCGTGCAGCGACGGATGGACTGGGTCAAGAAGGCCCACGGGTCATGCATGAACTGCAGTCAGCATTTTCCAGTCTATTAGCTGAGACCTTTCCCACTCCGCCTCGGTGCCTTGAGAGCCCTGTGCGCTTTCGGACATCAAATGTACTACTGTAGATGGAGCCGACGCCAGGCAGTCAGGCGAGCCGACATGAAGTTGGAAGCAGCTCCGAACTCGGCGGCAGAGCGAGAACTCGACCAGCGCCGCCGGCGCTTTTTGTGCCTGATGCCGCTGCTGCTTTAGGCTTTGCAGTATACACGTGGCATGGCCCAATGCCTGGCCATGCCTTGCCGGTGACAGGAAGCGGAAGAAGGAGGAAGAGAAAGTGCCGCCGCCTCCGGCTCCCACAGGCGAATGGGCAGAATCCCAGCTCGATGCAGCTCCACTGCTTTTGCGCGCCAGAGCCAGAGCCAGGCGAGGCGCAGCGGCCTCGAGTGGAGGAGCGGTTCAAGCGGGTGCTGCTGCGAATCCTGGATGAGAAGGCAGCATGACAGACTTGATGTGCAGCGGGTCGCTTCCGACGCGATTTAGCATGTGGGTAGAGCATGGTTTAAAAAAACTGCCTGGGATCAGACTCGCAAGCACTCTGTTCCTTGAGGTCTTCAGCTTGAAGCAGGCTTTTGGGCTTTGCTGCGAAGCCCGAGCCCTGCTCGAGGCCCTCGGCTCGGTCACTCCGGTCCCCAAAGCCAATGGCGGAAGCTTTGCCAGGAGAACGACAGCCCAAAAGCAGAGCTGCGCGTGAAGGAGGCGCCGCCGCACCTTTTTCCTGTGCTCACGGTAGCAGCTGCTAGCAGCTGTTGGCACATGCTAGGCCAGGGAGCTCGCGCAGAAGAGCTTTGAGGAGGCTCAACAGTCATGGCATGCCATACTACTCGCACCTTCCTTTTAGGTCGGCTGCAGATCGAAGCTGTTCCCGTGGAATTTTGCAGCTGATAACAAGGCCGCGGCAGACGATGACGAGCTGGTGAGCAAAAGTCGGGCCCCTGACGATGAGTGCTACGAAGTAGAGTGACTCGGCTAGCTGTTTATGCAAGCAGCACTCCTCTTGACGGCAAGGCAGCTTGAGAGCAAGACGAGCCTGCGGCTTACTGCTCTGTGCAGCGAAACCAGCATGCTCGGGCAGTTGCATCGTCTTGCCCGAATGCTCAGGCATGGAGACCTCTCAGAGATACCGAGAAGGAGGTGGTCCCTCTGTCGGTCGTCCTGCTCCATGACCCGCCAAAGTCTGTCAGGAAGTTCAGAAAAAGCGAATGGCGGTGCAGGAGGAGGCAAGCTACGAGGAAATTTCAGCATGGACAGAGGTTGAATCTGGGACAGTCTTCAGTCAATGCTGTGAGGCTAATCTGTCTTGTCAGAAACTGCATCGGCTTGCATCCAACCGCAAGCCATCTGACCTGTTGTCTGAGCACTGGGTTTTTGAGAACGCGGCCCCATGCGGGGTTTCCGTTCCGATCTCAACCGAATCAGGCCCAGCAGATCCTCAACGTCTGCACCCTTCTGGATGAAGAGGCTGGCGTTCACAATTTGCAAACATGGATCGTACGGACGGCAGTGCAGGCCGTGGCCGTGGCTGTAAGAGAATCGGGCATTGCATAAATGGTGCAAGTTGATTGTGGCACTCGTTCAACCGTCTACACGTCCTGTACAGAGGCACTTAAACGTGACCCATCGAACAGTGCTGCACTAGTTCGGGAACTTGAAGCCGAGGTGCAGAAGTGGAGCCGTCCTGCTTGGATTGTTGCCATCAGACATGTCTGAACAGCGATGTGGCACTGTTTGCTGATTGCTGCAGTGGCCAGGCAGAAGTTCGAGCCGCAAACGCTGCCGCCGCCACCTCCACCACCTGCAGGCCAGTTTAATCTTGTGCTCTCGGAGGAATTCATCAACACTAGGCTCTACAGCAGCTGGAGTGTTCGCACAACATTGGAAGAGCGTTCTCGCAACGAACCGCTGAAACAGGGCACATCGGACCACCGATCTTTGCCGGAAAACTCTCTATTATAGCTCCTGGAATCAGGCTTCGAGTGCAACCTGGATTCGCCGAGCGGCAAAGCAGGGAATAGGTTAAATCGCGATCATGGCCGGCAAGCGGACGATCGTAGATGCAATGACGAACTGAAGATAGCAGAAGGAAATCTGTGGGGAATCCATCTGCCTTCGGGCTTGACAGGCATCGCCTCGGTCACGTCGGCACCAATCACGACATCGCCTTCGCGTTTCCCAGGACTTGGAGCCTTGGAAGATGCCGGGGCCCCGGGGCCCCGCTTCGAAGTCTTGGTCCTCGGTCTTGGTTTGAAAAGACAACCAACGAATTAGGCCCTCTGCACCCAGAAAGTAGGGGTAAAGTGCAAAGCACAAGTGCGAGTCTGTGCGTGTTCGCAGAGATGGCCAATGGTGTACGGGTACAGTGTCAACCCACTTGACGTGTAGTCAGAATCAACCATCGCCGGGGACAGGCAGGTCTATGAAACTAAGCAGTATCTGCTCGCAGCCGAACGGGACTTGCGCAGCTGTTTTGTGCTTTTGTTGCAAGAGAGCAGCGCAAGTTGCTGTTTATCATCAGGCAGCGAACATTCCGGCGTGCGACATGTGCGAATGAAGAACGGAGTTGCATAAAGCAGTAGGATCCGGCAACGACATGGCCCTGAATTGGCTGCAGAGTACAAGGACTTCGCGCAGAGTTGCTTTCGCCTTCAAAGCCCATGCACCGGAAGCTGAATCGGGGCCGCGAGCGAACCACCATACCTGTGCAGCGAGAGCACTTTGCTGGCAAGGCGCTGCAAGTTCCAAAGCCCGAAGTGCTCCAAGGCAGAACATGTCAGGTCCAGTATGGTCCAGTTCAATGCCCAGGTGGATTTCGTGGACCTCTCGGAGGTTCCGACCGACCTCGCTAAGCAGCATGGCCTGGACTTCTTCTCGCGCACCTGGCTTGAGTCCAAGATGGCACAACACCATCCCGTTGCCTTCAATATGTGCCGCGGCAAAGTTGGCAGTGAGTTTGCGCGATCTTCCAGGATAACTCCAAATCCTTGATTAGTGTGATGCTAGGAATCCGAATCCTTACTGTTATTGCTGCTCTTATGCTGCTCATGTAGAAGCAGCAGAAGGTTGTGGACGGCGGACCGCAATGACGAGGATGACAATCGGGTGTCTTTGTTACAGTTTGCTGACGAGAAGAGAGTGGTGATGCTTTGTCTGAACTCATGCTTTCGCGGCAGCTGCTTCGTGTTGCACGTGCTGCCTATTTCTTCGGCATGTGTGGATATGAGACTCAGGATTCTGCGCACTCATCGCACGGGCACGTGGCTGCCGGAGCACGCGACTTGGCGTCGTCATTCCACGGGTTGAGAGTTGATGGGCATTGCATGACATAGCATGGCCAGATGCACCATCCGCAGTCTGCTAGGTGAGACAACTTCTGACACATCCCTTGGTTTGCAAGATCTGTGATGGCTATTCGATGAAGCACAAGAGGAAGCTGCAAAGCACCTTTGGGCTTGAGATGAAGAACAATGTGAGCATCTTTGCCATGGCTGACGAGCGCCTAGGGCTGAAGTGTCACAACGTGGAAAGCATCGCGAAAGAGCTGGGACTGGAATCACGAGGTGTGCAGCTACAGGAGGACCTGCTGAAATGCGACTGGAATCAAAGGCGCCTGACGGCGGAGCAGAGAAAGGGAGCGGTCGACTTCCCATTCCTGCTTTACACCCTCTGGCAAAGGCTCAGTGAAATTAGTGTTCCCGCCGCAGCGGTGAGCAATACAGGCATCTTCGCCATCGAACCTGGCTGGGAGAGTCAAGGCATCGGGGCTGGCTGAAAGATTTCCTTCCACCCCTGTCTAGCATCGGTCATGGCCCGTTTAGATACTAAGATCTGCAACGCAGCACGAAGGGCATTCTGTTCGAAGTGCTGTGCTGTGTCGATTTGCCCGTCACTCAAGGCATTGTTCTGCGGCACGATGGGCTCTTCTGCCAGCTTTGCAACGCGGGTCCCATTCTATCTACTGAGCAGATGCATGGTCACGTCATCGGCAAAAGGCACCAGAGGAAAGCAAGGCCGCCAGAAGCTTGTCACATTGCCGTCATTGATCGTGAGTGAAGACCTGGGATTCAGTTTTGTTTGCCAGTAATTACACGGATATCAGTTAAGGAAACTCTCGAGGAGATGCTCTTGCTACCCCAGCACTTACAGAATCAAGGCATCGTAACGCACGACTTCTGCTCATCCGCAGCCGGACGTGTGGGACAGCGAGAGTATTTCTGCCAGCCTTGTGGCTGTGGCCCCTTTCATGACATTGCAAGTGTGGAGACGCACATCGCAGGTCGTCGGCATGCAGAAGCGGCCAAAAAGTGGGGATGCCCCGCTCTCATGGATGCAACCGAGCCAAAGGCGCAGAAAGCGCAAAAGCCGCAAGGGAAGAGCTCGGCTGCGGAGCTGAGGCGGGAGATGGCCCTGGTCGGCCTCTGCTCGCTGACTCCTCCGGATCTCAGTGAAGTCGACGCCTTGAAGTCGAGCTCGGAAGCTGTGGAAATCATCCGGGCAATGGCCAGGGTTTGGGGTGGCACGGAGTGCCCTGCACTGGAGACTACGATGCCTGCGCGGTCGGACACGAGAGGCGTGCAGCCGGGTGCCAGCGAGATCTTGCGGAGATTTGTTTTGGAACAGCTGCCGCATTATCGCAAGCACGGGCTGCAAGCGCAGCCAGAACGTGCACAGCTTTATCACTCTGAATGAGTTGCACGAAAATATTGAAGTTTCCAAGCAGGCCGAATCACATATATATATATATATGCACTCGACCCAGAGTCATCCCCACGTGCTGTTGTAGTACCACCTCGCTCGAGAGCAACGTCGGTCTCGCATGTGTGAGCCTGGACTTGCGAGCGGATGCCATGTACTGGTGGAGGACTGTGCCACTGGCAATTTGGTCAGACTATAGCCGCTGCTTGAGACCGGGACCCTGCAATCCTATACCAACATTGAGGTGGACGTCAGGCACGTGCAGCAGACCGAACTAGCAGGCCTCTCAACAGAGCCTGCTGTTGCTGCCCAGCGTTGAGCAAGAAGTTGCTCGTGCAGTGGAAGCCCGACGAGGCGTGCGAGTCCCGGCGGAGCACCTGACTAATTGCCTTCATCTGGAGCGCCGAGCGTACACCGAAACCGATTGTGCGCCAATGAAGCCTGCCTGCCTGCACGCTGGATTTTTCTGCAGCTTGCGGGTTGCCCGCTGTCACTTCGCGACGATCTCGCCGACGAGATCACTCGTCGGTCATCCGCCATGACTAGACTTTGTAGGATTGTGTAGGATTGATATGTTCAACACAAGAAGCCGGCGTGTGAACGAATGGAATCGAAAAGACCACTGCCTGCGTACCTTGCCTCGAAAGTTCGCCTTGTTGCTCATGTCGCACCGAGCCTTCCTCAGGATGTAGCATTGGCGCGGCTGCTGGCACAGGCAGCAGAGGAACCTGAGACAGGCCTCGTGGAAGTTTTGCGGTTGCTGTACCTGTGTTCGAAGCTTTGAACGTGTAGGAGGCACGGCCACTACACTTTGGGCATGAAACGTAGCAGAGGCGAGATGCCGGTGAGTCAGAAGAGGGAGATGTGCGCCCAGTTTCTCGAGGCCCACGTGCCAGACACCGCATTAGATGTGTCATGCTTCGGTCCTGGAGATCGGGGGATCTGTGCAGGTGGGGAGGTGCATACTTGACCAGACCTGCCCGCCGCGGCGCCAGTTTGCACTCGGATCGCCGACACCGCTTGCTTCAGGGGCCTCAAAGAAAGATGGCACAATGATGAACACAGCTCGCCGAGGTTTGCGCACTGCCCCAGCGAACTCTTCGGTCATGCATCTTCACGGAGCAAGCCTCTCAGAGAACGATGCTTGAGTTCAGGTTTCATTGATTCTGAACGTGTCTGGAAATCGCGTTGCCAATTGAGCAAGAGGCCCAAAGAAGAGGCAAGCGAGCCATGCGGGGTACCAGGCCTGAAGTCACCTGTCTGCCTGAGGGCAGTGCACTGCACCATTTTTTCACAGTGGCCGCATGTATTGTCGTAGACTCTGATCCCCTCGAAAGCTGCGAGGTGCAACTTCTCCCAGAGGAGCTCATGGCGGAGCAGCAAGCAGCATCTGCTCTTGGCCTTGGCCTCGCAGCCTTTGCAGCCTTTTCGATTCTTCTGGCGTAGCGTCTGTGCAGCCTATGACCGCTCCATGGCCGCAGCGGATGATGCCACCTTGAGGAGATTGCTTCTGGCCTTGGCCTTGGTCGACAGTTTCGTACTGTGGGTACTGGTTGGTCAAGTCACTGCCAGAGGCCAATGACAGTCCCTCCACGGCCAAACGATGGCTCCGCACCGAGCACCTCACATCGGATATATGGCAGCTCATTCGGTGCGCTTTCCAAGGTGAGAGAGACCTGACGGGTTGGCCGTCGTGCAAAGCACCGGCTGTGTCGAAAGCTTTGCCGATACTGAAACTGGAGGAGCTGGGGAGCTTATCTGAATTCAGGCATGTAATTCGCTTATCAAATTCACAAGAAACGTCGCCGCCATCCGTGCGCTGTACAGACGGATTCGTGAAAGGAAGACTTGCCAAGTTGGGCCTATCCGCTGCATTGAGGAATGTTGACGGCTGATGTTCTTCGTATGTACGAGTATACAGCTTGTGTTGGCAAAGCAAACCGCATAGGTAGTTGCTGTGTAAGTCACGCCGTTGAGCAAAGGCGTGTTGATGACAGAGGTGGCATCTACATCCGCAGGCATTTGCAGAAGTATTCAGAGTGCAGCCCATCTCGCCCTTTCCAGCAGAGCAACGAATCTCGGCGTGCACTCGGAAAGCACAGGCGACTACTCTGCAGTTTTGCCACAGCCGAGGATGTCGACTTCAAAGGCAACAACTCCGGCTCAGGCTTGGCCGACGGACAGCCGATGCCGACGCATGAGCTGTTCGTTCTTGCAGTTCAGGCCCCCAGCGTCGTCCCAGTGGCAAAGGCCTGCATGCGGGTGGAAGTGACAGCGGCGCCCTTCGAGTGCATCAGCCCAGCAAAGCTGTCGTCTCTCCATGCAGGCTCCGGAAGTCGCCGCAGCAGCCAAGAGCCGTGACGAGGCACCCAACCGAGAGGACGGGTATCAACGAAAGCTGCAGAGACTCCGAGTACACAAAAACTCCGCACGTTCGCCTCACTGATTGAAAGGAGAAGGCCAAGGCTGCCTCGGCTCCTTCGGAGGCATCGCTCTCGAGTCCCTGTTGCAAGGATCGGTAACGCAGTCCCCTGAGGCTCCAGCGTCCCGTGCAGCGGGCCTTGTGGCTGGGGCCGGAGCTCCCAAGGCACGGCCCGACACGGCCCGACTCCTCGATTCAGAGTTGTAAGGATTCGTGCCTCCAGGCGGCTGGGACCGGCGTCACCACCACCAGCCCTGCCAGCGCGGGAGTCTCTAGCACGGCTGCTCCCAAAGCAGCAGCTGCCCCGACCTCTGCTGCGGCGGTCATGGAGGTGGGCTATAACTCAAGTGACTCAAGACGAATAGTCAATGCAAGGTGAAACGCAAGCGAACTACATAATACCAACAGTGGAAGTAAACTCACACTGATGAAGCCGGCTTGAGTTTGTCGAGAATTGCTTCCAGGCATCACTTGCAAGTCTCTGACAGGAGGGCAAGAAGCCCGCTACTGCAACAGAGCGCATGGCGGCCACAGGCTCCTCATTGGCACGAGGCACCGTGCAAAGGGTGTATCTAAGACCAGTCTGCACCTGTGAATGAGCCTTCTAGGCTGCAAAAGTATCAGAGAAACCAACTGCAAAAAAGTTCAAGGTACACACAGTCGATCCTTTCCTTCTTCTTTCGTTCTCTCTACGTCTCTCTAGCTCTCTGTCGCGCTAGCTCGCTCTCTCTGTGTCTCTCTTCTCTCTCTCTCTCTCTCTCTCTCTCTCTCTCTCTCTCTGTCTCTCACACAGAGTCAGAAGACGTGAGACGGACAAACAAGAGAGGGATCCTCCCGCAAGGGCATCTAATAGGTTCGCAGAAGCTTGTGACACTATCCGTGATCTGGAAGACGGTGCACGCTGCAGCTACGTCCTTTCGCCAGGTGTTGGTGCTAAGGCAGAGGCCCCCAAGGCCTGCATGGGACTGGCAGGGAATCCGGAAAGCCTCGGGCATGGAGTCGTGATGGACTGCAAGGCAAAGGCCAAGCCTGCTGCGGCGGCACCCACGAGCTCCAAGTACGCCGGCACAACGACGACCGGGCCAGTGCAGGTGGCACCCGCAAGCGTTGCCTGGCAAGCAGAACGAAAATCAGATCCAGCTTTCAGCGACATGGCCAGTCAAGAGTTCGCAAGTTGCCTCGCTCCTGGAACTTAAAGGTGCTGAACATCGTGAGTGGCAAGCCCGTGCCGGCCGGAGAGACGAGTGGCACAGCCTATGCCACCAGCACCGTAGGACCTGCCAGAGGTTATGCCAAGGCCGCGGCCAAGATCGGCCAAGACAGCCACAGACTTGAATCGAGTCGTTTCGGGGCTCGGGCCAGGCTGCTGGTGCCGTGCTTCCCGCCACGGCGACAGGCACGTTCCGACAGCATGCCTGGCAGTCCCCATGAAGTTCCCTTGAATAGCCGCTGTGTTGTTGTCGTACCTCAAAATGTAATAGTGGCAGGGCCCGATGGCAAGGCGCTCGACGTGCCCAAGGTTGGAACGTCTGGCTTTATCGCAAGCTTCGCCGCGCATCCGTATGTTTTGTGCGGTAGCTAAAGATAAGAACAGCTTTTTCCAATGGCACAGGCCGGACCTCCTGCAGTGGCTGTGGGCCGCGCACTGGCAGAGGACCGTAGTGCTCTTGCCGTGGGACCCCCCCCAAGGTGCCTGCGACTTCAGTTTGCTGCCAGGGCCGCAGCCCTGCCTTCTCCATGGCGGACGGCAAGCTCCGTGCGGCTATTGGAAAGAAGTACCAGTCGCTTGGCTGCATGATAGCCGACTTAAAAGCCGTCGCAATAGCTGTCATGTCTGTGAATGCGTGTCGTAACACGACAGATTCCTGCATGCGCACGTTTGAGATTTGGAGCTGGACAGGATCGTCTTCGTCACGAGCGAGGTCGCACCGTTCTCCAAGACCGGAGGACACTTTCAGTACGATGTGAGCTGTTGTGCACAGTGCTGGACATGCCGCCATCATGGCTCCACGATTGCAACGGGGAGACCTGCCCGTGCCAGTGCTGAAGGACTTGGAGAAGCCATGGACGGTTTGCCGATTGCGCTGGCAGCCCTGGGCCATCGTTGCATGGTGATCTCGCCACGCCCCTCGCAGCACGCAGCACACGGCCAGGAAGCATCCAGATAGGTTGAGAAGTTCGTCTGCTGGAGATTTCCCGCAGATGTGAAAGTGGTGCTGTGAGGCTACGACCAGTACAAGGAGGCGTGGGACACCGGCTACTGGAGCTCCCTGCCGATGGGTGGCAAGAACGAATCCGTGCACTTCTTTCACAGCTACAAGCAGAAGGCGGCTCCCAGCGGCTACATGCCATGCGAGTGAAGAGAGTGTCTCCCCGAAGAGAGAGGTGGACTATGTCTTCGTCGATCACCCGACGTTCCTAGAGAGGGTCTACGGACAGACAGGATTGCCTCGCTTGGCAGCTCCGGGAAGCCGTAGCCCTCCCGTGTTGCACCCGGTAGGAGCCAAGTTGTACGGCCCGGAGTGGGGTCAGGACCGAAGTGGCTTAGGAACTTGTGCAGGTTTCAGCTCGCAGACTTGACATGGTCCTTACAGGACTTCGCAGACAATCAGGCGCGATTCGCCTATTTCTGCAAGGCGGCATTGAAGGCCATTCAGGAGCTTCCTCTGGGCGGCGCCGTGCCCGGCCCTCGGCATTTATCGAGCTGAAAAGAGCATAATGAGGGCTGCGCACAGAGGCACGCCACACAGGGCTTCGTTAGGTGTCATCTGTTCGTTCAGTTGAGCGCACAGTACGCCGCCCAACTTGCTCTTGTGACGGCGAGAGACATCGAGAACCCCCAAGTGCCGACATCATGAGGACCTGTTGGGTAGCATGGAGCCAGCATCATGAGCACCATGGGCGCTTCGTTTCTGCTCCAGGGGGGGCTTCCAGAAATCTTCTTGCGCATCATGTTCATGTGGTGAAACCCACGGATCGGGGCTAGCTGCGCAAAAAACGTGCGTATTCGCAACACCCGTTCCGAAAGCCCCGGACGATCCGACTCTGCAGCACAGACCGATTCCATAGATATCTGAGGTACGGTGGCGACTGCATGGTCGTCTGCAACGACTGGCATTCCGCCCTTGTTCCGATGCTCATCCACGCTGAGAAAGCCACAGGCCGGAGTCGCCCAGCGGCTAGCGGGTAGCGGATGCAGCGGCCTGGGAGCAGAGTAAGGCAAGTGGCAGAACACGAAGTCCGCCTTCCTGAACCACAACGCCGTGTTCCAGGGCCGTTTCGTGCGCGAAGAAGGCCGCTACTCGCCTCTCCTGTTCCTGTGAATCAGATCTTCGCTGGTCAGGCTTGGCGGGCATCTTCGGAGTGCCAGAGCGCTACATCGACAGCATCACCTTCAAGATGCCCCTTCGCATCGGAAAGTACAACGAAAAGGCGTGGCGCCTCGCAGCGATGAGCCAGTCCCAGCGATCTTACGGATGTCCGCTGTCCCAGCGCCAGGTCAGCTGTGTGAACTCCATGGCGGCTGGTCTTCGATATGCCGACAGGGCCCGGCCAAACGGCTTCTGCCCTTTTTGCCAGCTGACTGAAGTCAAAGCCCGCAGGTCCTCACCGTGTCCCCGAGCTATGCCGTGGAGTGCTGCACGGACCCGGAGAAGGCGGGCGCCTTCTTTGGAGCTGAAGAGAGTTTGGGCGCAGTCCTTGTGCTGACGATCATGTGATCATATTTGCCGCTGGGCAGGGTGTTGAACTGGAAGACCTTTTCGCCCTGGGCAAGTGCACAGGCTGGTCGCAGTCACATCATGTGCAAGGTCTCAGCGAGAGAGCCAGAGAGACGGCGCAGGAATTCTCAACGGCGTGAAGGAAGGGGTATCTCCCAGCGACAAGAACTTCGTCACGAAGACCATGATGTCGTGCGGGGTCTTTACCGTGCGCTGCCTACAGCTTCCAAGCAGTAACTCTTGTGCAACCTTCGCTTTCATCGATATACACCGATGCTGCTGGACGAGGCTGCCACGGCAGCGGAGGCGAAGGCTGAGCTCAAGGCAAGACACAGGCCCACGAGAGGGGCCAGCGATCGTGGATCCCGTTGCCATCGTCAGGCCACCTACCGAGCGCAGAACAACCTCCCCGAGTCCAAGGGACCGCTGATGTGCTTTATTGGAAGGCCCGCTTGGAACCTTAATCCCTATCCCTAACCCTAGACTTTGTCATGTTGTGTTCGTAGACATGACGCCGCTACGAGTACTGGGCAAGGCTGGATGCCCAGAAGGGCTATGACCTGCTCCTGGAGTCCTTGGTGGAGATCCTCGAGGCGAGCCCACGAGCCAAGTTCTAGTAGGCCCAACATTGCCACTGCTATTTGGGATGGAGAGCTGCTGCTCAGTTTCGGGTTGTTTGGACGAGCATGATCATTCGTGGCCGTTTGAACCGTTTGTGAATCTGGTAGCACAGATGGTTTAGCTAAGCAAAGCCTTCGCCATGGCTTTTCCCAAAGCCGAGGGCTTTCCCGGTCGGGACTTTTCTACTCCCGGTCCACGGACCTACAGCCCGAAGGGCAGCTTCGAGCTTCCTCGGGTATTGGCCTACACTGTTGGGCAGCGATCAAAACTTTGGAGACGGGACAACGCCATGCTGCCAATTGTCGATGTTGCACATCTGCAACTTACCGAGGAAAGTTCCTTCGCAAGTTGCAGGTTTGCAACATCGACTACTGGCAGCACGGCCTTGTCCTTCCGAATCTCCAGGTTGTACTCTGCACATCCCCTCTTCTCGGGCAGGTACCTAACACGACGAAGTACCCTGCACAAGCAACCCACACGTGCTGGGAATGGGCGGGAAGGCATCCAGCGGGCGCCAAAAGATGCTTCCACGAGGTATACTCCGCAGAAGTAGCCCGCCGAAGAAAGACCGCCAGGCGTTGCACACAGAGAAATGCTGCTGCAAAGAAGTGAGCATCCGAACGTGGTCAATGTATTCTATGTATTCTGTGTCGTGGCTGACAACAGAACCATGACGACCGGGTTAAGCATGGACAAACTCGGGGAGAGCCTTGAACAAGCTTCTAGCACAAGGCAGCTGAGTGGCCATCGCCTAGCCAAGGCCTTTAGGCCGACCTGCAAGGCCGTGGCGCATGTCCACAGCATGCTAGTGGCACATTTAGAATTTAGATATCAACCCAGCCAATCTCTGTTTCGCAGAGACTGGCTTCGATGCTGCAAAGGAGCTGAAACAGGCGAACAGTATTTACTTGGCCGCAGTATATAAGCCCGCAAAGAGCGCATCAGCGACCCTGCCGTGCGCTTGCCGAAGATGCTTACATGACGGGGTACGCCTCCTTCACTTTACTCAAAAAGACACCAGCCGACCGCGCAGCAGAGAAGCTGCGAGCTCGCGTGCCTTTGCTGCGACGTGCAGTGCAAAGACCGTCCGTGCAGCAGATCCTAGAGCACTGGAGCAATCCGATCGAAGCTGGACCAGAGCCGCTTCCGGCTCTTCTGAGGCCGGCAGGCAGGTCAAGATACCGGCAAGACACCACTCTCCGAATTCTGTTGGCAAAGGCTCTCGCGAACTGTAGGGCCCGTCATGAAACCGTCCTCGGCAAGCACGCAGCAAGGGAGCCTCGAGCTCCTTCTTGCTGAGCGTGGCCATGACCACCTTCCGCTGGTTCATCAGTCCTGCCCGAAGAACTTCTTGGACCCGGAAACACTCATCGACGGGAAAGTTTGAAAAGGCTGGCATCCATGTATGCGATGTCATGTCGACTGATCTGGGACTATCCAATTTCTAGCGAAGCACATGGGGGTAATTAATGTCATGCCCCGGTACCGTGGACGAGCTGTGTGGGGTGCAACCTGAGCAAGAGGCTCTGCAATAGGTAAATGGGTGGGAGATTTGGCTCAGAGGATGGGCCCTGTCACCTGGCCGGCTACAAGATCTTGTCATGGAGCCCGTCAGATAAAAAAAATCGTCGAGTCGTTCGCGATGTGCGTTAGCTTCTTCAAGCGGTGCTGAGCATCATTTGCTGACTCATGAAGTACTCAGGTGCTGCTTTCGTTCCTTTCTTTGTTCTGTGCCGCTGTGCCTGCATTCTTATCTTTGCACATGCAAGGACACCGAGCTCCAGGTTGTCATCGTCGGTTCCGGCCGAGCAGACCTCGTAGCACAGCCAGAGGCCGAGAACGACTCGGACACGCTCCAAGCACTGGCACCGATGGTTGTGACATCTGCGAGTTTCGCTGCTGAGGACCAAGGCCGTGGAGAAGAAGTATCCTAGCAAGTTCTTCTACGGAGGCAGCTCTTCGAAAGCGCGGTTGGCCACTAAACTCACCAGCAAAACACTTCCGAGGCTGGATGGGCCCGGAGCGCTATGCACTCCTCGCTGGTTGCGACTTCACGCTGCTGCCTTCCAGGCGGCCTCGTGCAAGGAAACTCAACCCACTTCGGGGATGTCATCGAGCGACAGAGCCTTTGGCCAAACCCGTGGAAACTGCAGGTGGGAGCCCTGCGGCCTCGTACAGATGGAGGCGGGAAATCCCGAGTTCCGAGGATCAAAGTGGCTATTTGAATCTGTTGCTATGTTTGCCCACTTAGACTGCAGTAGTTAGTTGCGGTTATAGTTAATCTAGTTATAGTCTAGTTATAGTAGTAGTAGTAGTAGTAGTAGAAGTAGTAGTGAACCAACCGCCTCAGGCGATGCGCATGGGAACCCTGCCCATCGTCGCCCCCACCGGCGGCTTGAAAGACACGGTGGAGGCACGCCTTACTTTCTTTATATCTCGCCACTTGCGTTAAGTTGTCATTAGTAGTTAAGTAAGTTGCCGATAAATGTTGCATGACGGGCCCCGAAAGCTTCATGTGGAGCTGCAAGTATCTCAGACCTTGCGTGGTGATGCCTCGACTAGCTGGCTGCCGGGCCTGCTGCCTCTTTGATGTCCGCACCAGGATGGCCTCAACGGCATTTGGACGGACAAGGAAATGTCCGTCGAGGCCGTGGTAGACGAGGCCCCTCCCGGCCCCTTCCAGAAGTTGCCGCTGCCTTCGCATCCTCTGCGATGACTGCCTGCTCCAAGCAGGAGTCCGTGGCGTCGATCTCGAAAGCGTTGAAGCGAGCTGCAGATCTCTACATGCAGGAGCCCGCCAAGGCGGGCCCAGCTGTACAGGTAGGAAGTCAGCACAAGTCGACGAATGTACTCGAACCGTCTTCTGTCCTGCAGTCTTGCACCTAGAAGCCATGATCATGCAGCCCATACCGGGAAACGACCATGCACCTTGCAGCTGGACGACAGCAGCACAGGTCAAGGAGATGACAAAAGCCGCGATGGCCGCTTCTGCAGAGTTCACCTGGAGCAATGCGGCGTTGCAATACGAGGTGCTGCCGCTCACGTTGTAGCATATAGAGTCAGCATGAAGCGGTGCCTGTGCGACGAGCATGGCACAGCGGCAAGTGCTGATAACTGATAATACTTGCAAGGCCGTTTTCGAGGAGCTCGGTGTGAAGGCGGGAAGCTTGGGTGCAGAAGATCTTCATGAAGATGTGGTCTGTTCTAAGTCTTGCATGTTCTGCCGTTGGGGCTCTCCGGCAGAACTGCATCAACAAGTGCAGATCTCTCGACTTGCATGCGCACTTGCGCCGTCTTCCAGTGTAGATCTGCACACTTCACGGTGTGAAGGAGATGCTCGGGGGTGCCACTGCAATGGTTACTCTGGAAGCCGACAAGCAGGCTCGGACAAACATCTACTACTGCCTATGCGTTGCACATTCAGACTGCTTGGTAAGGTTTGCTAGAGACCCTGCAGTGAAGCTTGGTGGTGGCGGCCTTGGCCTCCTTCCGTTTCGTGCACGTGGAAATCACGGTCTCTTGGCCGCCGAGGTCCACTATCGGCACATTCAGTGCCCTTGTTTTCCCCAACCGTGGCCACCAAAGCTCGTCGCCCTATGTGCGATTTTCGATGAGTGATACTGTTTAAGAGTTTAATCATGCATGCTCGGCTGGCGCAATTTTCGCATCCTACTCTTGGATCAAGAGCTGACAAAGCAGCTGTCCAGCACAATCCAGCTTTCGTTTTCCAATGAGCTTAGCTAGTATTTTAACTTCTGCGTGACTGTGTCAAGTGTGACCTCCGAGGCCTGTGACTGGCAAAGGGTGAGATGCAGGAACAGAATCAAGATAGTCCTTCTGCCATAGAGGTTGCTTCATTAGGCGTCCCGGTTCCATGCCTTCTTAGACCTGCGCGGACGCGGGATCTGAGAAGCGCTAGGCAAGAGAGGCGTTTGGCAGATCATTGCACCAGCCTGGTGCTTTCGCCATTGCGGCACTCCTATTCATTCATAAAGTCCCTAAAAAGCCATGGAAGCTCTTGTAGCTGTGCATAACCACGGTCCGGGACTCTGGGACTGCCTGCACAACGCATCTTCCCACGCTGCAGCTGCTTTCGGCCTCGAGAGTCAGCCTAGAGCCGCTGCAAGACGCAGCGGCTGAGCTGGTCGAAGGCCTCGATCTGTCTTGCACATGCTCGTGCTAGGTAAGAGAGTCGCTAGATCGTTTGCTGCACAAGAAGCTGGTCAGTCAAGGCATGGACGAGGATGACGCTCCAGACAATGCCTCGCATTCGCCAGACTGCCATGAGCTAATGGCACAGATTACACAGCAGGTATTGCAGGAGACCCGATTGCTGCTTTGGCCGTTTCTGAAGCCATTACAGCCACGGTGAGGAACATCTCCTGGAAGACAAAGACTCTGCCTGCGACATCGTCTCTGAAGCATCTCGGCGCGCAGCGTGCGCACAACTTGCCTGCTGCATCCAGTTCTCATCTTCGGGTCCTTTGAAGACCAATTGTGTTAAACGCTGAGACCTTGTGCTTTGGATTGTGAGAGCTGACAGGGCCCCGAGCTGGGACGCTTCACTTCGAGACTTCGAAGGCAGATCGTTGCAAAGGTTCATAGTACACAGGGTGAGGAGGGCACCAAATCTAGACAATGTTTTATATGCTTGCCTGCGCCCATGATACCAGATCATACCAGAACCTTCTGACCGCCAGGCACAGGCCACAACCTCCAGCTGCTCCTCCGCCGACAAAGCGGCCTGGGCGACTGCTGGGCGTGCAGGAACCTGGTTCCGCCTTTTCTGCGGGCAACTTGTTCTGGCTGAAAGGGCTTTTCTACGGCACCGGTGGCCCTGCAAGCTGTAACGAAATTTGGCCGATCAATCTTGAACTTGAAGATGGGTCCGAGAAGTTCAGGAGTCTCAAACGAACGGCTCTTTGGAGGCATGCATGGTCGGGCTGTTGAACAAATCAAGGGTAGATCAGCCCGCCGCAACCAAGGCACCGAGGAGTTGCCTGCGCTTCAGCACTTGGCCCAGCTCGAGCAGGTGTGGATCGTGGGCATGAGCTGCTCTCCGAATGTTGACAGGGCACACACGATGCACGCAGAAGACGGAGCTCAACCCACAGTGAATCAGTGAATGTTTCCCCTTAAGTCGGACTTGGTGTTGCCACGTTGGGCTTCATGCTTCAACGAATGCAGGCCGTTCTTTCTGGCTCGGCATTGCCGGCGCTGCCGATCTGGGGCCAAATGGGTCAAGGCCTGGTGCCGAGCAGCAGTACGCACTCATGCTTCGTTTCATGTGTCTTCCCTTTTCAATGACTTCACTTACGCACCATGAAATCATGAAAGATTACCTGCCAAAGAATGTAGACGAAAAGCTAAGGTACAGAATGTTCCAATTACACATAGGTAAGCTAGTTAAGATAGAACATGTGAGCAAAAGAACCTATTTCATAAACTGGAACGAAAGGAGGAAAAACGACGCATTTCTTGAAGGCAAGCGACCGACAAAGGAAGCGAAGACGCTCTCCGTTCGAGATAGTCAGAGGCGCATCCTGCAGGTGCTTCGCCGCCTCCCAGGAGCGTGGCACCAAAGGTGTCTAGACACCCCGCGGCTCGACTGCAAGCTGCTGGTGTCTTTCCTTCAACAGATGCACGATGGCAAGTTCAGTTGAGATATGGGCATGGCTTTGATATAGCCGGGGGGGGTGGCTGAATCAAAGCCAGTTCTTGTGTCAGAATAAAGTGCGAAATGGAGTAAAGAACTAACTAGTTAATATGCGAGTAATGCATCGAGCAGTATCCCAGAAAAAGAGCCCAAACAAAAGCCGAATTAATAACAAGAGAAGTATTAGTATGTGCTCTGGGCTGTGGCCTACAAGGGTCCGCGTGCCACAGATCATGTCCAGGCCCTGGCGGCTGCACGCACAAGTCCTCTCTCGCCCAGATTGCAACTTGGATAATCGAGGGGCCCAAGGAACCTTGTGTTGCGTTGGATGTTGAAGATACGAGATTGACAGAAGAGCTCTTGTAGGCATTGTTAGGTTGCGCAATCTTGCCTAGTTTGAAGCCGTGGTGTGGGAACTTTGCTGAAGCATCGTGATGTGCGTAGTTAAGCGGAGGGGTAAGGAATGCAGGAAACCTACAGGGCGCAAAAGTAGCACCAGGGTTGTATGTCGCCGTGTCTCAGATGTTGAACCAGCATACTCATAATTTGCGTCCACTCCGGATGCGTGGTTTTGGAGAGGGCCAGCGCAAGCCCGAGGCGTGCACGCTCTCCAGCACAAACGGTACCTCTGGGCTTTCGGAGCCCTAACCTCCGGGGCTCCGGCCGCGGCCTGGCGAGAAGAGGCGCCGTGGCGGCAGCGACGGCCTTGTGGATCTCCACCGAGGTGGGAGGACAAGATTTGGGAGTTTTCCGAAAACTAGGGGTACCTTATTTTGGGGTCCTTATAATAAGGATCCTACTATTTAGGGTGCTGTATTAGGGTCCCCTATTAGTCATAAGCAGGGTTAGAGGTAGGGTAACTATACTTATAACCCATATGAGAGGACTTATAACTCTGCTTACCGTCACTTGGAGTCTGTTTTTCAGGCACAGCGCCTGAGAGAAGAGGCACAGCAACCGAAGTCCATTGGTACTAGCTGCGCAGCTGCTTTTCTCTTGAATCGCGGGCCGCTGGTCTGCAGAGACGACCGTTCACTCCCGAGCCTGGAGAGAGAAACTTGAGCCCGGCCTGTAGTTCCCATTCCCCACGTTTCGAAAGCACCGCCAAGGCCAGAGCTGCTGGAGCCCCTCAGCAAGCCTCTGTGCGACCTGAAGCCTTGAAGCACGCGCTCCTCAAATGAGGATCAGGTGCTTTGAGCTTTGCGTCTCTTGCAAAACAATGGAGCTACCAGAACTAACATTCCCGATGACCGCTTCCACCGCATGTGACCAGCTTTACCACTTTCGACTTGAATTCTACACGAGCATGTGCAAGGTCACACAGGGGAACATCGACATGCATGTGGTATAGCTTATAACTCTTATGACTATCTATTGCT